TGTCAGGCCCACATTGCATAACCGAGTCAAGCATCTCGACTATGCATCGGCTATTGTTTCCTAACCCAAATATGGCTTATTTGCATCTGTTTCATGTAGTGTAGCACATCTCGATGTATCTGGCCAATTGGCCACTTATCCTTTACAACAACATAGAAAAATCAATCAAGACAGTTATGCCGTTACTCGCTGGTAGCCACGCTGTCGCCCTGACACCCCCCAAAGCGGGGTGAGTAGGGCAATCCCACAGTCCGAAGACTTTCTGCCGTAGGTCAATCTAGATCTGGGGGCGCAATACCACAGGACCCATGCGGTTGGTTCGGCCAAGCCGTGAGTTGGGATGGAGTTGGGACTTCAGACGGGCGCTGAAGGGCCCGAGTCATTGGACTTAACTGCGACTATCTAATGCCCCCTATTGTTGTTAATTCTTGTCTCCCCCTAACCTCGCTGCTCAACTCATGAATCTGCTTCTTTAATTCTGTATACGCGCTGAAAAGTTATTGGTCTGCAATGCTTTGCATATACCTCTAATCATCGTTGCTGCGGTGGTTGTCTAACAATGTTGACCAACCCGATCGGATGAACCAAGATCAAAAGTAAAGGACGACAATTGAGTCACTATGATTTGAGCCCACCGGGAGAAGCTGGTGCACATTTGCACAAAATCGATAGTTCACCAACGCCGTGATTTCATATTTCTGCAGTTGAGCCGACGGCAAGTTGCGATGATCGCGGGAACCTGTAAGCTTCCGGCACGAGTTAGCTCTCCACCGGAGTTTGTCCCCGCAGCTCCCACCGGCCCGGTGGAGAGGAGTCGGTGATCGGGACACGCATTTGCACTCACCCGGCAAATGTGATATGCACTACGGAGAGGCAGTGATTGGAACAGTCAATGACGAATGTTTGAAGAGGATCAAGGTCGGATGGATTCTGGAAAGTCAACCTCTAAGTACATGTACCTTTCGCCTCCGTACTTGGAAAGATGCTCGTCTTTTGACTGCCACTTCTTCAAGCCCGGTCACGCGCAGCGTCTTTCACGGATAGCACAATAACACAAAAAAATCAATTATCTACCTTGTTCTCGGAATCTTCTATATACAAGATGATGCAACATGATGATCACCGTCTCATCTACCGCTATGATGGCGAACAGGTGTGGATTGAGCCATGGGGCCCGGATGCATTTCGAATCCGGGCAACCAAGGCCCATGTGATGCCATCGGAAGCATGGGCTCTCGAAGAGAAACCTTCCAGCATTTCATCGGCCCCTCAGTTATCTATCGCTGATGATGGTTCGGCTACAATTACGAATGGCAATGCTAAAGCGTGCATCTCAAAACGAGGGAAGATTACTGTGATCAACTCCAGCGGCAAGGTCGTTCTCGAAGAGTACGCCAGAAACAGACGCGACCTCCTGGATGCAAAGTGCAGTGCCATAGAAGTCGAAGCCCGCGAGTTCAAACCTCTCCGGGGAGGCGACTACCATCTCACCATGCGCTTTGAGAGCCTGGATACAGACGAACGCATTTTCGGCATGGGGCAATACCAGTTGCCGCACTTGGATTTGAAAGGTCTCGACCTCGAACTTGCACACCGAAATTCGCAGGCCAGCGTGCCCTTTGCGCTTTCGTCTCTGGGATATGGCATACTGTGGAACAACCCAGCTATCGGTCGAGTGGTGTTCGGCAAGAACACGACATCCTTCGAGGCCTACGCTACGAAGGTTCTGGATTATTGGGTCGTTGTCGCTGACACGCCGGCTCAGATTGTGGAGAGGTATGCCGATGTTGCTGGCAAAGCACCTATGATGCCGGAACACGGTCTTGGTTTCTGGCAGTGTAAGCTTCGATATGAAACCCAGGACGGGCTGTTGGAGGTTGCAGAAGAGTATCGACGCCGAGAACTGCCCCTTGACCTGATCGTGGTGGATTTCTTTCACTGGCCAATGCAGGGCGAGTGGAAATTTGACCCCGTCTACTGGCCTGACCCAGGTAAGTCGGCGCTCGTGTCTGGGAGTGTGTTCTGTTGATTGCACTACCTGGTCCAACCAGTTTCATCACGACTAATGAGCAAGCAGACGCCATGATCAAACGCCTCAACGCTTTGGGGGTCGAGTTGATGGTCTCTATTTGGCCGACCGTTGACCAGAGATCATCCAACTTTCAAGAAATGCTGGAGCAAGGCTTTCTTGTTCGAACCGAGCGAGGAGTTCGGACAAACTTCGAATTTGAGGGTCAGACTGTTTACTATGATCCCACGAATCCTGATGCACGTCGATACGTCTGGAACAAGGCAAAGGAGAATTACTACACCAAGGGCATCAAAACGTTCTGGCTCGACCAAGCCGAGCCGGAATATTCAGTCTATGATTTCGACAATTATCGCTACTTTCTAGGGCCAAACTTGCAAGTTGGTAACATCTACCCTCGCGATTACGCGCGCACGTTTTTTGATGGCATGAGGGAGTCTGGACAAGAGAACCCCGTCAACCTTCTCAGGTGCGCCTGGGCGGGTAGTCAGAAGTATGGTGCTCTTGTCTGGAGCGGCGACATCGCCTCATCTTGGTCAAGCTTCCGCAACCAATTGGCTGCTGGACTCAACATGGGAATTGCTGGTTTGCCATGGTGGACGACCGACATTGGCGGATTTCATGGTGGCATCCCGGAAGATGAATCATTCCGCGAGCTTTTTGTCAGATGGTTTCAATGGGGTACTTTCTGTCCCGTGATGCGGTTGCACGGCGACCGCGAGCCCAAGAGCGGCAACCTGTCCTCCAGCAGCGGAGCGCCCAATGAAGTCTGGTCCTATGGGCCGGCTGTGTATGAAATCTGTCGGAAGTATCTGCTCATTCGTGAACAGCTGAGGAGTTACACTCGACGGCTTATGGCTGAGGCTCACGAAAAGGGCTCTCCGGTCATTCGCCCCCTATTTTACGAATTTCCTAACGACGCGCAATGCTGGAAGCTCGCGGCGACGCAGTACATGTATGGAGATGCGTATCTATGCTGCCCCGTTGTCGAGAAAGACATGAGGAAGATGAAGGTCTATCTCCCGATTTTGGAATCTGAAGAACAATGGACTTCTTTTACTGACGTTCAGTCCGAAATGCGAACTTGGGAGGGTGGCTCGACTGTCGAGGTAGACTGTCCCTTGGAGTTGATGCCGGTCTTTGTGAGGAAGTCGAGAGCGCAGATGACACTGGAGAGTTGATCCAAGGCTTCGATGCCTGTGCTAGAGTGCAGACAGATATCTTTCGTTAGGTTCTTATTCAATTCGTTCTGTTGTCATATGTCTTCCCCATATTCTCCAGGAAAGGAAAGGCCTGATTTGCACATGACGGTTTTGCTTTTGCCAGCGCGGACGCCAGGACAAATTGACAATCCAATTGCAAAATAGTCAACACCATTCATTACCCTAAACTGTTTTAGTCGTTGCCGCACGCGACGCCTCACATCCTTGCCAATCGCTAGCCTGCGCATGTAGATACGTATTCAGCACGTTGCATTACCCCATTACCCCGCGTGCGTGTATGTATATTACCCCAACCTCCTGCAGCAATCGAGCCGTAATTTCGACCGAACGTACCCTGAAAAACGTGCGACATGGTCAGTATCGCGGAACAATCGCCCGAAGCTCTTTCGACGCTGGACGCGGACTCCCCGTCAGATCAGTCAAGTCGAACGTCACGCCGCATCAGATCCCGCGAATTCGAAACCTCTGCTTGGTAGTAAAGCGGTAGACTTCGTCGAAACCAAGACATGGACTTCAGATGCGACTACTGCGGCAGCAGCTTTGGACGGCAGGAGCATCTAACACGGCACAAGCGTTCACATACCAGAGAAAAGCCCTTCAATTGTACCAAATGCGGTAAAAGCTTTTCTCGACTGTTTGTTTTACCCAACTTATTGATCGAGCTCACCTCTGACACATCAAAAGGGACGTCCTCACACGCCACACCGCTTCTCATAGCCAAGATGAAGAACAATCGCGTCGGCATGGAACATCGGCGAGAGCTTGCAGCGAGTGTGCATCGAGCCGAACTCGGTGCTCGAGGGAGAAACCGTGTCAACGTTGCACTAATCGAGGGCTACATTGCAACTATCCCATTCGACGACGACGACGAAAGGGACTTTTCAATGGGGCGCATGATGCCCCTGAGGATGTTGACGAAGACACCGAACATCACGATCGTACTACACCTGTGTCGGTCAATGATGATGTGGATACGTCTGAAGTTCCAGATGATTGTGGCGTGAATGTCCAGCCGGCCCTGGGGAATCGCGAGAATGACACTTCTATGATGCTTCCCGATGGTAATGCAAGCCCCAACGGGCGGGTTGCCGTTCAGTCCCATGCCATTGGATGGGAAGCGATGACGACCAACGACGGCGTTCAATACAATGCGCAGGACGCCAATGTCTCCTACGATGCAGAGCTTCTTGGCAACTTCGCTAATAGCGACTTCTTTGCGGATCAGTCCGTAGGAGTTTCTGGTATCAATTGGCTGTCTCCTGAGTACTTCACCAGCTTTGACTGGGCACAGCCCACAGCTGCCGACGGATCGACCATTCCGAGTTACGACCGCCTACAAATACTTCCCTCGGCTGGGAACCAGATTGTACAAGGTCCTTGGTTCAACCTTGTGGCAGAGCCCCTGCCTCAGATTCAAGAACCACCAGCGACATCTAGCCACGATATACACGATCCAGATCAAACGCTGGGAACTAGGCATGGCGGCAGCTCCAATGGGTCAGTCATGTCCACGTCAACAACGGGAACCTATTACGTCGATGGAGCGCCCACTAGAGCACCATTCAAAGGAGGTCCCGTCCAGATATATGGCGAAGAAGAAATCGAATGCCCGGGGCTTCCAAATGTTGTCCAAGCAGATGATTACAGCGAAGGCTCAAACAGTCTGACACCACTTCTTCTATCGACCAAAGCTTACGAAAGTCTAATCCACAAATTCAAAAATGAAGGCTGTTTTAAAGGGCTCGCACCCCACCCGACACAGCTTCCTTCTTTGTCGCACACAAGAGTCTACTTCAGGCTCTACTTCCATCGCTTTCATCCAGCGTATCCTTTCTTGAGGAAGTCAAGATCCATATATGACTCGGAATCTAATTGGCTTGTTCTTCTCGCTATATGTGCCATTGGATCGAGATATGCCCCAGGCGTCAACAATCACAGCCAAAAACAGACACTGTTCCTTTTGCTCGAAAAGGCTGTATTCCATCACAATTCGGAACACAATGGCTCAAGATTGCCCGCATGCTGGGGCTCGTTCTGCGAAGCTAGATCGGATGACAACTGGGCCATGGGAGTTGTCCAAGCAACAATTCTCTATCTCGTGTGCAAATCGCAGGATCCGAAGAAAGACCCCAACCGATTGGACGTGGTGGCGCGCCAATGTCTTCTTGAATGCTGCGGCGAACTCGGCCTGTTGAACATAGCAACTACAAAATCAACGAACATAGAATCTGCTCCAAAAGAGGACGTATTGAAAGCTTGGATTCAGAAGCAATCCCGTATCCGAACTGGGATGATGATATGGGTAAGACGTTCCACTCGGACTATTCCGACCTTGACTACTGTCTTGCTAGGGGAAAAGTTAACGAGTCTGAAATGCTGCAGATTCTTGACTCTATCTTGGCTTTGGAGTTCAATCAAGAACCTCTACTTAGGTTGGGCGACGTCAAAGGCGTTTTGCCTTGCCCGGAGCCGCTGTGGGAGAAACCAGACTTGGAAGAAATCTCAAGAGATAACTCCAAAACAGGTACGTGCTTTGGCGTCTTATAATCATAAAAGGAACCATTAATGACCATTGTTCATATGAAGTCCGAATCCATGATGCACTTAGCATGTTGTATACAGGAAAGAAGTTGCCTCCAAACATTGGAGATTTTGGCACAATTGTCTTGACCTACGCTGTTTGCCGACGGACGAAGGATGCTATATATCAACACCAATCAAAGCTTTCTTCGTGGACGCCAACAGCGGACGTCGCTAAGCATTCTGAGGAGGAACTCGTTGAAGAAACATGGCCACCATCGCTTCCAATTCTCTCAAGATGGAGAAACAGCGCATGCGACTGCTTAGACTTGCTTCATTGGAACGCCAACGCCATAATTGCGAAAGCCGGAGGCTGGGAGCATCCAGCATTATTACACCTACACCTCTCGCGACTGATTCTGTTAACACCGATAAACCACATGAGGACGCTTGCCGTGGCAGCCTCGCTGGGTACCTTCGGCAGATCGGTTGACAAGTCGAAGGTGGAAATAGCGAGAACGAGCATCGCCAAATGGGCGATAAACGATCAATACAAGGCCAGGTTATCGATCATCCACGCCGGGGCTCTTCTGTGGCATATTCGACGCTACAGCATTAAAAATGTTCTGGAGTCCTTCGCCATCTTCGCCTCTACTCTGGTTATCTGGTCTTACAGCACCATGATGCTATTTTTGAACCAGCATAACGCTGCATTAACACAGATGCCGGGAACTTCACGAGAGCATTCCCGGGATGGTTTCATGGCATCACAGGCAAGTCCAAACGACACAGGCGGAGCGGGAGATGAGTCTGAGGAACCAGAGCCGAAGTTCTTGCACCTGGATAGACCATGCGATGATGAGATGGTGCAGACGTACGTGAAGCTGGGGCACCGTATGTCGGGGCACGTTGCGAAAGTTGGCGATATTTGCCAAGAAGGTGCACCCAAGAAGATTTTACGTGAAGGAATTAGAATGTTGACTGGCAAATGTGGACAAGAGTCGGGGTTTTCGGGCGAGAACTCGGGGGAAAGAGGTTCGTTGGAGCAGCAGGGGATATGGGGGGTTGAGCAGCCCTTCGCAGACTTGCTAGCATCCCTTGTTCAGTCTAATTCCGACTGAGAATGAAACTGATTTTCTCCTCAGCAAATATTCACACTTTTATCCGTCATTTTCGTCCGATCTGATCTTGATAGCCTGATTATCTGACATCTCCACCGGAGAAACACAGATCAAGGGAAGCTGCTTGGAGAATCCACTTGCAGAACATCCCACATGCTCCAGTGGCACGACACCACTCCGGCGGGGGTGGAGCTCAGCACCGACGAAGCTGAAAGTCAGGTAAACCTATTCCGCAGTAGCAACGCTAACCGTAGTTTAGCTTCGTTCCGTATGCGAATTACCCCAGGTTTTATCCAGGATGCGTGCGGGGAATTCAACTACGCCCCTGGGCAGGAGAGCGAGACCGGCAAATTTCTGTCGACTGACCTTTACATGTATATATGACAGAAGTCTCCACAGAGTTTGTAACACTGTTTGCTGATCTTGTACGAATCATCTCGTCCTTTTCGGGTTGAGTGTCTTTCATTCGGTCCATCATCAACCGAAACCTTCCGTTATCAAACACAAACTGCTTGTCTCAAAGCCTACACAAAGTGCGACTCTCGCAATGGCACCCAAACATGACGACGATGCGGTCGATATCGCTGAGCATGAACAAGCTCATGCCAACGAGTACGAGATCAAGGACCTGGCCTTGGCTAAACAAGCCGCCGAGGACGAGCACAATCTTGGCTTCCTTGAAGCCATCCGCCTGTATCCCAAGGCTGCGCTGTGGTCCGTCCTAGTTTCCGCCTCGATTATCATGGAAGGATACGACATCGTCCTCATTTCATCCTTCTTCGCTCAACCTGCTTTCAGAGAGCATTATGGAGAATACATTCCAAGCAAAGGATCTTACGAAATCACCGCGGCCTGGCAAAACGGACTCAGCAACGCCGTGAGTGTTGGCACTATCATCGGGGCCTTCGCCAACGGCTACTTCACCCACCGTTTCGGATACCGAAAGGTTCTTCTGGTGTCCCTCGCTTCAATCTGCTGCTTCATCTTCATCTCTTTCTTCTCGCCAAATCTTCCAGTACTGCTCGTAGGCCAGTTCCTTTGTGGAATTCCATGGGGTGTCTTCGCAACAACAGCCCCAGCTTACGCATCAGAAGTTTGCCCTCTTGCACTACGCGGCTACCTGACAGTCTACGTCAATCTCTGCTGGGCTCTCGGCCAGCTCATTTCGGCCGGCGTTCAAGCTGGGTTCTCGGAGAGAGTCGGTCAATGGTCTTACCGGGTACCGTTTGCTATTCAATGGGTGTGGCCGCTCCCTCTTTTCGCCATCCTGTGGTTCGCACCAGAGTCGCCTTGGTACTTTGTCCGCCTGGGCAAATATGACCAAGCTGAAATGTCGATCCTCCGCCTCAGTTCGCCTTCACAGCGCAGCCAGGCGAAGCAGAAAGTGGCCATGATGATCCACACAAACGAGATCGAGGCCCAAATGGATGAAGGCACATCCTACATGGACTGCTTTCGAGGTGTCGACCTGCGCAGAACCGAGATCGCGTGCCTGGCCTTCGCTGCTCAGCCTTTTTGTGGATCCGCAATGGGAGGCACGCCAACCTACTTCTTTGTTCAGGCTGGGCTCTCCACCTCAATTTCATTCCAAATGTCTGTCGGGGGACTTGGAATCGCCTCAGTTGGCACGATCATGGCTTGGGGTCTTCTCCATATGTGTGGGCGCCGTACTCTGTACCTATGGGGCCTTGGCCTTTTGACCCTCATACTTGTCGTGGTCGGTTCGATCAGTGCCGGCGCACCCAACTCAGATGCCGCAAACTATGGTCAAGCCGGCATGATGCTTGCCTGGCTAGCTGTCTATTATCTTACCGTTGGCCCGATCTGTTACGCCATCATTTCCGAAGTCTCATCCACGCGCCTCCGCAATAAGAGCGTGTGTCTGAGCCGAATCACTTATTACGTTGCTCAGATCATCTGCAACGTCATTAATCCTTATATGGTGAGTATCTCATCACTGTCATTAGCTACAGCATTAAACGAGCATGATATTGACCCTGGACCTAGCTCAATCCGACAGCGGGAGGCTGGAAAGGCAAGACTGCATTCTTTTGGGGCGGATGTGCGTTTGTCTTCTTCGTCTGGACATACTTCCGGTTGCCTGAGCCTAAGGGCAAGACTTTTGAAGAGCTTGACATCCTGTTTGCTAGAGGTGTCAAGGCATCGGACTTTGCTTCCTACAAAGTCGATGCATATGCAGGCGGGGAGGAGGCTTTGACTAAAGAAGGTTGAGTTGGAATTCTCACCTCATCTTCCTGTCTTTTCTTATGCGGAGGGATGGATGATACGTTCGATTCCCTCTTCCGACAGGACCTGCTTAAGTTTGCTATTGTTGCTGCGAAGCAATGGTTTAGATAAATCACCTAATGAAGTTTTGTCTAATGAGAAGCCTGTTAAAGATTTTTGAAGCGTCACACTACTACTCATAAACCTACTGCTAGTCGCAATGTGTTGACTATTTTTTCATTTCATTTTTCAAAGAGTTTTGCTATCCGGGCAAATGACTATCGTATTAAGTCTAATAGTTTGTTCATGCTATGAGTTCTATTATAATATTATTCTGATCGTCCCTATTATCATCTATGCCTACTACCCGGCCGGATACCAATAATACTTTCAAAACTTTAGATTTCTTAAGTATCGCCAAATTGAGAAGATCGCACCATCAACGACATTTGTTTGCCGTCGTTCAAATCATTCACCCTTCAGTTGCGCTTAGCTTTTGCTGGAGTAAATCGAATTCTCCAAATAAGTACATTGATCCTCTCATAGTAGGGGTCAACAATCCGACGTCTGACATGATTTCCCGGCGGGGGTGGAGGGCGTCACCTTGGCAGTGGAGCTGATGGGGTGATCACACCCAAATACCACGAACCTTTTTCATCAGTACTTTGCGGGGTTGTTGCGGGGAAGCTTGAGTTGCGATGGGAATGGAGCCAACTTTCAAGCTCGAATATTGCCAAAAGTCGATGCTCCGATGGGGAACCTGGAATCCGGTGATGAACCAAACGTGAGATCGCCAAATCTTGCGATTGAAGATGAATGGGTTGGTATATAAGTCAGAGGGAATGATATGAAATTGTTTGAAACATCGTCAGCATCGTCCTTTCATACGTTCACAACACCAATACCATCATGAAGCTCGACAATTTTCTCCCAGCGCTCTTGGTGGCCCTGAACATTGGCCAAGCCACTGCCCTCATCGTTCCGCGTGCAACATCGGGCGCTGCGACTGTTGACCTCAGCAGTTCGACTGGAGACGCCCGATTTCTTGGATCAGCGTTCATCTACGGATTTCCTGACAATGGATCAAGCGCAGACAGCTCCATTCCCGATTACTTCGCCACTGACATCAAGTTCAATGCTTGCCGTGCCGGCGGCGCCCAAACACTATATGCTGGATGGGCTGGTGGTGGATATGACGGCTATATCGGACGTTTTAACTCTACCCTTTCCAATTACAGGACTACTCGCAAATATGGAGCGGGCTTTATCTTGCTTCCCCATGACCTGTGGGGCTCTGACGGTTCTTTGGGAGGAGACGGACTATATCCGGGAGACAATGGAGACTGGTCTGAGATGGAGGCTTTCCTCGCGCAAGTTGTCAAGGATCTTAAAGAAAACGACATGCTTGAGGGGCTGGTATTCGACATCTGGAACGAACCCGAGCTTGAAATCTTCTGGGCGCGCTCTTGGGACCAGTACTTAGAGTACTATGTTAGAGCTCACAGAATCATCAGGTCAGTACTGCCCACTTTGGCAACGAAGCCTGAGGCTAACATACATTCCAGAGCCGAACTTCCGAATACTCTCATCAGCGGGCCATCTGGTGCAACTGTACCTGACTTTCAGAGCTCGGCCTGGACTTCTTGGCTGGCCGCCATATCGGCAAACGATACAATCCCCGAGATATACTCTTGGCACCAGATTGGCGACACAGGTCGTGAGCTCGACAGGGTCATTCCTGATTTCAATGCACTCCTCAGTCAGCACAATCTCCCACAGAGAGCGATCGACATAAACGAGTATGCAGCGCCCGAAAGACAGAACCCTGCCAACTCTGCCTTCTATCTGGCCCAGCTTGAACGTCATAACCTGCGCGGTTTGAGGGCGAACTGGGGCAGTGGTGCAGGTCTACATGATCTGATGGCCGACCTGGTCTTCAAGGATTCCGACGGCAACTATAAGCCCAACGGCGATTGGCAGACGTACAAGTACTACGCCGGGATGACAGGCGATCGCGTTGCCACGACGGCATCACCGGACCTGAAATTCGATGTCTTTGGGACTATTTCTGAGAATAATGTCAAGCTTCTTGTAGGAACTCAGTCTCTTCAGGCCTCGTATGAGATCAGCATCTCGGGTTTGGGTCGTATTGGACTGCCTGCCGACGGGAGCGTTTCGATTCGTACTCTTCGGTTCGACTTCGATGGCCGCTCGGGCTTGATTGAAGGTCCTGTTGATCTTGGCACGGCCGAATACACATACACATCTGATACGGTAAGTCCAGTTCTTTTCACATCAGTTGTCTTTGGCTGATCTTCTCCTAGCTCATCATTGCTGTTGACACCCCGACAAACTCGACTGCGTTTGCATATGAGTTTTCTGGCGGCCAGTAAATCAAAATAGAGTAGAAAATGCATGGTCTGGGACAGTGCTATCTCCAGTACGACTTGACATATTGTGAGATCAGAAGGGATAGGCACGCCGCACTGCATGCAGAACATGGTCCAAGCTGGCTCTATGACTAGAAAATATCAATCACAAGTCTGGTGTGCACTGTATCCTTGACTATTCAACCTTACACATAATACGCACAGCGCCGCAAGGTGTCGCTTGAAAAAGAGCCGTAATGAGCTTTGCTACCTAGGCGGATCCAGCTAATCGGGCGGAACTCATAGCTTTTACCCAGGCACGTAGTAAACATATATCTATTTGATCTATCATGATTATGATTTTTGTTTTTGTTGGTATTGTCGTCGGTGTCGTTTTCGTCGTCATCGTCGTCGTTATGATTTCTATTGGCGTTACCGTTGTCATCGTATTATTAGCTTCAATGTTGCTAGCCTATCCGCCCAGAGAGCGGAATTCGCCGTAATCAGCCATGCTAAACATACCAGTTTGATGCGAAAAGTCTGGAAAGTCAACAGCTCACAAATGAGCACTTACTGGGAAGAAACCTTTACGGTTCGCGGATAAACACGAAGTGCACCTGGTGATAACCTTGTGAGGTTGCCACTCAGGTCCATACCTTAGGTGCTTCAGGTCTCCACTAGGAAGTCCAACAGCGTTCCCGTGCATCCTTTTCAACTGAACCCCCAAAAACACCCTTCCATCTCCAACTTACCGCAATCACCATCTTCTCCCATTTCAACTCAACTCAACCTGCGCAGGCCCATCACGAAGACCCCACTTAGCACCACAAACATGCATTTCACCAAACACTGCATCGAGCCTCGGGCGGCGCACACCCACACGGTTGTCTTTCTCCATGGCAGAGACAGCATCTGCAACGAGTTCGCAGATGAGCTTTTCGAGAGCGAAGCGTCAGAACCGGCAAACCAGCCAAGAACCCTTCCAGACCTGTTACCATCTATTCGATGGGTCTTCCCCGGAGCCGCTGTGATTCCATCTAAGAGGTTCGGCACCGACATATCACAGTGGTTTGATGTCTGGTCACTGGAAAACCCAGAGGAGCAGGCCGATATCCAGAAAGCCGGCCTGAGACGAAGTATCGAATTCCTAGTCAACTTAATCGAGAGCGAATCCAACTTCGTCTCCCTGGAAAAGATATTCTTATGCGGTATCAGCCAAGGATTTGTAACTTCAGTTGCCGCTTTGCTGTCTACGTCAAAGTTGGGCAGTTTGGGTGGGCTGATTGGCTGGTGCAGCTGGATGCCACCGGCAGTTGTCATCGAAGAATTGGCGGACAAACGTTCGCCGTATCACCAGAAAAGCGTTTCACAACCATCAATTAACCCCCCTATTTTCCTCGCTCACGCCGTGGATGATGAAGTTATTGATATCAATCTCGGCCGTCAGTTGCGGAGGACTCTTGGGTCATTTTGCAAGACAGTTGAATGGCATGAGTATGATTCAGGAGGTCACTGGGTCAACGAACCACAGGGTGTGGATGACATGGTGAGCTTTCTGAGGCTCAACATGCATTAGACAGAACAAGCCTATCAGAACTTCTCAATGGACACATTCTGATGAGGACGGATGGCTACGGGACGGTTGTATGTTGTCAATTGCGAAGTTCATTCCTCGAATCGTAGCTTCAAGTATCGGGGCATTTCAATGAGATGTGCGTGGGACTAGGCAATATATCCTTATGCGTGGATAGCGACATTGTAACTAGCGTCAAAATTCGTGCTCCGGTCTAGCATAAGACCCAATCAACCGTCCCTTCACACATACAAGGTGAAAAACAATTCGCAACCGTTAGCCCGGATCGTAGCATGCGATGCCGGTCCGGATGGGGCATGGGAACGGGCAGCATTCGAGCGATGCAGAATCCCCCTCAATGGGAGCCGACCAAGTAACGGTTTGATCGAAGCTAGGGCCGGGTCTCGCTAAATAGCGGGATACGTTTTGGGTTAGAGGTGATATATTTACGAAGTCTTGGCACTATCTGAACTCTTGTGGTGGCTGAGACAAAACCTCAAAATGGCAGATCTTGGTTTGCACTGGCTCCAAGCCGGGGAAATCGCACACATGTAAATTCAAAACCTTGAAGTTTGTTTGTCCCTTTCGTGACAATAAGACCTATGACATGTGTGCATAATAGGAGCATGGAGAACAGTAAAGAACACCAATTAAAGGAGTTGACGGAGCCTGTTCAAGTATCAATTCAATGGAGACAAAAGCTTCCAGCCACTTCCTGCAGCTGTAGCAGATGGATTTGTGACTGTGTACGTGTAACTCTTTAGAGCTCATTGGTTATCGGTATTTAATCATTAGGATTGGCTGTTGTAAGTTGCAAAGAAATGGCTTCCATTTTCTTTTAGATCACCAAACCTCATCCAGGAGCATGCTTTAGGAACGGTTTCATTCGGAGCCGAGCGAACATGAATTCAGGTGAGGCGAACAAGTAGATAGTCTGGAAGCGTTAGGCATCGATACAACGAAGCTGTGCTATCGTCTTTCATTGGACAGTCATTCACCCACCTCTTTCTTTTGCTTCTAATTTATCTCCATAGGGCCTAAGTGATTGGTCTGAAAGGGAGGGGAGGTGAGTCGACATCAGCCCCGGATGCGTCTAGACACCAAGCCACGTACGCAGATCTACCGTTATACCCATGACCGGAAGTTCAGAAGTCGGTCAATCATCTCCATGCCAAATGCCATTTAGAAATCTTCAACTGCCGGATACTCCTTAGCCTTCAGTGGCCGCTGGAATCCCGAGACAACTTGGGCCTGGTCTCCGCTTCGGTTAATAGTCGTGGAGTACTTACACATCAATCATGACGCGTCGCAGTGAGAACAACAAGACATCACTTTTGTGACAGCCTTGGACACCAGCTATCGAGAAAACAGCCCTCTTGAATAAAGTGGCTTGCGATGGATCTGAAGCAGTAGAGCGAAGCATATCGTCGCTTGATCGAGCAATGTACTCGACCGATCACTTGCATCTTATCTATGCTGCTGATCTGTCACGGTCTAAGCGTATTAAAGAATGTGGCGATCTATGAAGATGAGAGAAACTTTCCCATGCATGATGAAAACGAATGAGGTACGTTGTCCACCTTATCGAATGCTAGCCTACCGTGGCCTTGGGTCTGCGTGCTGGTATGGCTTACACGCAGTGAGGACTCATGGCTAACGGCGATCGACCATGATCTTCATTATTGGATATCTGTCACATGAGTGATCGAGAGGTCTTCGGAGAATCTTGCGATTAATGCTAGTCGCTGTGTCACCATTTCTGGAACCCGGTGAGCGTCGTCCCGAGGCTCTTAGCCCAGTCAATTACAAAGCCATGAATACTCATTATATGGCAATCATGCAAGAGTTAAGTAAGTACAGACCACAGCAACGGCGACGACATCAACGACAACAGAGATGATAGCATTCATACAAGAAGGGTCAACCCAGTACGAAAGAAAGGAAAGATACTCCATTACACGCCCAGTACTCCGCCCAATAAAGTCAAAGTATCCACCAAATTCACAAAATTATGAGTATGAAGCTTGCTCTTCGCTACGAAAGCACATTGAACGCTCATTCCACCCAACAACAATCACCACATATCCAACATCATGATGCCCCAAAGGGCCACAACGCCAATGCTTAGTGGGTTGTGAGCAAGATGGGGTAACTCAAAGGCTCTATGCGTCGAGCCAGCGTAGATCACGAAGCGAGGCGGGGGGCTTTCTGTTGGACTGCCAACCACTGTGGTTGGGGATCCTCCTTGAGTCTGGGTCGCAGAATCTGGATTTTTGCCGTTTCCAGTTGGGACGTTTTGGGAGAAGCCACCTCCGCCGTCGATCGGACCCGTTGCGCCGGGCCCAGCGGGAGGTTGAGGAGGCCCGCCGCCATTGGGCGATGCAGCTGGCACACTTCCACCCAAATTTGCGGTGGCAGAAGAATTGGGAACCGCGCCATCGGGCAAAATGCTAGGCGTTGCTCCCTGGTTCGGAACAGGTGCGTTTGGTCCAGGATTTTGTCCCGAATTTGGTGCAGGGTTTGATCCAAGATCCGAAGCAATGGGTGATGCTGTCGGAAGCGCCAGAGTGGGAGCCAGGTCTGCCTTGATCCATGGACAGCCGTCTTCTTGGGTCATGTCGATTATAATGGTCTGCACGGGAGCCATCATTGTATAGGTAACAGATGGAAGGCCCGTTACTCCGGCTGCACAGCCATCTTCCCGCGGGCTGATACGTGGTGCCGCGAGAGCCAGGCCGAACAGCAAAGGAAGAAATGCCGTGCGTGACGAACACATGGAGAGCATGATGTCGACTGCTGTGGAAATAATCAATATTGGAGTGATAAGGGGAACTGTTTGAAAAGGCAAGTCTCAGCATTTACAGAATAAGCATCTTATTATACGCCGGCTACTGAAAATCATGCAGCTCATTATGCTGGCCAGGAGACCTCGAGGAGCTCTTTGGGTGGATGTCTGCATCCGGCCTCGGCTTCTTACTTTCTAGGGGAATAGACGGAGCGATCTTCCCGGATTTTGGGAGTCGTGATAATCAAACGTCATTACTTTCAACCAAACTGCAACAGCCTTTAGCTGAAAGTGGCTTCGCTGGCGGCCCAGCGAAAACGGACTTTTCAAGCCACTGGAGACCAATTCCTTTAGTGCCCGAGACATAAGGTATTTCCAGCGGCTTCTCCTCAACTGCTCCAACGTCTACCAAGTTTTCTGTGGGCAATAGTGAGGCTAAACCTTATATACTACTAGTGCAACCGGAGGGCTTTGGGAAAGACTTACCGACTTGCACCATCTTTGTTGGGAATAGTACTAGTTAGTCCAAGAATGGCGCAATATCTCATTGGCCGATGGTAGGTACGCCTGTCTCGGGCCGACGAGATATCTCTGCCTCCCGGGTTGCCAACTTTGGTCACCTGGTAGGATCGCTAAGCATCGGGGGAGAAAAGGAGAGGTCCCGAGGACCAGGTTTGCGGCGCCATCGCCAAGGTGAAGTGTTCTAGATTCGGCAATTATATGACATCATGAGATCTTACAATGACCGTGAGTATGTCGCAAACTCACTGTCGCTCTTGAACGATTGTGATGACAGACTGTCGACCGATTCAGTCTACTATGCTCGGTGAGCCGCATAATAATCGGTGAAATTGTCATCTTCCGAGTAAAGCCCCAGGGGGGGAGTTTGCGATGAATTTTGTTGCAATGTAATGAGGCTAGTACAAAGCTCCGTGAAACAATTCGGGTCAAATAAGAATATTACCCTCCAACCGCACCTAGTTTGGCAGGGACAAACAGAAATTACCGAAGCCGTCACCTGAAGTTGATTTCAGCTGTGATTCAGATGAGCCTCACACTGAGCCTTTTGGTAAATTGGGCTTAGTACGTGCTTAGCGACGAAATCCTGAGACATTGATCGACGTTACGCTTGCGGCGAAGTTTCGGAGATCGTCATTTTCAAGCCGCGGGCCGTTGATGGTTAACATTATTCCCCGGATGCATTCCAACACGACCGGGTCGAGACTCAGCTCGGTTAAAACAGTCTAGACTCTTCAGCATATTGAGGGTCATGTGACACCTCCAACAATACATTGAGCAGGGTGTAAGGCCGACCTACAAGAGCCTTCGCAGGACCTGAGATATCACGAGAGTCCTTCGATGCTGATCCGTTGAAGTCTTCCTCGTTCACTGTTGTGGTCTTATTGCCCAAACTCTCGTTCAATAATTCCTCACTCACTGTCTGGCACAGATCGCAAAAATGCAAGATCTCCTTCAGCGTGGTGCCCTTGTCACCCTTTGCATGCTGCTATGGTTCAGATTAGCAAACTCGCAGTGCATCCTTCCTGATGATCAAGGTGTTATCAAGCAGTATGTCTTGGTGGTCGACCAGACTCCTGTGCGTCTGAGCGCCGCCATATGCTCAAATACCACGATTACCGTTGCTGGCACCACCGTGCCAGTGACAAATGCTCCCACAGTCTTGCTCTCCGACTTTATTGTCGAGAACACCATCACATATACCTCAACTCTGTAAGTAAGATCGACATGGATGCTTTCCTCCGTAAGGGACCAATTCTTGTACTAACTCATGCACAGAAGCCCAAGCGCCGCTTTCAATGGCCCAGTCTCAACAATCACGAGGGGAGTGCCTCAAGGCACTGCTCTCTCAACTATTGTTTTGGGACCACAAGAAAGTTCTGGAGTTGGCACGGAGATTATTTTGGAGCCGTTTCCCGCAGGCCAGCAAGGCCCATTTGATCCTCAGAACGCCATTTCGTCATCCTCCGATCCAGCCCAGTCAGCGCCTGGATCCATTCCTGAGAACGCATTTCCCGAACGTGTCGAGACCATGACTGCACCTTGGACCGGCACAGTCACGTCGACTTTGGTGCTTCCTCCCCAAGGCACAGATGAAATCGAAAGGCAGATCATCTTGACACCGGCCGCAGCGCCGTTCCCAGGCCCAATCACAGCTGCTACAGGCCCATGGACTGGCACAATGACTACGACATTGACGATACCACCTGTGGGTACAGACTCCATCGCCTTGCAGCTCGTCTTGACACCCACTGATGGAGCTTCGCCCACGGGAGGGGCCCCGGCTGGGTTGTTCACTACTCTGACAGCCATCGGTACTGAACCAACGACATCAACCGTCGTGTTGCCCCCAACGGGTAGCGATATTGTCGGAACGGAAATCATTGTGGTGCCAACTACTGTTGGGGATGATGATCCGGACATTTTCCCCGCAGTTTATGTTCCAACAACAGTAACCGGACCTGGGACACTAACAGCCACCTTCACAACCCCACCTGCTGGAACCGATACGACTGGAACTCTGTTAGTTCTCGATCCGGCCTTAACTCCATCACCTTCCAGCGATGGAAGCGATGGTGGCAGTGATGACGAGAACGACGATGGTCCTCTCAATGCCTTTTTGGGCCCGTTCACAACTGTTACTGCCCCCTTCACAGGCCTTGCGCCAACAACCATTGATCTTCCACCAAGCGGAGGTGATGGTACGGGGACCAGAGTCGTTCTGACTCCAACTCCCCAGCTCAGGCCGTTCAATGGGCCTGTTGTCAGAGTTGCGGCAACCGTTACTGGTACAATCTTCACCACCGTAACCATCCTACCGGCACTGGCGGATGGCACAGCTACTGCGATTGTTATCAATCCAGCAAACACAGACCCGGGCGTAGCTCCCGCTGGAAGCTTGCCGGGTACCCCAGCCGTGATTCCAGTAGGACCTACGGGACCACCAGACTTTGGCGTTCTAGATCCAAGCCCGGCACCAGCTGACCCAGTGTTGCCTGCAATAGTCTCACCTGTATTAGTTGCGGGAGGAAACAACATCTTTACAAGTACCTTCGACGGTTCCGTCACCTCTACGATCACATTCCCTCCTGGCCCCTCAGGCCAACCAGGTTCGACGGTGATACTTGTTCCAAGTAGCGTTCAAGTGCCCACCACCGCAGCTTCAATTCCGGTGGACCCGGCTCTTTTCTCCAGCAACAACGGCGGGCAAGCATCATCAGCCACAACTGGTTCCGTGGTTCCGTCTAATGGTCCTGGAAACACTGTTTCCCCTGCTCCTGGGCCCGTCACTTCGACAGGGCAGCCACTGCCTAGCAGCTTGGTACCCTCCCAAAGCGCTCCTCCAGCTGGCGGGTCTTCCGAAGTTCCACAAGACGCCAGCGTGTTGTCGCCCACCTCTCCTATAATCCCGGCTACATCCTCTTCAGCTGGACCCTCACAGGGAACCAATACTGCCAATACTGCCGTCTCAAGTTCTAGAGTTGCAACTTCCTCGCAAGGGGAACCATCCAGTCAGCCTATTGCTCCTACTTCAGTGGATCCGAACTCTCGTACTACTTCAACAACTTCGGACATAGTTTTTCCCGACTCACTTACTTCCGCCAGCAGCAACTCGGGCATCTCTCCATCCACGACTACCATTAGAGTAACAGTCACACAAAGTACGAGCGCGGCCAGAACTCCAGGTTCTAGTACGAACATCTCCAACATCCCTGCCACGCCGTCTACATCTTCGCCTTCGACGTCCCCCACTGGGAGTATAGTTCCAGACGTTTTGCAATCCACATCAAGTACCCAGTCAACTACTGCAACCTCGAGTATTACCGGACTTCAGACTTCGTCCACATCTAGAAGCTCTGTCTCAACCAGTGGCATTCCGGTCCCTCCAGGCTTGACCTCAACAACCTCGCAGTCTAGCATCAGCAGCACAGCCACTCTAGTATCTACCCGGTCGTCATCTACAAATAGCGCCGCATCAAGCAGTCCATCTGTTGCAACTTCGAGTTCTGCCGGTCCTCCGCCTTCTGCAACCTCCTCCGCCACACCCACAAGCCGGACAAGTGGGCCTGTCACGCCCGTCTTGTCAATTACACCTTCTAGCTCTAGCTCTGGTGGAAGCACCAGTCGGTCGGGATCCACAGCTAGCTCGCTATCAAGTGGCACTGGAAGTGTCACAGTTCGTTCTTCTACATTGTCGACGACTAGCTCTTCCACATCGGGCGCTGGTACATCCTCGGGACCATCGGCATCGGGTTCGTCCACTGTAGTCACCAGTCTATCAACAAGCTCCGTATTGCCGCCTGTCAGCACGTCTTCTGGGAACATCCAGACGACCTCGTCAACATCAACCAACCCTAGCAGCTCATCTCCAACTCCACCAGGAACAGTATCCAGTAGTACATCTCCCGGACCCCAGGGTACAACCTCTTCTGCATCTACTAGCTCATCCCCCCAGCCGACACCCTCAAGCTCTTCCGGGCTGTCTACCTCAAGTGCTTCTACGCCATCTACCCGTTCCTCTGAGTCACCAATCAGCTCTTCCTCAACTTCTTCAGGGGCGTCGTCAACTGTGTCCTCTAGTATCAGCTCGTCGACCTCTTCGTCTGGAAGTTCGTCTGTCGCACCAGCGTCTAGCTCTTCTGCGTCATCAACGGCTAGCACCTCGGCATTTTCAGTCTCGAGCTCCTCTACCTCATCCGCCGTGAGCTCTACAACTACTGGAACACCAAGCTCTAGCTCTTCTTCCTCGTCATCGACGACCTCTCAAGTGGCTGGCTCTACCACATCCCAAGCATCTACGTCTTCTACTTCATCTACCTCCTCATCTTCCTCTACTTCCTCATCCTCATCCACTCCAACATCCACCCCAGCCTCTACAACCTCATCTACAACCTCATCTACATCCTCTTCTAGCACCTCAACTAGCCTCTCATCCTCATCGTCAATTAGCTCATCAAGCTTGTCTAGCTCGTCTAGCTCATCTAGCTCCATCACATCCCTGACGCCCATCCCACCTATCTCGACCACGCGCATCGTCCCAACTACATCCTTCACCGGCTGTGTAGTAACTGCAACAGCGACAAGCGCACCAACATGCGGCGTCACCCTTCCTGGAGCTTGCGCCCAACTGCCAACTACCAACGGTCTCATCCCATTGACCCTGGTCACGGCGGATTGCTTGCTAGATCTTGGGCCTTTCGCCGTCGGGCCCGTCGCGCTCTGTCTCACAGCAAACCTCGGTCTCAATCCTCAGGGCCAGCCGATCGCAGACTGCCTTCTCCGGACACTCGGAGCATCCTGCCCGCAAACCATTCCCCAGCCCTGTGTCGATCTTCAAGTCTCCAATGGCATTGACCTGTTGGTCGATATTCCCACCTGTGTCGCTGCTCTTGGCCCTTACAACTCTGGTGCAGCTGCCGTCTGTCTTGCTCTGAACTCCATCACCAGCGCTACCACAGGACTGTCCATCTTCGGATGTCTCCAAGGCGCCTTCAGCACCACTCCAACCGTCACGACCACGGCTATCACCGACCCGGCACTGTGTCCCACCTCGGCCCCTGCACCACCGACACCGGTTTGTCCCACTGTCCCTGGCACATGTCTAAGTCTCTCTACGGTGAATGGCTTAGACCTTCTCGCGGATATCCCAGCATGTACCCAGGCCCTTGGAATCTTCGCCGTCGGCAACGTCGCAAACTGTCTCGTCACTGGTGCCATCAACATCCTCACCACCGGGCAATCCATCGTCGGCTGTCTCCAAACTGCGCTGGCGTCGAACTGCATAACGGCTTTGCCGCAGGTCTGCTTAGATCTCAGCGCACTGAACGGCGTGGTGGATACGTCCGCCTGTCTTGCGGCGCTGGGACCGTTGGCAGTAGGAGGTGCCGCGACCTGTCTTTCATCAGGTCTCACGAGTGGAAGCTCCATCGTCCAATGCTTGAATACCGCGCTGTTTTCGTAGAGGGCTACCTTCAGTGTTCTTTTCGGATTTTAATGCTTTTGTCATGTGTTGTCTTGATGATGAAGAGAATGGGGGGTTTGGATAATTGTAGTAAGTTCAGTTGAAGTGTATGCTTCAGTCATTGATTTGGAGTTCTGGCTATCTGTTCTGGGCAAGCTGCTTTACAGTTCTCGGATCTTTCTCGCTTTGGCGCATAGGAGTATCATTCGAGTGTGTTTTATTTCAGGGCAAAAAGCGGCGGTAGTTGATAATGCGAATGAACAGTCGGGTTACCGATAAAAGTCTTTTGCAAAGAACACTGTGAAAGTAAGAACAAGGACTCCCTGTGATAGGTTTTCCTGAGTTTGCTATGTATATCAACCCGTCGCCATCATGCAGCCGCCCTTCCTCGAGTCTCATAGGGCAACAGTAGAAACACAAACCCAGCCACAACGAACAACGCCGCAGAAATCCACACCGGTAAATCAGTATCGATCCCGACATAGGCTGCGATAATGGGCGCCATAAGCCCACTCATGCGGTTGAACAAGGCTACCAGGCCATTTGCCGAGCCTCGAACTGGCGCCGGGAAGAGCTCGGGGGTGTACGAGTACAGCAACCCATACACTAGGTTCTGGAAGAATGCGATGGCGCAGGTGAACCCCGTGACGCCGGCTGGTGTTGTCGCTCTGGTGAAGAGAAACAAGAAGACGCCAGTTCCAACGCAGGCAAAGGTACCTGTGCCTTTTCGGCCGATGCGCTTCATGTCGACGGTAAACCCACCGAGGATAGACGCTGGAATTCCACAGACTGCCTGGATAGCATAGTTTCGGTAAGTCGTTGAAAGCGACGAGTCTCCCTGGCTCGCGCCCTTATTCTCTAGGAATATCGGAATGAAGGAGTTATACAGCGGAAAGGCCATCCCGATCGAGCACCAGAGAAAAAGCACGAGCGTCGTCGAGAGCGCAAACCGTGGGGTAGAGAATAGCGTGAGGATCTTCTCGGGTTTGAAGTTCTCGAGCTGCCGGCGCATGACATTGCGAGTTTCCAACCGCGGCAAACTTGCCGCGGTCGCGTCATGAGTGACGCCCAACTCGGCATCGACAGCTTCGAAGTGCTCGAGGGTAATCCAAGTCGAGCCGCCGTTCCTCGCGGCAATCTTTTGGACAACCTCGACGGCCTCCCGATCCAACCCCCTTCCGAGAAGGTACTTGGGCGTCTCGTAAACTCTGAAAAGCAGTCGGAGCAGGAACATGATGAGGGTCAGACCGCCAAAGGCCCAGTATGTGTATCGCCATCCGAGGTTATCCTCGTACCGACACTCCCCTGCCGGCAGACCAGAAGGACAGGAGAAGTTGGCGATGAGAGGCCAGGCAATCAGGGCCGCAATAGCCTGACCAAAAGACCAGAACGCCGACTGCATGGTCAAGAGGTACTGGTGTGTAGCGGGGATGAACTCGAGGAAGATGGCGCTGTCGACAGGCTGGTTACCGCCGGTGCCCAAGCCAATGAATGCGCAGAAAGTGGCGATTGCGACAAAATTCGGCGCCCCTGCGCCAACTAGACCTGAGACAGCAGGGATGAGGAGGGTCACGTTGAAGGCGAGCTTGCGTCCGATGTAGTCCGCCGTCATGGGCCAGGCTGTCGAGCCGATGACCAGGCCGACGTACTTGGCCACTGTGAGAAAGGCGATCCGTTTGACGGCGAACTCGTTGCGGACCGGGGCGCTGATGATTGTGATGGCTTGCATCCAGAACAACGATAATCATCTAAGCAAAGCTTTAAGAATATTAGTGAAAAGGTCCTTACGTTGTCGACGAACCAGCCGAAGCCCGTCATGGCGAACACCTTCCACTGAAACGGACCCATGCCGATGTCTATGAGGGCTTGATTCATGATGGAGACTTTCTTTTCGTATACATAGTCGGATCCGACGTGGATGGCACGGGTGTCGATTGCATGGTGTAGCTGGCTGGCTCCGTGCTCAACGTCGCGACCTTTCGTTTGTGGTGAGTCGGAAACGGAGACGTCGAGGTTGTTGCTGGATGACGGATTGCGTCTTCCCACATCCGAGCTCGAATGGCCCATCTTCTTCTCTCCAACGTGGAATGTGTTGGAAAATTGATAGATCCAGCGGTGTAAGCCAGGAAAAGGGGAGAGAATTAGGAAAGCTGGTCGGGATTGAGATCCATTTTTGAAGAGGCTTCTCGCTCACCGCGGGATGTGAGCTTCTTTAATCAAGTTAGCGCATAAGCTGCAAAAGGCTTTGTGAGTCTCTGGACGATGAGAGCCATCTTTATCAATCGGATGAGCTCCCGACATGAAAGCTCCAGCATCGAAGCACCAACCATCAGGCCATGTCTCTGTTATCTCAACAGCTTTCAGCGACCGGCAGTCTTGGTAGCGTCTACGTCCAGCGGACGGCGGCTGCATGGCGTTGTGATACCCTTGTCTTTCTGCACCACAAGCCGTTGTTGGAGGAAAGATTGACGTTGGATTGGGCAAACAACGCCAACCCCGCACACATCTTCTGCAGTTTGCCTGAGGCTCAGGACGATGGGAGGATGTTGGACATGGGGGCCTCGCTTACGCTAGCTTCGTGAAAGCAAAGAGTTGACTTGGCTCTGGTGGTGGAGGCTTAGAACAGTACTCGTCCGGGGCTGAGACTTACGATTCCATTGTAGAGGCTTCGTAGACATAAGAATATTGCAACTTGGAGGCGGCCTGCGCCAGCATTTAAGCGCTACATTTTCCAGGCATTTGTAACGTTAAAAAGACATGTTGACTGGTGTATCGGAAAGCATTGAAGTTCAAAGACGTAATCAAATTATTCATTACAGGTCATTGGGACTATTTACACAGAATATAAGTCGCTAGGATCCTTTTGTCCTCCACTCTTCTTCAAGCGCTATCATTTAAGGAGCAGGAGTGGCAGCGGGCAAGCAAGCACAGGCGCTGCTAGCCTGAGCGACCTTGTCCTCCTTGGCACAGTTCTTCACCGCGTGCTCAGGCAGAACGCTGACGTCCTTGACCGGAGCGCTCAGGAAGGACTTGCAGAACTCCTGGGACTCCTGCAGACGGCCGGGGACGGACTCGGCGCGGAACGATCGCAGGCAGTTGTCGGCGTTGCATACGGGAGCCTTGGGGCAGTCCTTGCCGGTCAACTTGACGACGAAGGCGCCGCGCTCGATGGTGTTGATGAAGATGTAGCCAGAGGGGAAGTACGCGTACGAGGACCAGGTGCCAACAAAGCCGACGTAGCCGCCGCCCTCCATGTCGTCGTCCTCGGGATAGATATCGAACCAGGCAGCCTCGCAGACGCCAGCACCGGTGGGGTCGGAGGAGATGGAGCTCGCGTCGAGAACGCGCAAGCCGGCGCCGTAGTGAGACTGGTAGATGTAGTTATCGATAACGTACTGATTGTGGTCGATGGCCTTGGTGGGGGACTTGAAGAATCCGGTCTGCTTAGGCGCGGTCAGGTCGCGGATGTCCCAGAAGAAGCTGACCGGGTAGCCGTCGCCGCCGGGCCCGTTGCCGCGGACCTCGTCGAGCTCGTCGTCGAGAACGAGGAACTCTTGGTTGTTCACGTCGAGGACCCAGCCTTGGTGGGTGTAGGACGCGCCCTCGTACGAGATGCGGGAGATGATGTTGGTGACGTTGGCCTTGTCCGTGACGTCGTAGATGGTGAGGGTGTCCTCGTTGTAGCCGTAGCAAATGTCACGGCCCTCGAAGCGCTTGTCGGGGCCACGGTATACGAGGCACTGGGCATCGTGGACGTAGCCGTCACCGCTGGCGCAGCCCAGGGAGATGGGGTCGGCGGGGTTGGTGAGGTCAAAGAAGTTGAGACCGGAGGCGCAGATGGTGTCGTTGCGGGGTTGGGCGCCGACGGCAACACCGTAGCTGAGCTCCTCGTTGACCACAACGTTGTGGGCGCGGCCCAGCGGCAGCAGGGCGTTGAAGTGACTGGTCAGGTCGGCCTTGGCGTCGAAAGTGACGGGGCTGGCTGGGTCAATGTCCAGGAGCTTCTTCATGTCGAAGATCTGGATGCCGTGGCCGACGGCCTCGGAGCCGATGACCATGTAGTGCTTGTAGGAGCGGATCTCGCGCCACTCGGAGGGTACCGAGTACTGCGGGAGTCGACCCAAGTAGATGAGCTTGCCGTCGGAGTTGATCTCCGCGAAGGCGGTGCCCTGGTACTGACCGATGGCCACGAATTCGCGGCCGTCATCGGAGGTCCAACCCCATGATGAGGAACCCTCACCAAGCTCGTCACCGAGGGCGGCGTGGCTCAGGAAGGAGTGGAGGTCGGCGTTGTGGCAACGGAAGGTGTTGTTGCGGTCACCGGCGATGGCCTCGGCCCATCCGTTGACGCAAGGAGCGTAGCCAAGCTCGGGGTACTGCTCACTGGCGTAGGCACCGGCCTCTCTCTGGCGAGCGAACTCGGCCTGTCAAAGATGTCATTATGATTCATATTGATGATTAATTGTTCAGGGCTTGTTACCTTCTTGCTGGCGATGATCTGCTCGTGAATGACGCCAGAGTCGTAGAGCTCAGCAGCGAGATCCGCGTTGGGCTCAATTTCCTTGCCCACCGCCGAAGCAGCGAGGACGGCGAGGGAGCCGAGGTAAGAGGAAGCGCGAACCATTTTGCCTGACGTTCAATTCAAACAAAGATTGACAATCTTGTTTGTTTTGATGAGCAGATGGGCCTGGGCCTGGTAATTGAAGTAAGTGAGGGGAGGTGGTGGTACCTTGGGGGTTGAGTCTGTAGAACGGAGATTTCATTGAACTTATACTCTCACATACTAGAGCTTTCGCATCGCAGGCCGAGCGGCCGAAGCTCCAACAGCTCCCAGAGCTCTGGGCAGTCACTGTTTCCTGTCAATGGATTCTGACATGCAGAGCCCATGCCGGAATGCCTGCTAGCCATATGATCCATCGATCTGGGCATTTCTCGGCGCTGCGGGCAGCCAGACGGTCTCTTCGTGGGTTGCGACTCAGGGAAGCTCGGATGTGACCAAGACATGGCAGGCAGGCCGCATCAACGACAGCTGGAGCGCAACAGTGTAGCATCGGGGTGTGAGCGATAGATTTGCAAGCAATTCCGGCCGTTGGGGCGCTCGATTGTAGCTCCCAGCGAACGGTTCTTGGAGTCTCTTGGCGGGGGCTCGAAGGGGAAGGTCCCGGGATCAAGTGCTCCTTGGCGGACAGCGGTCCGGGGAAAGCTTTCGTGGCCACGGCGTAAGAAAAGCGGGACAAGGACTCCACTTCCCCCCGGACACTGGATGGCCTCCTTTTGCCGTCCTCTGTTCCCTTCCCAAAGTTCCATCATCAAGCGCTACTGTTGCATGGTAGCAGTCAACTTTTGCAGGCGTCAGCCGCCCGAACACTCGCCCGGGCCAGGCATCTTTGCAGCGTCTTCGCCGGAGTTAATTCTCATTCCATGGTGTTTGTCTGACGGAAGATGCTCCTGGATCGACGCGACACTCTTGGTACTCAGGTTGCCTGCGTTAGCATCATGTCGTGTTCGGGCCCAAGGCTGCAGACAGGTCTTGTACCGGCCGTGGTATTGGTGAAAACGCGCTTGAGCCCACGGATCCGTGCCATTGCACAGTGGTTACCAGTTGATCATCCAGTAATAATTCATCAGAGGCGCGAAAGGCTTTCTTGAAGCCTTGCCTATGTCCTGGAGCGCGTAAAGGGGCGTGAAATATCCATCAATTCAACCAAAACTCCGTTGTGCCGAAGGAAACATTGAAGAGGGGACCGATGCGGCTCGCCGATGCTCGGGTCATCACTGCCAAGCAACTGTGCCTGGACCAAGCATTTGATGATAAGCATGTCGATTGGCTGGTTGGCGTTGTGTCGATAGGCAGCTGCCAAGCAAACGGCTTGGCTGCTTGTCTTGACTTTGTAGAAGACGCGTCCAACGAGCAGACAGACGTCTACATTCTGAGAGCCGCGGGTGTTGATCGATCTAAAAGATGTTAGCTTCTTGTGACCCCGCTCCTTGATACGATGTAAACACCCGAACAGCACAATATGAGACACTCATCTCCCACCAACAAGATTGATTCAATTGTCCGACACTTAATACCATGGGGAAACAAAAGGCCTCCCGCACGCCGTGTGGTCAAAAATAAGCGACTCCGTCCGAAGTCTATCTCAAAGTTTAAAGAGTTTATTTCCTGTGACTGACCGCTATGCATGCGACCGAGACAGGGGAACGCGGTGGAGATTGCCCACTGGAAAGGCTCGGCTTTCACTCCACAGCGACCTGATGTGTCGCCCCTATCAGCATGTTTTCAGGTATGCACGTTATTCGTAATGAGTTATCCGCACCGCCTATCTCCCCCGCTTCAGCAACCAAGACTCCCCTATTCCTGATGAGGCAGGAGACCAGAACCACCGCCTTGGGCCATATCGCCAGCGAAAGTTCCATGTTCAACTCTTCCGTCATCGACTTGTCGGCCACTACCTTCGTATTGAAGTTGAATACATGCAGGCCAAGACCTTTGCACAGCCGCTTTGTTGACCAGTGCTGATGTGCCCATCCAGGTTCCTACAACTGGGCTCGACCGTAGTGTATCGGCCTGTCTCTCATGGATGACGGCGCAACCAACCCCAAAGAGATCATGCCTGGTCGTTTATTCGTCTTCGTCTTGAAATGGTAAGACTTGGAGCAGTTTTCTATCTTTTTTCGAAGACGTTCCAGGACGTCTCTTCCATGACGCTACAGGCGTAAAAGCTGTCCTCAACGCATCGCATCCGCGTGTTGAGACTGTCCTGACATGAGATGTTGGTTCTGGCCAAGGCAGCCTTAACCAGGATGAGAGGACTCCCTTGAGCAGCATCTGGGCTTCCCCATTGACCAAAGACGCCTGCACTGTGACCCTGTTCCTGCCTTTTCGGATCACTCCATCTTCCAAGAACCCTGGGCGTACGACGCCGCTTCCGTCTATCCGATGCATCCATGTTCGTCCCATGGTCGAGCTTCCCCCGCCTGTGCCCCCATGCCGCCCTAGTTCAACGACATGCAAACTCTTTGCGGGTCAAATCAGCCCCCAAAAGTGTCTGGAAATCTCTTCCTCGCCTAGTATCGGCATCTGCTGGTCGTTGCTGCCCAGGTAATCTTGCATCCCACCATTCCACGAATCTTCCGTCTGCCCAAACGCATCAAATAGGAACATTAAGTCGTTACCCAGTGAAAACGCATCAGGAGCCGCCGTTCCAAAATCCGCGGGTCCAACGCTCTGGCCAGACGATATGCCGCCCGGCCCTGGATCTATAGTGTCTGCAGACACCACCTGATGGCTGTTACTCGCCCCGAAAGATCGGCTGGATGAATCCAGGAACTGTCGCCCAAGCTCTTCTCTACGGCCGTTGCTGTCGTCGCCCCTCAAACCGATCCGTTGAGCGAGGGGTAACAGCCCGCGGATGCTCTTCCATAGCCTCCTGCTGGCAGTCCCTTGGCGAGAGAAGCCTTTCACTAACTCAGCAGCAGAGAGAAAGCTGTCTCTGCACGGCTCGGCAAATATGCGGGAGCCATGACATACCGCCAGAAAGAGGACGGCAACGGCGCTGAGGAGGAAGTAGTTGAATGCGCTCTGTTGGCGCATGTATATATCGCTCGTCTCGCTCAGGTGGACTAGGACGGATATACTGTCGATGGCAATGTCGACCACAAGACGAGCCTTTTGCGGATCAGCTTCGATGCTGGCCGAGCTTATGACATGGTGTCTGTGTATCAAGGTGCGGATATGATTGCCTCGCAGGTACAGCAAAGCCTGCAATCGTCGCAAGGCTCGAGGTGGCTGTGTACCTGCCGTACCCCGGTGTAGCGGATGTCGGAGCTGCAGGTCGTCCGGTATCGAGTTTGACCAGTTCTGGGCGGTGAAGTCGAGGAACGCGACAGTGTCCTTTGGAATGATTTGAGATGGTGCGCTGAATGGCGGTAAAGCGTCCCAAGCTTTCGAGCATAGTCGACCATAACCGATCAAACATCGAAGGTAGGGGAACTCGTCAGGCTGAGGTATGTCAGCAACATGGTCACTGATGGTAGGGTCTGCTTGACTAACTGGCTCAGGCAAATCTGGATCTATGTCTCGATCAATGAGAGCGAATGACAGACTCGTCCCGAAGCTCCACCTGCGATCCAGCACATAAACGCACCAAAACACACGGACTGCCAAACCCCGTTCTCGCTCGTCTGGAAAGTTCTCGACGAGGCTCAGGTTCTGGTGCAGGCCCATTTCCAGTGCCGCTCGGGCTGCAATACCAATGTTTCTCCATGCGAGAAGCTCTTCGTCAGAGAAGAAGTAGTAAATGCTCTGTTCTCTTGGTGAGTTTTGACATATGGTAAATCCTGAGTTGCAGACTTACAATCATAGTCATGATCTGGATGACCTTCAGATCAGCCTGGGCGTCAATCGATAGCTGATATATGAGATGCTTTAGTGGCTCTACGAGCTTATTGCTCGCGTGGTTCTTGCCGTGGGCTTCGACGACAATGCTCGTGGCAATGGCTACTTTCGCTAGAATGACATCTTTGATATCCACAGCCGGCGGCCCAGCTGTTGCCGGTCGATCTGAGGAGTCTTCGACGAAACACCTAATTTCCGCAGCCTTTGAAACTAGCTCTCCGGTATCGAGAAACGGGTAGACCGTCTCTACCTCTTCCTGGAAAACCTCTAATAATCTTACGACCTCATCCAGAGGCATGGTAAGAAGCACATCTGTTCCAGGAACTGAGAGTGCTGGCTCGGACTGTTCAGGCGTCGGGTAGCGGGTGGGTGCCAGTGACTCGCATACACCGGATGGGAGCGGGGTCTGCGCCGAAATACCCATTCTCGTAAGTGATGTCTCGGCGACTTTCAAGCTAAAGGCGGATCTCGTCGGGCCGACGAATTGCGGCTGCTTCGGCTCTTGTACTTGCGGCGATGAAGTGTCATGTATCGACATGTGGCGTTGCGAGCTGGGGGAGTTGGAGGATGTTTGGCGGGATTTGTCTGAGGCCAGTCTGCCTACGGTGTTGGCTAGACTGGCCACCTGCTCTCTCAGCATGGATATCTCATCCATGATTACATCATTCGGTAAGCTGGCAAAGACGTCAGAATAGCCCTGTGGTTGACCGCGTTTCAGATTCTCACCTGCTTCTTGCAGACCTCCGAGAAGCCCGAGGCCTTTCTCGCGGGGCAATACTGCCATCCTGAGAGGGGGCCGCCCCGAAGACGCACTGCACGCCGCTGGTCATGCATCTTCGGCATTCCTCCTCGTTTTCTTCTCTCACGCACTTGAGCTTTCGCTTCTTACATTCGGAACTAAACCAGGTTATGAGTTGGATCTTAGCAGGGTACAAGAAAAGAGTAACATACCAAGCGGCTGCCGCATACTTGGCGCGCTTTGATCTTGGCGGGTTGGACCCTGGCGGCGGTGATCTCCTCCGCACAGAGGACGTGGCTTCTGGCGATTGCGCATCCGAGTCGTCGTTGTCAGGAGCCATGGCTAATTGGGTCATAAGTCGTGAAAAGACATGAAGTCTGGACTCGCTGGCTGAAGTGAGGACAGCTGAGCTAAGGCTACTTAGAGTTCGCAGGAACGAGCGGGCGCAGAACCTGGGGAAGAGTGGGGGTTTTGTATCAACTGAAAGCCGGTTCAAGGTCCGGGAGCCGGCACATTCCCCGCAGGCGTCCCCGCCCCCTCATGACGGGGGTCACGGTGGGTATTGCGATGGGGGACACGACAGCGCAGCCATTACCAATCCTGATTTCTACTTGCAACAGGAGGCTACCGGTCAGAGACACTGAATTAATAGCAAACTCAACGAACCCGTCAACGCCGGTTATCATGGAGGATCACATCATTTAGGGCCTCACTCACTCCAAGATTGAAGGATCAGCTCGGGTATTTCTCGGTGTTCATGCTTGGCGAGTTCTTGGGCTCTGGGACTTCGTCCTTCACTTATTCTTTCGTCTTTGCATCTATTTTAAACAGTTATCGAATTCTACTGAACGCATTTGCTTTCACGTTTTCAAGTCTACGGACTCGTCTCGTCCGACCACACATGTCGCTAATCTAACTGCTAGACATAGACTCCCCTTCAATATCTCTTTCTCCAAATTGTTTCTCAAGTCCTACGCCTTTTCCGATTCCCTCAAAGCCTCGCTCAAAGTCTCAAGATCTCTAGGAATGAAACGTGCTTTGTACGGCCGCGGCATGGCCACCAAACTCGTGGGGTCCGCATTTCCGGAAATGGGGTGATGGTCGACATCGTCGTACTTTTCAATCTTGAAGCTGTTGAGCAGTCTCATGTAGACGAGATACAACTCCCTGTTAGCCAGAAGCGAGCCAGCGCACATTCGGTAGCCAACGCCGTAGGTGAATAGGGGCGCATCGGGCTGCTCCAGCCACCTTTCGGGGCGGAAGACTTCAGGATCAGCCCACACTTCGGAGTCTGTCAAACATTAGTGTCTAATTCGGGTCTCTTCTTAGGTGGGAAGACGAAACCTACCCATGTTGCACGCCCAGGCGTTGAGGAAGATGACCGATCCCTTGGGAATGAGCACCTCGCCGTAAGGCACATCGCGGACCGAGGCCCTGGGAAGAGCCAGGCGAAGAACAGTGTAGTATCTCAGAGACTCGCGGACCAACGCCACGATGTAGCGGCACTGCTGGTCATCCTCAGAGTCGCACATGGGCTGCTTCTCGCTGTAGAACTCGCGAATAGCTGCGACGGCCTTCTCCTGGATATCAGGTCTCTGAGACAGCATTGCCACGAACCAGGCAACTTGAGTCGTGACGGTGTCGAGTCCGCCAGAGAGCATCGTGAGACTGATGGAGGTCAGCTCCGCGTTGTTGAGCTTCGCATCCTGGTCCATGATGACGTTGGCTTGGATGCAGGGCTTGTGCGTTCCGTTAGCCATGCGCTCGTCGAGGCCCTTGTTCAGGTTGGTCAAATAGACGTCGCGTCTGCTCCGCATCTCTCGCGCCTTGGCTGAGTGCATGTTGATCGGGTTGAGACGGAGAAGGGGGATGTAATCTTGAAGGTTGCCGGTGGTGGAGCGGAAGCGGCTGATTTCCTCCTCGACGTGGGTGATCTCCTTAAAGAGACCGTCCTTCTGACTGCTCATGCGCACGCCCCAGTTGAGGGTTAGAGCAAGCGAGAGAGACAGGCGCTGAATCATCGGCATGGGGTCGACGGGTGCTTGACCGGCCTTTCCGTATTCATACAGCTCCTTGATGAAGTCTTTGGTTTCGACATCGAGGTGGGGGACAAAGGTGGCGACGGAGGGACGGTTCAAAGCGGACGCTGCACCTTTGCGACGGCGCTTGAGAGAGTCGCTGTAGGGAGATGTTCCAATGGTGGTTCCGGCGGTGTCTGAGAGAACCTATTCACTGATGTTAGAATAGCCACTCACATTATGAACATTTAAAGATATTAAAAACAAGAGGATGTACTAACCTTGTGAAAAGTATAGAATTCCGGACGAGAGCTGAGAGCCTGAGCGTTCTGTCCAAACAGGGCCCTCGCAGCGGAAGCAGAGTTGACAACGACGACGGGAACATTGCCAAGTTGAATCTGGTATACTGATCCAAACTTCTTCGCCCATCTGCGGTATTGCTCTGCTGCGTTGACTCGAATATCCCACAAGTTGCCAATCAGGGGTAGGCCTCGGGGTCCGTCTAACTTGGCGATGCGCGCTTGAGAGCGGATGAACTCATTTGCAATGACGTAGATGAGGGGTACCAAAAGAATGCCCGTGATGGTTGACTGCAGCGCGTGGTCAAAGACCCGCTGCTGGAAAGCTTGGATGGCGTTGGAGATGGCCATGGCTATGGAATTGGCACTTGTGATCGTAGTCTTTGTCAAGCTGAAGACACTCCGGTATCCAATTGCGATTCATGGGAAGATGATTACTACTGAGACGTGATATCTATACCGGTCTGATCTTGCCGCCCCTACCCGGGCCTCAGCTCCGTCACAGCACCAAGAGCAATGCCGTGCGGGTCCCGTCGGTACTGTCAGTTACCGCCGGCGTCAGCCAAACGCGTTCCTCTCGGAACTGACTGCCTGCTGAGCGGCTGCTGGGATCGCTGACTCCCCCGCATCTGCAACCCCAGGTTTTCCCCTGTGGGGGCGGGTAGCGACATGAACCCCGCACGGAACGTCGGGATGGCCGGCGGGTGCTGCAGGGTCTCTTCCGAGCGGAACCATGGGGTTTCCGAGGACGACTGGGCAGTGCCAGCAATGAAGCCTGCCTCTTCAATGGGTGTCACTTGCTTCCCCGCCGGATATTTTGTCTCAAATAGGTCTAGACTTATCTTTGAAGTCCGATAAGCAAGTGGCATGGGATGGATCCATGTCTGGTCTGTGCTATCTCGAACTCGGTCTTCCACAGGCATAATTCGAATTACCAATGTGACATGTCGTGGAGAAGGCCAAGCCTTGTGAACTTGGTCTCATCTGAGGATCTGGGCATTGTTTGTATCTGCGTTTGGTAGAGTCGTTTCACTACTACAGACATATCACTTCTCTCATAGGGTCTCAAGGATAGATACATGCACCGATAACATGACTCTTTTGCGTGTGTTATTGCCGTTGATCACGTCCAGTCCGGTTTCATTCTAAGCCCAAGCCACTGAGCTGCTGCCACTGTCCTTATCTCGGAACCCGGAAATCACACACACACACAGGCCACGTCCTGCCTCGTCACGCGTAGATGCCAACAGCCGGATTTGTGCGGTATGGAATGCCGTCGATGCTCAGGGGCTCACCGGTCCAGCATCGACATTGACCTGTCACAATTGCAGGATTATCAATAACATTTCCTCCACGTCGTATCGTGCATAACGCGGGGGAATGTTGATGAACAATTCCGCTGCATGCGTTGTGCAGGTCTTACAACGGAGCGGTCAAACAAGCCTAGCTACTGGGCATAGAGCATTCACAACTTACAACCCTCTTTACTTCCTACAACACGCCATACCTCCCGGAAAGCAAAACAAGTCGTACGATTGTCAACTGATTTTCCTGGCCACAGATGGACACAAAGTTTGATATGGACGTCAACGAGACGAAGACGGGCGAGCCCCTGAGGGCCATCAATTCCACGGCCGACAACGCCAACGCTATCTCCGATGAAGATCGCCTGGCGCAGCTTGGTCATGCACAGGAACTCAAGAGGCAGTTCTCGCTGCCGACCCTCGGGGCACTCTGCCTCTGTTTGATGGCAACATGGGAGGCACTCTCAACTGTCGTCGCTCAAGCTCTCTTGAGTGGAGGTGCGCCTTGCCTCTTTTACAACTAGTAAGTTTAGATGATGATTTTTTTTCCCTGGCAATAGACTTACAAGTGCTTTAGTGTCCTATCCTTCGTCTGTTCTGTATGCATTGCCGCCTCATTGGGTGAGATCGCATCCATTTACCCGACTGCAGGCGGTATGTCTCAATATCTTAAAGCTCCTCAATTTGTTTATAACGATCTAACGCGGTGACCTCAAGGACAATACCACTGGGTTGCCGCTCTATGTCCCCCAAAGACTCGGTCACTTGCGGCGTTCACCACAGGCTGGATCTCTGTCGGTGGCCTCACTGTCTTTTGCGCATCAGCTGCATTCGCCGCTGGTTTACAAACCCAAGCCTTGATTATACTGAATGATGATTCATATGAACCGCAACGCTGGCAGGGGATGCTGTTTTACTGGGCAGTCCTTTTCTACTCCTCTGCACTCAACATCTGGGGCTCAAGGATGTTGCCCCACGCGAACATGATCTCCGGTACGACCGCAAGTGCTGATGCTCGATAAGTATGCTGATTGACTTTTGAACAGGAGTTATTCACGTCGTGGCATTTGTTGCAATTCTCATTGTGCTCGGAGTCATGGCTCCGAAGAATACTTCATCATTTGTCTTCACTGAGTTCGTCAACAGCAGTGGATGGACCAATGATGGGGTATCATGGCTTGTAGGGCTCATCAGTGCGGTGTATCCATTTCTTGGGTAAGTCCATCCTTTTCGAAACACCATGTGAAAATTCACTGCAAATTAATATCGCAATTTCTAACGAAAGTATTTTGATAGATATGACGCAGCCTGTCACATGGCAGAAGAGATCCCCAACGCCACTCGGAACGTCCCAATCGCCATGGTAGGCAGTGTTGTCGCCAACGGCCTCATGGGTCTCGTATATGTCGTTGTTCTCCTCTTCTCCACGGGATCTCTCGAAACGCTGTTGGCAACCCCGACGGGGTTTCCCTTCATGCAGATATATCTTGATGCCACGAAGTCAAGGGCCGGAGCAACTGTGATGTCGCTTACCTTGATCACGGTTGCCATTGCAGCAACAGTGGGCTGTATCACGTCTGCTTCTCGCACTCTGTGGGCCTTCGCGCGCGATAAAGCAGTGCCCTTCGATGCCTATTTCAGTCATGTCCACAAGGACCTTCAGGTTCCAGTGAGGGCGATAGCTGTGGTTACGATCATGCAGCTTCTGCTGGGTTTCCTCTATCTTGGAAACACCACAGCCTTCAATGCTGTCCTTTCCATGGCGATTATTGGTATCTATCTTTCCTACAGCATCCCAATTGCGTATATGCTTCTTGTTGGACGGAATAGATTGACCCGCAAGGAATATGGGCCTTTCAGACTTGGGGGGTTTCTGGGTCCTGTGCTGAACGTTGTAAGCCTGGTCTGGATGACGGTCGTCATTATCTTCAGCACTTTCCCATCTGCGCAACCCGTGACGGCCCAGAATATGAATTATTCTACTGTGGTTATGGCTGGTTGGCTTGTGTCTGGACTTTGTTACTATTTCGCTCGCGGCCACGCAAAGTTTGAGGTTCCTGTTGTCATCTCCGAAGTTGTTGAGGGGGTTAGGGATACTTGAGCTGTGCTCTTGCTTTTGTCACTTGTATTGTTGGATTAGGAATCGCCTTTCGCAATCAAAATGGAAGCAAAGTCTCGTAAGAGTCTTTGCCTCACGCAACTCTGAGCTCAGCTAAGTTGGCAAATTTCACAAGTTGACAGATGCATGCAGCAGCATGCTACAATGACCATGAGATACTTGAGACCCATAACCAGTGCAGTGCGCCAGAAACTTATCGATGTAGGTCTTTGCATTTAAAGTTGACACACCTGACACACGAAATTCTTGTCTCTGATGAATACAACACCTCGAATGGACACTTCACGAAACAACTGCTCGAAAAATATCAGTTGGAATCCCTACTCATTTGAAAAGCTTGCATTCTCAACACTCGTAATAGGTTTCTTTTAGTCTTCTCGGTCAATCATGTTAATACAATCTCAATTTGGGGCTTAAATATTCCGATGACCAATGGTTAAATATTCAAGTATTCCTCTAAGTACCAACTTATTCTGGACGCTTGAAATGCCTCGCCAGACTTGACCAACTATCTTCGCTGTAACCATTCTGAACCTTCTGGCAAGTTTCCAGACCCCATTCCGTGACCCCAATCATAAGTGAGCTCTCAAACATGAACGCCATGCTCCCCTCCCCAATCTTCTGTGGCTTCAGCTCTGCGTTGGAGGCCCGCTCAAAAGTGCTTGCATCAGGGCCATGAGCGGACATGACATTGTGCAAACTTGCTCCCGCGGGACGGAAGCCCCCGCCAGTCTTCGCGTCGTAGTCACCACAAATCAGGCCCATGAACTCGGACATGGTGTTGCGGTGATACCAGGGCGGACGGAAGGTGTCTTCCTGTACTAGCCATCGGGGTGGAAAGATAACGAAGTCGGCGATAGCAGTGCCAGGATGGTCAGACGGGCCTGTAAGGACGGTGTAGATTGACGGGTCTGGGTGGTCGAATGAAATGCTGCCGATGACTGAGAACCGACCCAGGTCATATTTGAAAGGGTAGTATTTCCCATGCCACGCCACAACATCGAATGGCGTGTGTTTCTGCTTAGCGACAAAGAACGACCCGTTGAATTTGTTGACGATGGACCATTCGGACTCATCTTCGTCGAATGCTGCAACGGGAATCTGGAAGTCTCGGGGGTTTGCCAGGCAATTTGAGCCTATGGGGCCCAGCTCTGGCAGAGTGAAGTGACCTTGGTGAAGCTCAAGGATGTAACCTCTGACAGGGCCTTCCGGAAGATTGACCTGATATCGAATGCCCCGCGGTATGACGGCAATTTCATTGGGGCGGACCAGAATGTTTCCCAACTCCGTCTTGATGTCCAATACACCGTGCTGGAGTACAATGAGCATGTCGCCGTCCGACGAATACATCGCGGTTTTGGCGTCCATGCTCTTCCCGGCAGCGAAAATGAAGATGCCCAGGCCAGTTTTCATCGCTGGATCACCAGCACCGCCAACGGGCCTCAGACCGCTAATCCAATCGGTATCATTGCTGATGTCGAACGGATCCCAGCGAAGTTGGTTGGGGATCTGGTGGATCTGACCGCCAGATTTGGGGCCATTCTCCCGCAACGGCTCAAAGGAGGAGTGGGACGCAGCAGGGATGATGCGGTAGAGCCATGTCTGCAAGTTCTCATGTCGTGGTGCTGTGAATGCTGTGCCCGAGAGCTTCTCTGCATACAGGCCATATGGAGCTTTCTGGGGCGAGTTCGCTCCAACTGGCAGTGCACCTTTAATGGCCTCTGACCTAGAGTAACATTAGTGATGTTCATGATTGAAATATGCTAGACCGTTGGGTCGGACGTTGAGGCATCCTGAAGAACTTACTCATGGAATGAGTCAAAGCCGTTGAGATATTCGTATTTCTCTTGAACGGAGAAGTCGGTGACTGGCATGGTGAAAGAAGTATTTGAACTTTGATGAAACGATATTTGTGACGGAGGGCAACCAGCGGATCTAGTGACGGTGGGAGCGAAAAGATGATCTCCAAGGTAAGATGTATCAATCGCTGTAGGCCAGTTTGAGATTTCAGCAATTATTATCGCGACAAGTTTGCTGCAATAGCCTATTTGACAATGAAGCTTTGCCCTGTTTTCACATCGACCGTATGCAGAACAAGTCGACCTTAAAACTCATGTCTCCACAGGGCCGAGACTGAGAGTTTGGGTATTCCCACAGCCAAAGCCGAATTCACTGCCGGTTGATACAGTGAACGGCAGTAACTCGCTTCTACGGAAGAAGCGGAAAGTATTTCTCGGGGTGACGAGGACACCTCGCGGGGTCCGTTGGGTGAATCGAGATCTCGGAAGTTCGGAACGCAACCACTTCCGAGGTTGCTTAATCACCACGAGAATCTACAAGCCCTCGAGAAGTCGTGTTCGCTATCTCAAGTTGCCAAATTTAATGCAGACGCAGAAAACGTTACGACATTTCCATCGTTACGCAAGGGGATTGTGTGGGCAAAACTCTTCAGAGCCTTGTGGCGTCAAGCAACTAACTAACTTGGAAGCGTCTGAAAAAGCTGTGCAACCGTAAAAGCCCGAACAAGAGATTTCCGTCTCCAAAGATTGATCCAGGATAACTTGCCATTATTTGAACTTTCGAATGGTTTTTATTCATGAGCTGTATAAAATGCTCACACCATTGGTAATAGTTTCAGTTTGCACCTTCCCAAGACGTATGGTCCCTAAGCCTAGAGTCTAATGCCCAAGCGATGACCGCACTTAACATGCATCCTAAGGGAAAGCTTCTACAAGTTAGATTGTGTGACAGCTTTCTTCAACCTCATGATACTCTGCTGGCTCATGTGAGCTATCAAATTACCCTTATCGTCCCAAATACGTGACTCCGCAAACGTCCTGTTTCCCCCTGCCCTGATGGCATTCCTCTCCACAATGTGCCAATTCTCAAAGTTGACTTCTTTTGTAAAGAATCTCAGCGCCACGTCAATTGAAGAGCAGGCTGTGACGTCTTGAAACCACATGTGATCATGAGTCAGCGGAACGAACGAACATGTGCCATCCATGAGAAAAGCAACTGCCGCGAGGTTCTCGTTTAAGGTACGTAGCGGCGACCGTGAGCGGGACCATTCAGCGGACCTTTTGGAAGTCACTGGCAAGTGATCCTGGGTTGTGGGCACTTTGGAGGCCACCCCAGAAAGATTCTGTCCGGACACGCCGTTTGGGCAAATTCGTGTTTCGATAAATTTTTCATGCTGACGGAGAATTTGATCATATTCTTTTAGTTCATCATCGCTTGCAGTACCTCTGGCGTGTAGGGTTGAGAGGTTGTCAAAGCCAGTAGGACAGTCCTCGGGCTTCGGCCAAGCCAAGACGGGACTAGCGGAGTAGTCTAGGGACGATGGCTCTTGGGTATGGAAGTCAACTAAAACATCGAGGCAAGTACGAGACGTGCCGTCGGGTTGTTTCTGGTGAACTCGAACTCGTCTCGTTGAAAACGAACGAGTGTCTCTAGTGTTTTCGACAGTGCAGAGAAGCTTTTCATTGGGGGAGGCGGGCCCATGAAAATGACCAACAATTGAGTAGAGGTCAAGGGAGGGTTTAGTGGTTGCACAGGCTGCGCTTACAGCGACAGAGAGGGAGCATCCACCGTAGGCGACAGGTCTGGCATTGGCCATGCGCATGGGTAGCGTCTGAGAAATGAACTCGCCGTGACCAACACTTTCCACGCCTATTTGTTCTGAAAGAGAGGGACTCATTATTTTTGAAGCAGCCGTTTGCGAGAGAGAAAGTTATGTCGAAAAGAGGTAGACATAGTTGGAACGGGCACGTACTTGTAGCGACTTCGAACAAATGCTGAGATGCCTAATCGGGGAATACAACCTCGGCTGGTTTGCGACCGTCGGTGAGCATGACAGCCGACGACCGAGGACATTTTACGCTCCAACACTTATGAGAAGTTCTGTACACGGGCATATCCGTTATACTTGCGGACGTATCCGATTGTACGTTTCCTCCTTTTCTTCTTCCTATCATGACAGTTTTGATTATGGTTTCAATAGTTAATTTTACCTCCCTATTTAGAGGTGTATGATTGCTAATTCACAACTGAAAATCTCAATGCCACGCGCACCGTGCAGTTCCGACTACTGATCTTGGGGAGAGATCAAATTCGTCGTCATGTGAACTGACGGAGTCAAATAATGCATTGTGTATCACATGCCTACCGTGAATAAGCTCTGTAGTCTAATTTTTGGGGTACCGGGTAGGAATTACTACGCGTTCCCTAATCTTGAGAGTCCTAATGTGAATCTTCTAAAATGCTATCGGTGCCAAGATTTGGCCAGAACACTCTCCAAATCCGACTAGCTCGCCGTCTGCTCCACCAGCCCAGCCCTTGATGACAACTGTATCTCCGTCTTGGAGAAACTTACGTTCTTGTCCACCATTCAGCTTAATAGGGACCTTGCCGCCTTGCGACTGTTCTAAAAGGCTTCCTTGAGTGCCAGGTTCAGACCCAGAAACGGTCCCTGAGCCAAGCAAGTCCCCTGCACGAAGGTTACAGCCTGAGATTGAATGATGTGCTACCATCTGGGGCCAAGACCACAAAAGGTTCTTCGCAGAAGTTCGAGTGAGAATGGTTTCCTCACCTCCTGAGGCTAAATCACAAAAAAGCGACTCGGTTAGTCTTCATTTCATGTGAGTTTAGGATTGTGAACGTACCAGACAGAGAAACCTCCAAGTTGATGTCCAACACATTTTCAGCCCGGTTTTCTCGCAAATATGATTGCAGCTGCACATCATTCGGCAATCCTTTCGTTCGGAACGGCTCCAGCGCATCAGCGAGCACCACCCAGGGGCTGATTGAGGTGCCGAAATTCTTCGCATTGAATGGGCCAAGGGGAACGTATTCCCACTGCTGAATATCCCTTGCGCTCCAGTCGTTCATCAAAACATATCCAAAGATGTACTCCTCAGCGTCATTAACAGGAATCGGACTTCCAAGATTGTTGGGCTTGCAAATGAACATGCCCATTTCAAGCTCAATATCGAGACGCGCACAAGGCCGGAAGACCGGCTCGGTAGCGCCGGGTGCCGGCAAGGCCTGTCCCCATGGCCTCCGGAGCGGGGTGCCGGAGACTACAACGGAACTGGCTCGGCCGTGATAAGCGACCGGCAGGTGATTGTAGTTTGGCTGCAGTGCGTTGGCCGCTCCGCGAAACAGGGTGCCGACGTTGTGAGCGTGATTGCGCCCGGCGAAAAAGTCCGTGTAATCTCCTATCGCAAAAGGGAGTTGCAAAGATACTTCCGATACAAGACGCAAAGCCGATTTCTTCAGGGCGTTGTTGTCCTTAAGGACGTCTGGGTGAGGGGTGTTGTCTTGAAAGACCTCTTGCAAGTACGACCGGACGATTCGATGTACTGGCCGTCCCAATTCCGCAAATGAGTTGAGGGTAGGCTGCGAAAAGACTTTCAATTGATCTGCCGAGAGCGTAGGCGCTTTGCGAAAGCCACCGCCTTGAGCGAATGCGTCTAGGTCAAGAACATGGTCCCCAATAGCAACAGCCGGGCGATGCTGCTGCTTTTCGTTGCTGGATATCACCCCGAAAGGGATGTTTTGGAGCGAGAAGTGAGATCGTGGGGCAATCGGTAGCCAGGACTTCATCTTGAGAATAGCTTGGGTTGCACAACCACGACGGATGAAATGCATTAGATACTGCGTTTACAATCTATATCAAAATCTCACTTTTCTATTCAGAGATCAGAACTGTGCATATCATACGTCGCAGACGGAAGCCACTGCGACCCTGCCATTCCGAGTCTCGGAGCAAAGTCCGTTTCCGAAGTCTCGGAACGACAAGCCCCCCTCAAGCCCCTCTCGCAAGTGTAATGCTGAGCTGCAATGCAGAACCTCGGCAATTGCGCGTTCGAAGTCTTTGGTGACATTGAAACCATATCTAATCTTGGCCTTGATGTTGAATGCTTTTGTGTACACATTTGTCTTGAGATTATCCACAGACATACCAATCCTCCACCATCCTTCAAGCAGCACAGCCAGCCTAAACCCTCTTCAACACCGTTTGTAGCAAGACAATCTTTCAAAATGGCGGAAAAGATCACTAGAATTACTCTTTTCAAAATACCTGACGAGGAAAGTCAGAAGAAAGTCTTGGGCTTTTACCAACAGATGCCACAGAAAGCTCTCAAGGTAAGAGCTTTTCCGTCCAAGCCTAATTCTCATCTTCCTTTCGGCAAAGATGCACGACTTAGCCTTCAAAACAGAAACCAAGTCGCTAACGTACCGTAGGACGGAAAGCCCTATATCTTGTCTGTAAAAGCTGCTTTGGCCGTGGCTGATCAAAGAGCGCAAGGGTTCACCATAGCCGCCATCTCTACATTTGCATCTGCCGAAGATATGGCCTATTACGATAATGAGTGCGCAGCGCACGCAGAGCTGAAGGCTTTCGCAAAGGGGGCTCACCAAGGATTTGCAATGGTTTATTTCAAGGATTAAGCTTTGTTATTATTACTACCAAAACAAGATAACAAGAAAACCATTACACTCAGAAGGGAATGCCAACCCCAGAATCAAACTAACACACGTATCTGAAACTCTTCTTCTCCCAGTCCGTGAGGTCCTCCATGCTTTCTTCTACCGAAATGTTCCCCGCGATGACCTTCCCATAAGTCTTGTCTCTCCTGCGATTCTCATATTTGATGCCGACATAGTACACAGCCATTAGCGCCACGGCACTGCTCTCAAACCCCAAGATGCTGTTGTAACCGGTGGCGTAATGCGGTGCTTCGCTGGCACGAAATGTCTGTGGCGCAATAATGTTGGCGACGCAGTACGCCAGAAACACCATCGCGTTCACCGTCACCTTCTTCGTGTGCCCACTCGTGTTTGCCATAGGCAAGCTAAGTGCAACGGCGTAGGGACCCCAGAAGAAGTAGAAGAAGTAGTATGCGGTAAGTAGACCGGCCTTGTTTGAAGAGGGTAGTTCGCGAATGACGATGCTGCATACAAGGGGCACGATGCAGCAAGCGGCAGCAGAAATGCATCGAGTGTCCTTGATGTAGCGAGGGGGAATTGTGGCGAGGATGGAAGAAACTGCCTGGATAACGCCAGTGGGCATGCCAAGGAGAACGGTCTTGAGTGGGCCAAAGCCGAAGCTGGACACAATCTGCGCGGAGAAAGTGTTCAATCCACCGTTGGACACATTCATGCACAGGAAGAACAAGCACACAACCCAAGACTTCCAGTCGATGAGTGCCTCGCGGACTTGGTACCACTTGAACTCCTGCCGAGCATGGTCAGTACTTCATCTTCGGTTGAGTGACGCTCACACTAACCTTGTTTTCGATGCCGGTGTTGTCGTCAAGCTTCCGGTGCATCGCGATATATGCCTCCTTTGCTGATAAGAACTTGCCTTCTTCAGGTCTATCAGGAAAGAGAAAGAACATGAGTATAGAAAAGATGAAGCTAATGCCACCTAGAGCAATAAAAAGCAGGCGCCATGAAGCTATAGCCAGGGTGCTGTTTCCAATGCCGTAAGAGATAAGCCCAACGTATACCTGGCAGTGGTTAGTTTTGTTCACACGAAGAAGGCAAGAACCTGACGTACCGAGGCAACTGTTGAACTCCATATGGCCACGCGCAATGGCTGTTCTTTCTTCCGCCACCACATGACGGTGATCAGAGTCAACCCAGGTAGCGCTGGCGCTTCGCACATGCCCATAAAGAATCGAAGCGCCATCAGACCGGCGGCATTGTGGGTGACAGCCATGAGCAGCGTTGTAACAGACCAGCCCATGGCTGTAATTGCAAGAAACTTGCCGATTGGGAACCGAGCCATCAAATTCACAGCTGGAAACTCGGCTACAAGGTAACCAAAGTAGAAGATGGAGCCAACCCAGCTGTACTGCTGACCAACAAGGTTGTTGTCTTTCAACATGCCGTAGAGGGCTGCGTTCGAGATGATGACTTTCTGATGTTTTGGATAGTTAGCATAGCTCGAAGTATTTTTCGATTCCGGTGACCAAAGTTGTCTTACATCGACGGCCGAGAGAACAGCATAGCCCCAAAGAAATGGCATGATGCGCCAATCGACCTTACGCACTAAGCATTTGACATCGCTGGCGTCGTAGTCGAAATGCACCTCTATTGTTCCCGTAACTTGCGACTTTGCATCCTCTTTCACGTCGTCCGGGCCGTCGCAGAGGGACCCTGAAGCAGGGCGGCTGGTCATTTTCACTATTGATAACAAACGCAACCCAAAGTGATCGTAAATGTAGTGCTCGATGTGATGGTACTACCAGATGATTCTGGCTTGTCTGGACGAGGGTGACTTGTCGATAGATATCAGCTCCACCGTGTTGCTGCTAGTCAACGCAGGGCTCTGTGTTCCCCGTCCCATTCCCGGCATTGGAGAATCGATGCTTATCTAGGCTTGGGTAGCGATTGTGGCGCGACTCGGACAATATGCGACAAAGTCCGCCTCTGTGCAGGGATATCGCAGCAACCCCACGCTCCAGTTCATGATGACTTAGAGGCTACAATTTTGTCGATTGTGTCGGACATGAAGTCACAGTCAGGCGAGACTAAGTCCAGATCGGGCTTCGGACTTATTTTTCAAATTGAAGACTATGTCACGCCGACGAAATCGAGAAGACCCCATTGAAAGATGTAAATCCGACTTTGTCACATCATTCTTATCTTTGCACCTACTCAATTCAAGGGTGAGAAGCATGCGGGTGCAAGCTTCATCGATGAAGCACTTCTTTCAACTACGACTATGGTACTCGAAGCTTCCCTTCTTAGACGAGGTGGTCCATCTGTCGTCTTGAAAATATTCTTTTAGAAGATAGCAATTAAGACATATGTTCGTTGTGCTCGTACTGAATCCACTGCGTCTCCTCCACTGATGGCGACGTGAACGGCACCCGCCCCCTGCGCATAGTTTTGAGCATGTTGATTACTTTCTGTTGCACCTTCAGATCCTCCAGTTCAGTTATAAATAGCTGTAAGTTAGCCGATTGAGGAGGTGTGATAGACCAGGATTGAGATGGGTCGCCGAACTCCACGACGGGCACAGCCTCCATCAGCAACTCGAAAACATCACGGAAGACTTGAGCAGAGCTCCACTTGCTTGCAAAGTCAATCAAGGTTGCAAGACAGGCAAATAACGCTTGGCAGACTGGGCGGCGATCGTATAGCGCCATTTGCTGGTGTGTAGGCGTTGCCCACAGGCAAAAGACCACGCAGATGCCAGCTTGGAATTGATGAAGGAGCTAGACAATGTTAGTGAATGGATTTTATGGTTGCCGTACAGACATACTGCAGTCCAAGTATAGCATGTAGTGTGATCTCTGACCCGGAACCTCCGAAAAGATACGAGAACGGAGCAGGCTGCAGTCACAAGGTGTTTCGAGTCCCCTCCTCGAATGGCCAAGTGTGGGTTCGGGAACAACGAAATGGCTGTATAGTTGGCCAGCTTCTGTAGCCATGCGCTCGATTGAAACTTTCTTTGACGCTCCGCAGAGTCAGAAAGGGAGTCAATGTCGTGGATCCAACGATCCAAATCGTGCCGAGGCCACGAGCGCCATAGGTTGGGGACGGGATGGCCTTCTCTTTGCGCATCATGTTCCAATCTCCGCGTAATCTTCAGGATACGGTACTGAATCCGACGAAGCTGGAAAATGTGTTCTTCCAGGGCAACATCTGCAGGCGATGGAGCAGCTGAGTTGAACTCGAAGGGGTTGCCGAGCCTGAGCTCTTCGGAAGACACAGAGCCGTCTAGCTCTGACATGTTATCGTCATCCATCAATGAGTTTTCCGAACAAAGACTATGTTCCATCGTGTTAGATATGATAATATCTATTACGAGACATGTCCTTGTAACCATTTTCTGAACGACGTCGTCGATGCCATGCTGTTGCGTTGAAGGTGCTTTTCGCCGTGATCTTTGATACGAGAGGTCCGATAATGCACAGTTCTTCACTGATTCTGAGGCGCAATCGAAGAGGTCTCGGACGGAGTCGAGATGCATCGCGTGCACAGTCAGTAGTAGAGATGACTGCGTACGCAAAATAGGCGATGACTCTTGGATCTCATAAGACCTGTACTTCGCCATGGCTCGTTGAAAGGATGCCCGAGAAAGGTCCAGGTGTTCGGAAGAGGGGGTCGATCCATGAACCAGCAGAGCACCAATAGAAAGCACCATGTCCACGAAGAAAGTCTGCGAGCCTGGTGAGTTCATTTGTCTCGCCGGGCCAGACCAATACTTCCACCAGTCCTCCCATTGCTGGCGATGTAAGAACGGCCAGATGGGGTGAGCACTTGTGAAGTATTCCTTCACATAGCGACCAGCAACTGACAGAGGCAAGTATGACTCGGTCAGCCGTTCTTCTTGGATGGCGAGCTGAAGAGAAGGTGCGCCGGGTTCCATGTCTTGGATGTCATCGGCCTCAAACGTTGTGGGTTCTGATTGAGATTGATCCGTCATGCGGTCCCGTGGAGGATTTGTTAACGGTGAGATATCTCTGCCGCTCAATGCTGCAAGATCGAAGTCGATGGCTTCATCGAATGTCCCGAGCACCCAATCCGGAGTTGCCACTGGGCCGGCACCGGGTGGATCAGTGGGAGAAGCAGGCCCGTCGACATCCAGTGGCCCATCTGAAAGTCTGCTCAACATATTCAATGGAGGCACAGCATCATCTGCTATCAAATCCATCGAGGCTGGGGTGTTGACAGGTCTTGCTCTGGGGTCGCTCAGAAAATGGTCACCGGCAATCGACGGATTGGACTGTCGGAGGCGAGTTTCAAGTGTCGCTATATGTTCCTCGAGCAGATGAACGTATCTAATGGCCAATGACTATGAGAACTACATTCCCTGCATGATACAGTAGGTTGCTTACCCAGCTGGAAGTGTGGTCATGGCAGACTTCTTAGGGGCGAGTGGCACACATTCTGGACACAAGATCGAGTCAACTTCAGTGATGTGGGTAATGGAAATGCCTTCGACTCTCACCTGCACCGGACCTGGCACATTCGCCGCACAGCGGGCGGCGTTTATCACACTGGCATTTTGTCAGCTTGGGCGCCACAATTGCGCATCAATGTGATTTCCCAACCTTCTTCTTACGGCGACGACAGCGACAGCAGGCAATCTCACGTTGAGCGCGTAGCCACGGGATACCGTACAGCGTCTGGCTCATTTTTGCTGTATTGTTCTGCAATGAAGCATAACTCATGAGCATGAGCGTGACATGGCTCCGAATGTCTCACTGCCGCCGGTCTCAACCTCCGCACTCGATATCCCGATTAGGCGACTGAATCAGTCATCCGCTCCGGATGGATCCCTTGACTTGTCTTATCTCGGCAGTTCCCCGCTGTTATCAACACCGGCCCCACGGCGGACTTAATGTGCGATGTCCGCTGTGCCGCTGTCGAGCCGGTTTGTGGAGGTATATTCCCACCTTATTTATATCTGTTCGGTACATTTCGACAAGGTTAACCTGGGTATCGTCTTATCAAGGACATTATCTGTCTTCGAATTCCCAGCCAGCCAGAACTTACCCGAACCGAGACAACACCCCAGGATCATCATGACGGTAGTAACCCCACGCCGCAAACTCCGGATTGCGGTTCTCTGCTGCTTTCCTATTCCCGAGAACATTGCGAAAGATAGGGGCCAATTTGACGACATTTTCGCCAGCTGGATTCTAGCATCTGTCAATGCGTACAACGCCAAAAGGCCGAACGGCCAAATTATTGCCGAGGTTACTGGCTTCGATGTGATTCTCAAAGACGAGTATCCCTTGCCAGTGGAAGATTTCGATGCCCTCGTCGTCACTGGTTCCGTGGCTTCAGCATATGATGATGAGCCGTGGATTCACAAGCTAGCTGCCTTCCTCCGAGGTATGTCTTCGAGGATGTTGTTCAGCCATGGTTTACAATCACTGACTGGCCGCAGATGTCTATGAGAACTCTCCAAATGTGAAAATATTCGGGGGATGTTTTGGCCACCAACTCATTGGCCAGGCCTTTCTATCCAAACATGGCGCTCGGGTAGTGAAGAACCCCAAGGGTTGGGAGATTGGGGTTCATCAAGTGTCGCTTTCAGAGGACTTCGCATCCCATTTCCCTTGTCTGAAGGGCGACACCGTCTCGTACCAGTTTCTTCACCAAGATGTGGTACAACTGGACGTACCACTGCCTCCGAACTGGGTGCAGATGGGCACATCTCCCTTGTGCGAAGTTCAGGGATTCTTAGTGCCGGGCCGGGTGTTGACCTACCAGGGGCACCCGGAATTTGACACTTTCATCAACAAATGGAGCACATTAGCCGTGCAGCAATCTGGGATGATACCCGATGATGAGAAGATGAAGGAGTATTTGAGACTTGTAGATCAGGAAGATACAAGGTTGCTGGCTGGCGAGATGGCCATCCAGTTTTTCTTGTCGCAGCCGACACTTGTAGAGTAGAAAAGAGTACAGAAGTTGTAGAGTCGTGTGGAGATTTATCTTGCAACAATCTGCACATCCCTGAATTGAAGGCCGACTAAATGATGTCTATGAAATGTTGAAACTAAATCATGAATACTTCTTATTTCATGTATCTACTACACAAACAAGCGATTCAGACGCGATTCCACGTCCAGGAACGACTTCATACGAATCAACATCTAATGATCGATCCTGCTTCGGCTGGCATTCTGGCTCCAGCAGGAGGAGAGCTGCGAGACTTGAACTCATCGCAAATATCTTCCATCTTCACAAACTCCACACCAGGCTTCGTCATCAAATATTGAATCACCCTGACTAGCCATTAGTACACGTGTTGAAAAAGTCTCTTCCAGAAGTGTTACCTTTCCAGCATTTTTAGTGCGTGAGGGTGCCCCGAAACATCGGGATGAATTGTGACTGGGAAGCAGATATTGTCGTAGTTCTCGTAGAAGAAGTCAAAGTGGTCCTTCCACAGATCCTCGACAACCGATGGATGCACCCAGCCATGGCTGTTCTGCATGTTCTTAATGAACATCTGCATGTCTTAGCGCCTGTGTTAGACAGGGTTTCTTCCGTTTCGCTTACCATTGGAGGGAGATCATCCAGATACCAGCTTGCAGGAATCTCCACTAAGCCGGTCTCCTCACCTCTCACCAGCGGCTTCATCCATGTATCCGGATGCTTCGAGTAGTCAATCTTGGTCCACTCGTCACCGACACGCAGCCAGTAAGGTATCGCGTCGTGGTGAGAGAAAGAGTGATCGTATTCAAGGCCTTTCCCAGAAATAAGTCTTCTTGGAAGTTCTAGAGCCATTATCTTCGGGGTCTTACCGTACTCCAACATGAGCTCGGCGCCTTCCTTGGGAGTCTCCCACCACGGGACTACTGAGCCTCTAGGAGGCTTGCCACAGAACTCCGTAACAAGTCGGTACGTCTTGTCTAGAACTACTCGTTGCTGTTCAACTGTCATCTCTTTCGGATTCTCGTGCGAGTAGCCGTGCAGACCAATCTCATGGCCCGCATCCCTGATAAGAGCACACTCTTCGGGAAAAGTCTCTAAGGTGTGGCCGGGAATGAACCAAGTCGTTTTGATATTGTACTTCTTGAAGAGGTTCAGCAGACGCCGGACTCCAACAGTACCAGCAAAATAGCCTATTCATCCAGTCTAAGTATCCAGAAGCCATCACGTCAAGAGAATAGTGGATACCTCGTGAGATGTCAGAAACGGATTCTTCGCCTCCGTATGATCCGATCCAACCGCAAACAGCGTCAATGTCGACGGAAAAACAGCAAAGTGCCTTGGGTGCCATTTTGAATAGTGCTGTAATAAATCATGTGCTGCATCATACCCCAAGGTGTGCCACATCTGAGCATAACAACTCATAGCTTATGTATGCACGGTATCAATGCATGAGTTTGGGCTATTGGACGACCTGTCGGACTTTTGAGCTCTTCTCCGAATGATGTGGGGCATTCAGGACAGCTTCATCAAGTGCGCTTGGCCCGATTGCATTGAGATAAAGAAGCACGGGGCAAGATTGACAGACTAAGGTCTGAGACATTCGCTGTTCACTCTATCGAACATACGCAGAGCTTTCCGATGGATCCGACACCTGAAGCACTTGCGGCGCACTCTTTTGAGTATGACCCCTCGGCGTTGGACAAGCCTTTGGCCGAGTTTCTTCAACGTTTCTACACCTTCTCCGACGATAAAGAGAATGCAAATTCGTGGGCCGATTGCTTCACAGAAGATGGTGTCATGAAAAAGGCAGCAACTAATGTTCGGGGTCGCGCCAGTAAGTATACTTCTATCTGTGATGCGGGACAAGCAGTACTGATTCCCAGCGCCCGGGCAGAAATAGCTGAGGTAAATCTCGGCTCCTGGAAGGGTCAGGCATCGAGAAAGCACACTGTTTTCAAAGTCTTCCCTTTTAGCCCTGGTAATGCCAACGAGGTGATGCTCCATGGACAGAGCAACTACGTTTATGACGATGGGACGACGGGCGAGATGGGATGGGCAGCAAGACTCCATTTCCAACGATTTGATGATGGAAGAATACTCATTGACACTTATCATATCTTTCCTGTAAGTATCCCGAAAATTTGTCGAGTCGTAGCTAACAAGTGCTCAGAGTGCTCCTCCGCGAGCATCATGATTGTATTGATGAGGGTGATGCTGGATTGGTTTACCCATGCGGTTTGCTAGAGGACATATCTTGCCACGCAAAATAGACAAATCTTCCGAACTATGCTCCTCCTCAACCTTGCTGCACGCACAATGATGCGCTGACTTGATGTTACTCTGTGTCGCTGGATTTGCTGGTACTGCAGTCGCGCATATTCTACCTAGTAGAGCTGTACTCAAGCAAGCATTTCAAATTGCATCTAACAAAATGAAATTCATTGCAACTCAGTGTGGACCTTTTCTACCTAGTAGTGAGGAAAAGGCTCTTAACGTTGTCTGCTCATTGAACTACAATAATAGCTCTACTGAATGTGTCACGACCGAAATGGCGTCGCTAGTCACACATCCGCGAGGCGCTCCAGGCCTACGTAATTAATACGGTATGCCTTCTGTTCTTATCAGTCATATCCAAGGTGAGTGCGATCATTCTATCTCGAGCGGACTTTCAGAAATGATGTCCGACAATTGCGGGTCAAGTGAACACAGTGCCGGTTCCAATTCACGTGTAGCAAGGATTGCGTAGGGGAACGATGCCGCAGCGTAATCTGAGAGGCCTCGGACTCATGCCGCTTGGTATCAAAAAGAAACCAGCGTTGTGGAAATTCGTACCGCGGCCTATTTCCTAAAAGCCATGCCTACTGTCTTGACTGCATCCCACACAGAGTGCCGTTAGCCTTGCCCTCGTCATCCGGAATCATGATTGCCAAGTCTCCAGTCGATCAATCGCATATCAACCTCCAGGGCGGATGGCCTACGCCGCGTTTGCATCCGGTCGAGGCGCTAGAATCTGCATCTGCCGCAGTCTTCCGCCGAAACGACATCAACAAGCAGCTCCTCTACGGCCCTGAACTAGGAAGTACCAGCCTACGAGAGTCAATCGGGAAATGGCTCAACGACTTTTACGCTCCATCCGCTGGGTCCATCCCAGGCGAGCGCATCGTGATCACAAATGGCGCCTCTAACGGACTGGCAACCATCCTGCAGAAGTTCACGGACCCCAGCACACGCGCTGTCTGGATGGTCGAGCCGACGTACTTCCTCGCTTGTCCTATTTTGAGAGATGCTGGTCTGATGGCACGCATCCGTGGCGCACCCGAGAGTGAAGATGGCGTGGATTTGGACTTCTTAGCTAAAGCTCTCCAAGAAGTCGACAACGAATGGCCGGCAGACGCGTCTTTACCGCCAAGAAAGCTTGAAAAGGCTGGCTACCCAAAGATCTACAAACACGTCATCTACCTCATTCCGACTTTCTCCAATCCAAGTGGAAAGACTATGGGAATCGAGAACAGAAGGAAGCTTGTGCAGTTGGCACGCAAGCACGATGCATTGATTGTCACCGACGACGTGTACGATATGCTGAGATGGTATGCAGACGACAACGGCGATACCTCGTCTGAGGAAATACCTCAGTGTCAACCCCGAATTGTGGACGTTGATCGAGATATGGAAGGTGCTACTGTGTTTGGAAATTCTGTGAGCAATGGATCATTTTCCAAGATCGTGGCCCCAGGTATGAGGGTGGGCTGGCTAGAAGGCACTCCGGACTTTGTTGCCGCGATGGGAACCGTGTAAGTTGCGAGTCCCCAATTAGTTTTGTATGACACTGATTTGATCAAAGCGGAGCAAGCGTCTCCGGGGGTTGCCAAAGTCATTTCGCGTCACTCGTGATAGACAGAATGTTGCAGAACGGAGTTATGACAACACACATCAACGATTGTCTTATTCCAGTCTATCGCGAGCGCTACCATGCCTTGACCAACGCCATCAAACGATGCCTTTATCCTTTAGGTGCCAGGATGGTCGCTGAGAATAGCGACTCCAATGTGGCCGGTGGCTTTTTCCTTTACGTCTTCTTTGGGAAGTTCACAGGTGCGAAAATTGCGCAGGTTGCACTACAGGACTTCAATTTGAAGATTGCTCCTGGGTCAATATTCGCGGTGCCTGATGACCCATTGAGCATGAGCAGGGGGGAAACTTCATACTTGAATGGTGCAAGATTGTGCTGGGCCTGGCACGAAAAGGAAGAACTTGTGGAAGGTATTGAGAGGCTAGCGTCTGCCATCAGGAGAATCAGCGAGACTCGGGAGTGAAAACGCATCGTTCGTACTTCTGTGGGTTAATACAAACATCACTAATGTCTTGGTTGAATCCAAATTTTCAGCTGGGCAATTTGACATTAGAGCAGCTAGCAGCAATCGTGGTAGCTCCGAACAAGATTTCATCAACATTGCGATTCTTCTATTCTAGAAGTCCAAGTGTTTTCAATGATATTCTGACAAGCCATTTACACTGCTACCAAGTAAAGCTTCCAGAGTAAATCACCTGGGTTCGGGCACTAGTAGTACAAATCTCGAGGCTTGACGCGCCCTTCAATGATCAGATCCTTCTCAATCAACGATGTAACGCGTTTGCGGTCCGAGGGAATTGGCATCGTCCGACCGACGCATCTACAGTCCATCCCAGCGGACATTCTGCGTTAGTGTCCGACGACGCACAAATCCCCGCCTCTTATCTGATATCACCATTACATCGTCTCACGCCCGCAGCAAGTCTTCGACTGGTAGCAGTTATGCATGTGCCTGACTGCGAACATAGTACTGCCGGGTGCTAATGTTGAAGTGTGCCGAGTATCATCACGGGATACAGTGCCCCTGTCAACCGATTTTGTGGGATGGATTAAATAGCAACAGTATGTATGAATACAACAAGTGCCTCCCATACCAAGACACCCTCAGCTATCATCCGCGTGTCTCTTCATTGTCTCCCATGCGGCCATGACTCCTAATCTGTCTATTTTCTCTCGAAGGATCTCTTGGCAAGGCATCGTCCATGCCCTCGAGGTCCCTCAGAACCCGTATAGCGTCACGTCAGAAACAGCTCCTGAGCTCAGCAGCAACCAGCATGTATGGTCCAATCATGATCTCGACCCAACCGAACCTGCCCATCGAACTTGGACATGGTTACACTATACATCCTTTTGGCTCGCCTCTTCGTTTGCAACTGGCACTTGGACAACTGGGAGCGCGATGATTGCTCTGGGAATGCCATGGTACGCCGCGTGGCTCGCCGTGGTTGTTTCACACATCATCGGCGCCGTACTGCTCGTCGCCAATGGTCGAGGGCCAGCAGCATACCACATTGGTTTCCCTGTCTACGCCCGTGCCAGCTTTGGCATGTGGGGAAGCTACTTTGCAATCCTGTCACGCTGCGTCGTCGCCGCCATATGGTTTTCTGTGAACTCTTTCTATGGCGCCAACTTCGTTTCCATCTGCCTCCGTTGCATCTGGCCCTCCTGGCACAACATTCCCAACAACATCCCCGTCTCCGAGGGCATCACTACGCAGACTATGGTCGCGCTCTTTGTCTTCTGGGTTCTCTCCATGCCGTTCATCTTTATTCACCCGCGCAATCTCAACTGGTATTTCGTCGCCAAGTCATGCATGGTTGCCCCCGCTTGCTTTGCGGTGTTGATCTGGGCCATCGTATTGAACGGGGGCTCCATTGGGCCGAGCTTCCAAGTTTCCCCTAAGATCAGCAATCCTGGGTACTACGGTTGGCTCTGGATGAGTGCCCTGAACTCCAGTTTTGGGGGTTGCTCGGCGCTTATTGTGGCTCAAGCAGATATCGCTCGATGGGCTCGGAAGCCGAGTGACCAGTCATTGTCGCAGTTGCTCACATATCCGATCTTCAGCGCTCTTCCTGCGCTGTTCGGAATTTTGGTGGCCGGTGCAACTTCCAATGTCTGGGGAAAGGCCTACTGGAACTTATGGGATGTTCTGGGCGAGGCACTTGACTGCTACCAGATGAGCCCTGCATCGAGAGGGCTTGTGTTTCTCGCCTCTTTCGCTTTTGCCGTGGCAATTCTCGGCACCAACGTAGCTGCAAACTCTTTGCCTTTCGGTTCCGACATTGCAGGTCTTTTCCCTCGTTGGATAAACATTCGAAGGGGTCAGGTTCTTTGCGCAGTGCTGACATTCCCAATCGTTCCATGGCGCATCATCGAAAGTGCGAAGAGCTTGCTGACCTTTCTGTCCGGATATTCCATCTTGATGGGACCATTTGCTGCTATCTGCATCGTCGATTACTTCTTTGTCGCCAACGGTAACTTTTCCATCACGGAACTGTACGTCGGCAACGAGAGTTCCAGATATTGGTACTACAAAGGCTGGAATATACGCGCAATTGCCGCATGGATCCTCGGTGTTGCATTACCTTTCCCAGGGTTTGTCGGGACCTTCGGTACGGTGAACGTCACCTCTGGGGGGACACATTTGTGGGAGATGGGGTACCTTCTCAGTGTTATTGTGAGCGGGCTGGCCTATTATGCACTGAGTTTCTGGTTTCCTCCGGCTACAAAGGGAGTCGAATCTCGGTTTGAAACCATGGCTCAAGAGGTTGACATGGTCTTAGATGCCCACGAAATTGTGGACCATAGTCTTGACCAGAAAGAAGTACAGGATGAGGAAAGAAAGTCAGTTGTTGTCTAGCTAGGCGTTTGATGAACGAACAAAGTTTGCCCCAATCGAGAAAATGATGGATCGGTCTGTCAAACCCTAGCCTGAATTCTGAAAAAAATCGCTCCAGTCTTTGATGGTCGGGTGTATCCACCCTAAAGGTGAACTCCGTTTCAAACTTTACAGAGCAGGCCCTTAGGGTGTAGGCTAATTTGATCACACTTCATCCCTCGTTACCTGAAGGGTCCATTGAAGACAGAGACCGGCGCGAGTTCCTCCGGAAGGCCTATCGGCGTTGTTGGCATTCGGTCGACCTGCATCTGTGTCAGCTGAAATTCCTCAATATGATGGAAGAGATTTTTGCTTACATTTGAGCAACTCTTGCAATTGCTTCCGGCACTCCTGGACACCATCTTCCGACTGTAGCAGCTCTAGAGCTGTGTTCAGTTGGGCCCCTTTTCCTTCGGTGTCACACCATGCTTTCCTGTTGCCTTCATTCGCAGGCTTGACAGCATGAATGATGAACCTGAAAGACGACACCTTGTCGTCCTTCTGGTTTTCCCATACCGAGATGCCCTTCTGCTTGACCATCTTTCCGTCCGTAGCAGCACTGAACCATTTTTCATCCCAGGTGGCTTTCTTACAATACTCTTCGACAAAATCAGTGGCGGCATCCTTGTCGAACCGTAGTCCCCCCGGGTTGCAAGTCTGAGTCCAACGTGGTGGGACGGCTGTGGTTGAAGAAGGCTTGCTCTGTAGCGAAGTCTTTGGTGGAGGGGTCTTCATCGATGTACGCGTCGTCTGCGGTTGCGTTTCAGTAGATGCCGTCGATACGTATGACAACGTAGAAGTCTCCCATTTGAGAGGCTGGCAGCCACAAGCGTTTCCCCGCCCCAACGGCAAAGCCAAACAGGCACCCAAAGATCCATCAGAACATTGTATGCTTCTACACTCTTCATCTCTTGTGCATGAGCCAGCTGGATCTGTAATCATCTCCGAAGCAGATGACGAGGTGGTTGTGAAGGTGTTGGCATCGGTCGGGAGGCTGGTCTGGGTTGGTGCAAGAGACGATGCGATGGTCGATTCCGGAGGCATTGACATCGGCGGTGCGAAGTGGCACGCACCGAACTCCTCCCCGCCTCTTCGGGCAAGGGCGTCACATCTCAACCATGACCATGAAATCTGAATCTCCCATGTCGAACGGGGCAGGTTGCGAAGGTGCTCCCATTTCCTCTTTCCCAATTCGAAGTCCTGAGTGAGACCGGCTTTAGTAAATCGCTGGCTTCGGTCATTGAGAGACGCAAAGCCTGTTGCGATGACCTGCTTCATCGAATCCGCCGAGTTCATGACAAGTGCTTTCACTCCTGTCGCCGGATTATTGAGAAAGTCGTCCATGTACTTGCGAAAGCGTGCGCTCAGAAACCCCCCTTCCTGCGTGAAAGCTGCCACTCCAGGATTCTGTTCTGCCAGAATCTTGTCAATTTTGATACTGGTCACTCTTTTCGTTAGAGAAAGCTGTTCTTGAAGTTACAGAGGCATATCACCAAGAAAGAAAAGAAGAAGCACTAAATGACTCACAACTCGTTGTATACCCTATTGTTCGTTTGTTGCATAAGCTCAATGGCATCCTCGATATTGCTCGTCCAAACTCCTTGTTGTATTGTGAATAAAAAATTCATTTTTTCGTCCAAATTGGTCAATGCTTCGGCAACCGGCAGCTTGACCACATCTCCTCTCCTATCAGCCACCTCTTTTTTCAGTTCGTTTGGATGCCACACGAGCCCCTATCATAAGAATTAGCATGTGATTGATCGTACTCATCTTGATTAGGGATTGCAATTCAGTGTGTCTACTTACCTTGGCTTTTTCGTTGAGATCCTGAGTCATTCCAATAACTCCAAGTTCATCTTAGAGGGGCTTGCGTCGTAAACACTGGCAAGAAGGTTTTGTGTGCCTCTTTCCCCTTCATTCTGAGAGCTAAACATGTAAGCATTCAAGTCTTTGCAGTTCATCTTCTCAGCCCCACTGTATGGCAAGCCTGCCAAAGAAGCCGCTTCGGTGCTTAAGATGTCTTCCTCCAAGAACTCCGTCAGCCAACTTTTCTCCCAAATATGATCCAATGAAGGTCTGCTGCCTTGTCTGTTGAATTGCTTCTTGACGTCCTTAGGGTTCTCTTTCTCGACCTTCTTCAGTCGTTGCATGACATCATACATTTTTTCTGTTGTAAGTGTAATGGCGGTGGGAGTGCAAGCCGGTGCTTCAGCGCTCCTCAAGCTGTACCATCTAGGCACTTTCCCACTCAATTCCCTCCTCTTCTCGTCGAGGTTTGTAAAGCCTACTATGTCAGCTTCTAGGAACTCTGTACCAGAGAAATATGCAGGCGTCGCCACAGGTTTACCAGCTGGCCATGCGGTTTCGATTCGGCACCCCTTGATTTGTTGTATGTTTTTCTTCGCTGCACGCGGAATCAAGATACGTCCAGCCAGTGCAAAGTCTCTCTTCTTGGCGTCGGATTGATCATCATCCACAGGATTAGAGGGTTTCCAGTCGGACAGGCTCCACTGCGGACAACCCATTGGACAGCTGTCGCCAGCAAGGTCGCGACCTCCAACGTATTCGGCATTATCGTGGGTTGGGCAGGGCATCTTGGTCGTGGTGGATGTGACCCCGCTGACACTACATCCTGTGATCGTCGCGTGACATGCCGTTGTGAAACAGGTAATGGTACTAGTACTGTCGGTCGTTGTTGGGCTGCACGTAGCCACGCAATGACTAGCTGTCTGTGTAACTTCACAGGCTTCTGTCGAGGAAACTGTCGATGAGTATGTTGTCGTTGGTTGAGTCCTAGATGGTGTCTGTGAAGCAGTTGGTGAATTGCTCTTATGGTCTTCTTCCTGTTGGCCACCGTCTGTCGACTCGGTCACAGGGCCGGGACAGTTTCCTATCTCGAAGAACAGAACTTTTACACATGGTAAAAAGAACTGAGGTAGATTGGGGAGATTAGGAAACTTGAAAGATACGTTGGGTATTTGTGGGAGATTCCAAAGAAGCAAGCCCCCGCCGCTACGATCTTTGCAACCGGGGCACCCAACAATCACAGGAACCAGAGTGGGTGAACCATCAGCTCCAGTCGTTGTGACCCAGGTGTTCTCCTTCCATTCAGAGCCTGTCAAGGTCTGAATGAGAAGCCCCGATAGCACCGTGGTCATTGTGGATACTGGTGTTGGAATGTCGTGAACGGCGGGAGTGGTTGGAACAGGTTGACTCGTCTCGTGGGAAACATGAATGGCTTGAGTCGTGGAATACCTTTCACTGTCGCTAGTAGACCCGAGAGTCGAGACAGGGCGCTCAAAAGTAGTGGTCTGGCTGCCAGTGCTGACTTCGGGAGCCCATTCGCGGGTTGTCGGTGTCATCAGAACTCGGGACAGGTTTCCAGCGAGGCTGGAGGTAGGGAATGTCATAATAGAAGAGCCTCCTTCTCCTGAGATTGGTGGGTTGTCTCTCGCTGTCAAAACATTTTGGTTAATGCTGTGGGTCTCCTGGGGGTCGTGGAGGGACAAAGACTGACTTTCTTCTGAGCCTTCTCCGTAATCACGGAGGTTGATGGCGGTTGCAGAAGAAGCGCCAACAAGCACGCAAACAATGTAGAAAAGCTTCATGCTGAACACCAGCAATGGAACGAACGATTCTAGAAGGATGAAGTCCCAAGTTTGTTGCAAACGAAGTAAATTACACAGATTCGAAGCATCAAACCGCAACGAAAGCAACATGCCATTCCTACGCCCTCGAGCCTTTTATGGTCTAATAGAAGTATCACCTCTTGCTTCAGCAATACTAATTTAGTACCAACGACATTTGCGCTTCCGTAGAGCCTGGTCGACTGATCATCACGAAAGACCAACGACCAACAGGTCACCGCCCCCGCGAACTTGGGGCCGTTGGCCCCTTTACTTCGCGTCCCTCACTTTCATGCAGATGCGAGTTTCGATTCCGCTGGACAAGGGGTTGAGATGCCGCATCGGATTATTGCAGATACATCCATGGCACGGGATTAATAAGACGACGGTGCATGTACCCTCGTCAGGCTTTCCTTGTGAAGTACGAACCCAACATGCTTGCAGAGGTCAACAGAGCTAGTAAGCTGATAGCGGTACTACCAGAAGGTAGTGTCAGTGATCTCTTGTTAGTTATAGTAATTATGTAGTTGATTCCCACCGTTTAAGCCTTCCTTCAACCGCATTCAACAAGTTGATGGCAAGCACCAGAAGCTTGGGTTATTAAATACTTACTCTGCCAAGTCTCAAGTACCATAGGTCCGTCGTCCGAGCTGCTACTGATACATCACGGACTGAAAATACCTCAGGCCCTGAGATGCTGTGACCTTTGGGTGACTTTGACCTTTCGACTTCACAAACATGAAGGGATCAGCAGACAGCAATAGTCAATCACGATCGCAAAATCAGTGCCAGTGAAAGTACCATCCTAATTGGCGGCGAGCTTGGCCCCTCGGAAAGGAGAGGGATTTCCCCCTTAAATGCGCAGCTGACCAAACGCAGCATGGGTACCTGCGAGTGAACTGCAGACAAAGCGCCTGAAACTCACAGAAATGGACATGGCTTCCAAGCCCAAAGCGCCCCCAGGCACGCAGGTAGGTGTTCTATTTTCATTATTCGCGCAGATGCATGCTATTGTGTGGAGCAATGCAGTTTGCCGCTGGGGCTTCTCGGCCAACAACGCACCTCGAAAGTACTCGCGCATGTGTTGGGCCAACAGACCCCAAAATCAAGCGACATTCTCGCTTGGCTTCAGCTCTTGGGATCGGAATGCATGTTGGTACAAAGACCCCAAAGCCCATTCACCTCGCCCACTTGAATTGCGACATTCTCCTTTTCCCGTCGCTTTCGTCATTTCCTGCCACGTTGACGAAACAGAGGCAATCACTCACCCGGACTCTACGGCCGCAAAATCCAACATCGAATCTCTCAGACAGGACGTCTTGTCTTCACTATGGATGAGGACATGTCACCATGCCAGATATGTGGTCTCACTGTTAGTGGCAGCCCGTGTTTCAGCGATGAAAACGACCCTCGTCTTCCGGAAGATGAGCCTCTTCCCGAGTACTACAATGAATTGAATTGGATCCCCGAGGCTCGCTTGCTCTGCGACCCAGACGATGAGTTCGGGCAAATTCTGCGCGGCTTCGATGATCGTTACTGCCCCATGAATGAGATACGTTCGCGAGTTCGGCCAGATTTACAGGGGGTTCGGCCGCGATCACAAGCTTCCGATATTGAAGTGTATGAGGCGAACACCTCACACAGACATCAATACGATCGATTCGCACTTGATAACAAGATCACAGTCTGTTTCGCTTCCGATTATTGGGCTACGGACGACCGAGTCTATGCACTAGTACATGAAGCATGCTTGGAAATTGCAAAAAAGGTTTTCGCATCATCCCACGTCGCCTATATACGAGACTTGCGAGGGCTTTTCATGGCCTTGAGATGGAGACGGGCAGTCACAATGAAGTGTAGTGAACGGCACGGATGTTATTTTGAGCCAAATTACAGAATCTGGCGGAAATTTTCCTACAGACCTGACATCAACTGGCCAGAATATGCATGCCCTGGACTGGATTGGCCTGGGCCATTTCCATCAGCCAGAGCAAACCTGTTTTACGTACGTATTCTACTGCCTTACTACTGGAACTCCTATTATGATGGATACTGACCCATTCTGTAGACTTTGGGGGATAGTCCTCTAGAGATCGAAGGGCTAACGGAATGTCTTCTGAAGAATTTGCAGCAATGTCGCTCAAAGGTGGATTTTGCGAGTAATCATGCTACACGACTGATGGAAGGTTTGGCTGCGATGCCAATCGAAGTCCTGGGCCAGATCTGCAAGTCAATGGGGCCCGATCTACCACGGGTTTCCTCGCGAGTTTTATCCCAGAATATCTGGAAGAACACACTCAAGGCTGGCCGACGTGGTCTTCTTCCATGGCTCTGGGATATCGATCCAGCGCTCATCGACGCCAAAGACTGTCAGAGTTGCCCTGACTTCGAATGGGACTGGGAACTCTTGGTCCGGCAACTCAGTCGTGGGGTGGATTATGGTCTCAAGTCAGATCGCCTTGAACGTGGAAGGCTGGTTCATCAAATGGTCACTACGGGCTATCATAGCGACCTCTCTGACGTGCCTGCTGGGCTGCATAACCGACGTCGGATTTGGCAACTGTTGGAGGAGATGCTTGTGGGTGACGCTTTGCCTTACCCACGGAGAGCAAAGCGAGACGGGCCACAGCCCTCTCAGAAGGAGTGTTTCCCCCTCTGCTGGAGCAAATCTGGAGATATCTTGCCTTCTCCAATCTGGCTTCCCTCAATCGAAAGGTGCCATGTTAGCAGTGACAACCCTGATGAGGATGGCGGAGCCGTTTATTTCCGAAAGATTGGGGGAGAGATCATCGAGTTTGAGGGGCAGCGGCGTCCTCAATACTGGCAGCAAGGTACTGATAGCGAGAAGAACCACGAAGAAGAACAGGCGCATAATAAAGAAGGAGAAAACAAGGACGGCGGTGAGAATGGGCATGTACTGCCGGCTAGCTTAGAAGATATCTACGCCAAGCTTCGCCCACTGGGGTATCCTGTATGAGCCGGATGGGCGGGAGCATCACAGTCACAACGGCCGATTTTGTAAGCTTTTGGAACAGATTGACAATTTGAAAGTTTGACCCCAGGAACGCTTATAAGTGTTCCCGACGGGCGGTTGCCGGTCTGGGTGATTTAGTGTTGTCCGGAGCCACCGCTACCTGATCAGTAATCTTTGACTTCTTTACTCTGACGAGTGCTCGAGAGCGGGTGGAGAGGGATCCCTGTCCCGGGTGAGCTCAGACGAATTGGTACATGGAAACTTGTCAAAGTCAATGTATGCGGACCTACTATGTACAAAAAATATCGGCGTCTGAATTATGAGAGATGGTAATGCCAAGCGATGGATGGCCAGTCGATAGGGGTTTATGACTCTGTTGTTGCGTCTCTGATGTCAAAGGTATAAAGTGCACGACATGTAACTCACTCATTCTCGATTCTGACCATCTCTACACGAATAGTATGATACATCCCTCGCCTTGAATCTTCACTCTATCAACATGTCCGCCTCACTCATATTCATCACCGGAGCCACCGGCTTCATCGGCTCTCAGATCGCATCCTCCGTCTTGAAGACAGGTTACCGCGTCCGACTCAGCGTCCGCCGTGAAGAACAGATTCAGAAGCTCCAAGAAGCTTTCCCAACATTTGCAGACCAGCTTCAATTCATTCTCATCCCCGATTTCACAAAGACGAACGCGTTTGCCGATGCTGTCGTTGGCGTAGACTACGTGATCCACGTGGCATCGCCCATGGTGGGCCAGGGCGCCGACTTCCAAGATGACTACATCAATCCCGCTGTCCAGGGCACGCTCTCACTTCTTGACGCCGCCAAGGCGACGCCGTCCATCAAGAGAGTCCTCATCACCTCTTCTATCCTCGCGTTGATATCTTTAGAATCTCTGTTCACAATGGCTGGCAACGGGCTCGTCGTCCGAGGTAACTTCACCAGGATGCTTTCCATCTATGGCTCATTTGTCTAACCAAGTTCCAGAGCACGCTGGCATCGATCTTCCCGTCGACGTCAACATGGAGCTTCCTGAAGGCCTCCCAGGCCACACCATCAAATACCAAGGCTCCAAGATCCTCGCGCACCAAGCAACGGAAGACTGGGTCAAAAAGAACAGCCCCTCTTTCAAAGTCCTCACTTTCCACCCCAGCTTCGTTACTGGCCCAAGCCTCCTACAGAAGAAGGCCGAACAGATCGACAGCATCAACTACCTCTTCCTCGACGCCGTCCGCACGGGAAACATCACCTTTCCTCCCGTGCTAGTCGACGTCAGGGATGTCGCCGAGGCCTTCGCCCGGGCGCTGACGGCGCCCGTCCCGGCGGAGTTCCAGGAATTCATCCTCTCCGGCGTCACGACATCGTGGAATGAGATTGCGGAGGTGGTGCAGAAACTCTATCCCGCCGCCGACTACAAGCTCAAACCCCCGGTCGAGGGTGCGCCGACCATGAGCGCGGTGACCAAAGCGGCGGACGAGATTCTTGGGATGAAGTGGAGATCTTTGGAGGAGCTCATCCGCGGCGTCGTTGATGTCCAGCTGGCATTTAAAGCTTGAACCCGTCAGAATGACGTTGTTAGGCTGTAGTGGGATAGTATTCAACGTGTCGAGGACTCGGACTCCGTGCAGGACCGAATACGATCCCACCGGCTGTTTTCGAAAGAATTAGTGATTAATCAACATTTAAAATATTATGTTCTCATCAATGAACGTTCTGGGTTAGGAAACGTTAATTCACGAAAGTTTCGACCAAGGGCGTAAGTTGTAGGGTGTCTGTTCTAGGGCGCGTTCTTGCTTGCAGAGGTGACCGAGTGGATGGAGTCGCGACGCACATACTTCTTTATGCATCAAGTTGATAAAAGTCTCCTGATTCTCTCAGACTTTAAATAGAGAGCAGCGATTGGTTCGTTGATATGTCCATGTTGTTCAATAGCAATGACCAGTCGGGTAGAACAAAGGAGTGTCCTTAAACCACTGTCGTCTGCCATCACCTTAAGGTAATTACTAATGCTAGATTTTGCTCAACTTGAAACACCTGCCAAGACACATGGAGTTCAGTTGTTTAACTGCTCCATTTCATATAGGAATTTATTGACGATGAAGTTGTGAGTTTGGAGTAAGTAAAGAGTTCAATGGTAAATTTCTTAGCTTGCCCGTTTTCCGGGCTTTTCACGTTCAAACCCAAACATCCCCGTTGATGATGGGTTCGCAACCAGAAAAAAGAGAAATAGGTAGTGGAATATTCTCAATCAAGCATGCTGCTCATTTGCACTCTCGTCGTTGGAGTTCGATATAACGCTCGACCGAGCAACCAATCACGCTCGTTGTAGTGCCGCTGATGTTGGTGCCTAGCTGCATGTCCAAAACACACATCCATCTGACGTCCGACCTGATGCCTTGCTTCAGCAGCTTGATAATCTTTATTCTCCGATAATCTTGGTTCTTCTATTGTTTGTAAGATCAACTCTGAGCACCTCGACTTCACACATTCCTGGCAGATTTAATTGTAATAAATGGCCGTTCACGAGCATCTCGACCCCGACCGTCGCGAGATCAGGCTGGTCCGCCTGCAACAGCCTTGTGCGCCTTCCATCCTCTCCCTCGAGCTCCGGACGGTGTCTTTGGACGAGGAGGAAGCCTCATACAGCGCACTTTCATACGTCTGGGGCAACTCTTCTGAACCGCAGAAGATCGAAATCAACAGCCAGCCGTTTCATGTCACGCAAAACCTGCACGATGCTCTGCAACAGCTAGAGAGGAACGGCGTCAGCTCATGGATTTGGATCGACGCCATATGTATCGAACAGTCCGACCTTGAAGAGAAGACCCATGAGGTCGGCATGACGCGCGACATCTTTAGCAATGCAGCGATGGTGTACGTCTGGCTAGGACCCGGCACCGAGGAGACGGACCAGGCAATGGACCTCATTTTCAAGTACGGCCCCCGACTTCATGCCTCTGGTGCGCTTGAGATGCCCTCCAATAATGGGGAGATAATTAGTCTGCGCAACGGTGTCATGGGTCGGCTGGATCCGGCGTGGCAAGCTAAGTACGGCGCCCTTGGAATGGGCCCGGCGACAAAATTAGCCGCCACCGCCGTGGACTTGTTCACGGAGTATCACGAGAACGATAAAGTTCTCATTCCGGGTTTATCTGACATTCTGCATCGAAGTTATTGGTGCAGGATCTGGATCATACAAGAAGTCGCACTCGCACGGGAGGCGGCGGTCATGGTAGGCGGCAGGAGAGTCTCGCTAGATGCGTTCGAGGCGGCAGTAGTGACCATGTGGCACGGTGGGAACGTTGACGCCCTGAGACTCGAGTTAACATTACATCGTATCAAAGCGCTCCAAGTCCGAAGACTTCGTCGAGGCCGCCGTGAGCCTCTGCTGAGACGCGTGTTATGGGAGACAGGCGCCGCGCCGGGTCGACCCTTCTACGCTGCGTCTGACCCGCGCGATCTCCTCATTGGTCTTCTCGGGGTCCTAGACGAAGAGGAAAAGCACGGCATGAAATCAGACTACACGCAGTCGTTCGGGAAAACTTTTACGCAGGCGACAAGGGCCATGTTGCAAAGCTCTGGTGGACCGTATTTTAATATCGACTCCGTGAAGCCTGGGAAACTGGAAGCGGAGCTGCCTACGTGGGTTCCCGATTTCCGCGAGATCGGTCGTTCTGGCGTTAGGCCATACCCAATCAACTACGGTGGGAAGTATTTCTCCGCTGCCCGAGGAAAATCCCAGCCTCAAAGAGACGTGTCTCCGGGCTTCCGAGAGGGCAGCGCGCTCCATCGCCGGGGGTGTATAGTTGATGAAGTTACCGAAGTGCTCCAGTGGCTGAGACCGGCTCCAAGACCGACCAGGATTAAAGAGCCGGAGCGGTGGGCAAATTCTGTTGTTGATTTTGTTGGTTTGGGACCGGAATCTGGCCCAGGGGAGGATTACGTCTGGAGGACTGTCCTTCATGGGTTCGCGGGACTGTTCCAATTCTGCTGGAAGATGTACAATGACGGCAAGATGCACGACGTACCCCAAATGCTTCGCAAAGTCATGCGAAAAGATCCTCTTGACGTGGAGTGCTTGTCGAAAGAGGCTCTCACGGTTCTCCGCCACGAGGGGATGTGGGATGGCAAAGCGCTGAATAGCGTCGAGCCTGTGAAGGCTGAGGAGAGAGAACTTGCTGCGGACGAGCTTCGGGGTACGGTGTATTTTAGCGTTAGCCGTGATTCCCGAACACTGTTCAAATCGAGAAAAGGCATGTTTGGGCTCGGGCATATCGGGATCGCGCCAGGGGATGTGGTAACCCTGGTGTGGGGGGTTGGATCACCGATCGTTCTACGACCTCGAGCTGAAGGAGGATACTACTTCAAAGGCGATTCCTATGTCGATGGCATTATGCAAGGGGAGTTTCTCAAAACGCAGCCTCGGGAGCAAGAGCTGATCATTCACTGAGACGAGGTGCCTGTGCAGTAGTGTCAGCTCGGATGGTATTTTTAGCGGAGGCTGACTATCTGGATGTTCTCACCAGAGGTACGAAGCTTGCAAGCTTCCAATCAAAAATATCAGGCAGACGTACACAGATGGCAAGGAGCATCGAGCGTCATCTCAGACCCATCACATTGGCCTCGGCGACGAGACCGACGTGGACGGGGATGTGGAGACAACCCACTGATCATGGTCGGAGCGACGGAAGCCTCCGCGGGCCGAGTGCACCTTGTAACGGCCGAACTTGATCGGTGGCTGGATGATTGCTGGCCGATAGATGCTGTAGTTTGCCAGCCCAATTGATGTGGTTGGGCTGTGGGGCTTTGTGATGAGCTTCCGGCAGTGCCGGGTGCTCCAACTTTGATGCCCAAGATCGCGTCTTTGTGTGGTCTGGGAGGTTGGCGATTATCCTGGTTTTGAGTTTTCGTGTTCTCGAGAATCGAGGTCTGATTTGGCGGATCATGGCGAATAGGAACAGCTGGGTGTTGCCGGGCAGCGTAGAACACCTTAGCCCAGCCAACGAGACCGCCTTCAGGTCACGCTGCTGGTCAACAGGCCCAAAGAGCGGCAGGCTCCCCGTGAATCTTTCCAGAATTGCCGAGAGTCTGGTTGACATACGAACACCTATCGTGAGAATATTTTTCGATCAACACTGATGCTGCTTTCTTTTCGTAGGGCTGGCATGCCATCGCTGCCAAGACTTGTAGAGCTGCGGGTTGATGGCTTGGCAAGACGATCAATTTTCCGGAACGGAGGAGTCAATCGGGAATTTCTCATGTCGGCCAAGGCGTCGGCAATGCGTCCAAAGATGTTTCGAAGAGAATTTTCGACTGCTGAAACTTTTAGCGATACTGGGCGAGTCACGTTCTTGATCCTGTTGAGGTCGGTCAAAACGCCGAGACATTCGGGAGCGGCTCCAACGTCCCGCGGCGGGCAAGAGCCGTGGAGGGCCGATCCCGGGCCCCGCACGAGCCTCACGGAATGTCGCCTTGTTTCTTGTAGATCCGTCCTGTGCGCGAAACAGGATCCGCTGATCATCAAACTTTTGGTAATTGGAGATGTTGATGACCAAAACAGCCTGGAGAGTGATGCTGGTCGCGGCATTCACCGACAGCGGATGGAATGTTGTGATTTCCCGACTAATATCTGCTCCGACTTGTTTGGCAGGTGATATGTCGAGTCGCTGGACCGAGCGTCTGATAGTCTGACCACAGGTATCTAGAATGCCCCTCAGCAAGGATGCCTTCAACAACTCGTGTTCTCAGCAGCGAGTGCTTGAAGTCCGTACGCGTACCCATCTGCAAGGTAAGCCCCGGGCTGCTGACAGCATCTCCGAGGCTTGCATCGAGAGGCTGTTAATGTGCAGCTCGCGCCGCAGAGGCTATGCCAACAAGCTTGACAGACGGAGGTTAGACCAGCGTTGAGGCGTTCTGCCATCCCGCCGTGTTAACCGTGCTGAGATGGCTTACTGCAGACGGTAGTGCGACCTATTTTCATCCGAGGGGCTGGAGGAATCCCGCAAATCAGATCTGGAAATGAGGATAGTCGTATTTCACCGTGCCCTCGAAGGCCTCCAATTCGCGAAAGGCCATCACACCGAACAATTCTGGTACAGGCGATGTTGACAGAGGTTGCCATTTGGTCGAGGCCCGTGACGGTTTCCCGTCGCGGAACTGGACAGACGGCGGGCAGATCCCTTCGAGAGTGGTCGTCGGATCCCAGCGATCTGAAAGAATGGGGAAGCGCCGGTAAGAGATCCGTCTGGCATGCATGGCAGGCAGATGCAGGCTGAGGATTGTGACACAGTTGGTGCAGGTGAAAGGGTCCCTTGAATCGGTCGTGGCCAACGCATGGCGCGTGCAGCTGTAGTTGACTCGCTTGCTTGTTTGCTTGCTGGGTCAATGGAGGTGGAGGGGCTCAGTCGGCAGCCAATGGCTGACAGCTGGCAATGAATGTCAGCTTGAGGGGGAGGCGATGAGCGAATCCTCGCTGTTTTTGGCGGAGTGACATTGCGGAAGAGGGAGGTACGTACCGACTAGGTTGGGGATGATGGAGGTCGGGCTTGGTGGTGGGGTCGATTGGGCACACTCAGCTGAAGTAATTCAGCCAGAGGTGCATCATCCCAGCAGCGGCGAGTGTTCAATGAGCCAAGTGGGCTGTTCCTGGGATGAGCTCAGCTGCGCGGTGCTCCTCCTTCATCATTCCATCCATCGTGTTGAAGCTCTTCATCTCAAACCACGGATAAGACAACAACGCGGGACAAACGTGGTGATGGAGTCGAGTCGAGTGTTGCTGGAATGGATTGTTGACCTTGGCGCAAGGCTTGTTTCCGTTGCCACGGCGAGGAGGAGGGCGATGGAGGGCGAGGCAGCAGGGGTCTAAATTGGACTTGGTTGTCGCACGTTGAAGCGACACGGACCTATCACCCGTTGCAGAGAGCCACATTCCTGGCTGGCCTTGACATCACCGGCTGGGATGCTTGATGCGACGTTGTCGAGCGCTGCCCTCTCTGTCGGCACGGTATTCTGAATCCGAATCTGAACCTTGGAACCAACTGAACAGAGTATGGACGACGTATGCACCCACACAGATGCAAAAGGCCACTGACTGCTGTTGAATGCGGATTGACGTGTGTCGCATCGTATCAGAGTTCAGAGTTGGGGGAACCCCATGTGCGATGACAGCCAAAGAGGTGATGGCGTTGGTGGCTTGAGCAAAACAGGCGTCGCAAGGAGAAACGGGGCGACGTCGTCGAGGGGCCGCGGTTGGCGCCTTCGTCTGGTGGCCGAGTCCATAATTTTCGAGAATATTGCGAAACCAACATGGCGACGACACGGGACGGACTGCAGCACCTGCTAGTGCCAGTGCCAGTTCAAGTTCGAGCCCGAGTACGGCCAGCAAAAGTTTGTCGTGGCGAAGAAAGAAGGACGAGCGAGAACCAAGGCCTGTGTTCGAGACCGCCGCTGGGATCAAGCCTGCCGGGGATGGCGGTGTTGGTGCGGCACAAGCAGCGTGTTCGCATTCCCTCGTTCCCTGGACGGAAACTGGTGGGATGGTCCGACCAAAGACGGAAAGATGTGGTGTGCATGTCGTTGCCTTATGCGCATGGCAAGGCTTGTGAAGGTTTGTCTGTCAATCCAATGCAGTGTTGCGACAACGGTGTCTGTCCGCGATATGCATCCTTACCTCACTGGAGGTGTTGAGGAGGACAAATTGCCAGAGAGGGCTTGAGGTACCTACCTATCGATATGTTATCCACCTCAGCCATCTGTCAGGTAAGGTAACATATTGCCGACCAGCAAGTGAAGGCAGTGGCAGTTCATTTTATTTTTATACGGGTGCATCGCAGCAACTGCACCGGGGAAGGCTAAGGTAAAAAGAAGGACGACAGCGACGGGACTGGATGCAGAACACTGACACAGGTGGCAGGAAAGCCCCTGGGCTCCACTGCATCTCTTTCCAAGAACAGGGTGCGTCCCGCGCTGCGGGAAGGCGCTAACCAGACACAGCGAGCCCGCCCCCCACCAAAGTCCACCCACACGCTCATTTCTGTCCAATCAGCACCGCCAAAAGGCCGGGCTTCTAGACCAGCACCACCCTGTCCGTCGTGTTCTTTTCCATCCCAAATCCCAGCCTGCAGTCCCATCCAAGTCCAGTCCAGTCCAGCTCAGCGCACGTTTGTCTGGCTGTTGCCGCTGCTGCTGCCCTGGTGTTTTGCGCTTTCCCATACGAATGTCCCACTGTCCACCCAGCCATCGAGTCCGTTTCTGCAATTTCATGTCTTGGTTCTGTCACTTTCTTTTCTTCTCCCCGTTACCTACGCTCTGTCTCTCTTATCAGCTGAGCTCCCGCCGCTTCGTCACCTGCCTGATTTCTCAGAGAGGTGCTCTTTCCTGCAGCGAGACGACCGTGCCCTGTGTTGTCCGCCTGCACTCCGACTGAACTCGAGCTCGTCCGTCTGCGCTGTTCTGCATGTGTATTCTTTGCTCCTGCACATGTCCTAGAACAACATAGCTTCGGTTTCTCTGATCTCGACCTAACGAATTCACGATCTTTTTTACGAACGAACCTCCTCAGCTCTTCATGCAAGCGGGCTGACGCAAGCTGTTGTGGCGAAGACAAGCTCCCGCTGTAAACACCACCTGAACCCTACCTCCCACTGCGCGAACCCTTCTTACTCGACGGATCTCGACACAGCCTCCTTCGAGCCCCCCGACCTCACCAATTCCCACAACTCTCCGCGAAAAAGAGGCTCCCCGTCACCGACGGTCTTGTCTTTTAGACTCCTGTTCCGATCATACCGATCACAGCACCCTCAGCTTCTGTTGCGCACCCCTGCACGCCTCCGTGCCATATCGGCTCGACGCCCAAAACCCACCCGCTCCCCGCCGCTGTTGAAGCATTGCCAAGATTGTTGACAATCGCTTTTTCCGACTGCTGACGCCGTCTACCTACCTTTTCTCGCCAAAGCTTCACCCGTACAATCAGTCCATCCCATTCGACTACGAGTATCCTATGACGATTGTCCTCCCTGTATTGTCCAGAAAGCTCTCTCCGACCCTCGCGCATTGTAACGAAATTAAGCGAATGACCACGAATCTCGAGTAACGAAAGCCCCTCCAAATACATCACCCCGGCGACCACGTCGCCGGCGTTGCACACGCCGCCATGGAACAATCAGGAGAACTGCTTGTGGCAGCCCACGAAATATACGCCCGAATGGGCTCCTCCTCATCAGATACCTCAACGCGACCAGCCTCGTACAAAGCTATCGGTATTTCCCTGGCCGTCGCATCTGGCGCATTCATCGGATGCTCCTTCGTTATCAAGAAGGTTGGTCTCTTGAAAGCCAACGAGAAGTACAATGAAGCCCCTGGTGAGGGCTACGGTTATCTCAAGAATGCCTGGTGGTGGACCGGCATGATTTTGATGATCGTGGGGGAAATCTGCAATTTCGTCGCATACGCCTTTACCGATGCCATCCTCGTCACTCCTCTTGGTGCCCTGTCCGTCGTCCTGACTGCAGTCCTCTCGGCCATCTTTTTGAAGGAACGTTTGAGTATGGTGGGAAAAGTCGCTTGCTTCCTCTGCATCGTAGGATCCGTCGTCATTGTCATGAACGCGCCCGAGAACTCAGCCGTCGCCAATATCCAGCAGATGCAGAGCTACGTCATTCATCCCGCCTTTCTGAGTTACGCAGGTGTCATCATTATAGGTTCTGTCGCAACTGCTCTCTATGCCGGCCCACGATGGGGTAAGAAAAACATGTTGGTCTACATCTCCATCTGCAGTTGGGTCGGAGGCTTGAGTGTCGTTGCTACCCAAGGTCTCGGAGCCGCAATCGTGGCCCAGGCCGGAGGTCAGTCGCAGTTCAACCAGTGGTTTCTTTACGTGCTCCTCGTCTTCGTCATTGCGACCCTTTTGACTGAGATCATCTATCTGAATGTAAGCTCTCCGTACTGGTCTCTCAACCCCACACGCTGACCTCAAATTTAGAAAGCACTCAATCTGTTCAATGCCGCCCTGGTCACTCCGACATACTACGTTTACTTCACCAGCACGACCATTATCACTTCGGCTGTCCTGTTCAGAGGTTTCAAGGGCACGCCAACGGCCATCATCACTGTCGTCAATGGCTTTTTGACCATCTGCTCCGGTGTCGTATTGCTGCAACTTTCGAAATCGGCCAAGGATGTCCCCGACACGGCAGTCTTTTCTGGAGACCTTAACCAGATTCAAACCATCGCCGAGCAGGAGCAGCCCGAGACGGAACCCAAGGCAGACGCCATCCGTGGAGCCGCCGCCATCGTGCGTCGCTTGTCCTCGGCCAGACAGAAGATGGAAGAGGAGGAGTTCAAGCGATTGCACGAAGAGAAGTTGCGCGAGTCTCTTGAGCCTGTCAGCGAGGACGGTCAGCCGATGTACGAATGGGACGGATTGAGGAGACGCCGGACGATGACTGTGGGAAGCCGAAGCACGCGTGGCACTATCACCTCACCGTTCCCTCTCCCACACTCTGGTGTTCCTTCTGGCGTGCCCTCTGGCGTTCCTCGTACGCCCACTGTTATTCCCAGCTCCCCGCAAGCTCACCCGCCCCTCGGCATGTCTCACTTCCCGACCGAAGAAGAGTTGGCCGAACATGATCGTCCCTCATCCCCCGGCATGCTCTCGAGCATTGCAGGCACAATCCGAGAGCGAGCGCGAAGCGTTCTGTCACCGAACCAGCCCAGCTTCGCCCAGGATCCGAAGGTTCAGAGCCCGATGCATCCCGTTCCCTTAACCGAGATTGCCGTCGCCACCCTCAAGTCGGACGACGATCACTCTCCGTACTACGGCAGAAGCAGGGAGCACGTTTATGGACTTCCAGTTGGACAGCAGCACGGAGATATGGAGTACGCCGGTGCCGCAGGTGTTTACGATCAACGCGCTGTATCGCGAGGTAGCGCCTTCAGCGGCGCGAGCTCTCACTTGGCCCCGACCCCGCCGCCGCACTCAGCAAAGAGACAATTTTCCTTCTCAAACGTGTTCAAGAGGCATCACAACGACTCTCCGCATGCACATGCACACGCACATGAAGAGGAGGCGCATCGACCCACCAGCCGGTATGGTCTAGGATCGCGAGGTTACTCCAGCCCACAGGTTAAGAATGCGACTGAAGAGGAGCGACTTGGTCTTGTGAAGGGTGATTCCCGCTCGATGCCCGCTCTCCAGCACTACGACGATGAGGAAGAGGAGGAAGATGCGTACATTGATGAGGACAAGGTGCGGGCTATCGACTCGAGCCCCCCGCAAGCCTCGAGGTACGGGCGCGGTATCACAACGCCACCAAGAAGAGGCAGCGATCCAAGGGATCGTGACTATGAGTCGGAGGCACCCACACCTCCCCCACACCGGCCCCAGCCCGGTGGTAACAGGTTCTTATAAGCACATGAGTAGCATGATTTTGGATCGATTCGATGCCAGCGACGCCATAGTGGGGCAGGCTTCTGGTTGTCTGGCCCGGCGTTTATCACGACTGTAGGAATAATGGATCAGTAGGTACATATCAGCATTATGGGAGGCCATGGCCTCATCAGGTAGATGAGACGTTGCAGGTGTACATTAGATGGGGGAGAACGGGCCCATAGCCTGCAACTGGGCCGCAGTTGGACACCTGCAATTATATACAACACAAATACAAGTACGTGACACGAATCATATCAACCTCCTTTCATCGTCAGTGAACTGTGTCAGTATTTCGGCACATGTAGGCAGGGAGCTTCGGTTTTCGGTCAAATTAATGCGTCAAAATTGCGATTGACGGCCTGGAGAAGGGCCAAGCTACTCAATCAGAAGTTGAAAGTGAATATCAGTTGACCTGACTTAAAAGTTGCTGGCTGTGATGACGGCGATGCCTCAATCTTTCCCTGATGGGATGTCGTCTAAGGAAGCATCTTTCTGGATTCTTCAGCAGAAGGAGGTTATCCTCCTCGTCCATCTTCTCTGATCACCTTTATCTACAACTGCCCAGATACCGCTCTCTCTCTCTCAAACTTTTTTTTCCTTCTATCTCCCTCCATCTTCAAAGTCTTGAAGGGAAAGGAGTTGTCTCTCGCGCACCTTCCTCCCACAAGTCCATCCCACAACAACAAGAAAATCTCTGATAGACCGCCTTGCCTTTGTTGACCGGACCAGACCTCTCTTAAGCACCACCCTCACATTCACCAGACCAGACTTCACCTCAACTCTAGAAGGTGCTGATATTGAAAACTTTTCTCGCTTAAGGGTCGTCATTCTTGCCTTTCAAAGTCGATCAAGACCGCGCTAGCCTCTCACCTCTCACCTTTTCTTCGCCCACCCACCACCCCCCACAAAACCTTTCTCTCTCTCTCTCCCTCTCCCACACAAGACCTCCCTCTCCCTCTCTCTCCCACACAACAAAAACCCTTTCACTTCTACACCTTTCACAAATCCCTTCCACAAACAACTCTTCCAGGATCCAGGCACCTCAAACCTGAATCCCTTCACTTCTATCCTTCACCCCAAGACCATCACCATCTTCCCCTTCTGCGCGTCTTGCGATCCCCTCTGTTCACCCTATCACCTTGCCAACAATGGAGGCCTTCAACATCTTGCCCAAGGGCCATGGAGGTAGCCTGAAGACCCTTCTTCTCGGTACCATCACTCTCTGTGGTGCCGTCGCTGGGCTGGTACGAACACTGGCAACACTCAGCGCGGTGGCGTCATGTCTGTCAATGACTTCACCAACGGCGAGCTCGACCTCAATGATTTCATCGCCGGCCAGGTCATGGCTGGCAACCGCAAGGTTCCTGCCGAGTTCGCTGGTGTTGACCTCAACCTCACTCACCACATCGAGCCTGCCAACAACAAGAGTGTCGACAAGGTTGACTGGAACAACCCTCCCATGTGGGCTATTCGTCCTGAGGATCGCGCTGCCTTCCTTGCTGGTGGCCCTTCTGCCCTTTCTCTTCCGAAGCGTCCTAACCATGAGGGTGACATCACTCCCCCCTGCGAGGACAATCAGTCTCACAAGCTTTACTACACTTACTACAAGATCGACTGCCCCGCCAAGCTTCACACTGACGGCAAGCGCATCGCCACCAGCTCGTCTGGCACTTGCGAGAAGTGGAATGAGTTCAACGACCATCTCGAGTGTGCCAGCTTCTGCCAGGCTGAAACCACCTTCGAGTGGGCTGAGGAGAGACCTTTCCCTCACTCTGACTGCCACTACCCCATCGACTGCGGCATCACTGAGAGCGACTCCACCTCCTACAGCTGGGGCATCAGTCTCAAGCCCAAGCTGGCCTGGATCAAGGCGCTCAAGTTCGGCGTCTCCGGCGGCTACCACCAGAGCCAGTCCACGTCCACCGGTCGTAAGTTTGACATCAAGCTGAACGAGGAGAAGAAGTGCGGCTACTTCACCTGGGTCCCCATCAAGAAGACGGTCTGGTAAGTGTTAAAACTCCCCATTGGAGATTCTCCCAGCGGTGTGCTAACATTTCGGTTCAGTGGTGTCTTGTCCGAGTCCAAGCCCGGCCTCAAGACCAAGTGGGTTATGACTGATGACGGCTACCTCGAGGTCGGCTACTGTGATGTTTCCGAGGGCCCTGGCACCGAGGAGGATCCCGAGGCTGTCACCGACGGCAACTACTGCACCAGCATGCCCTGGTACATCCAGACCCCCTCCAAGAAGATGGTCCCCGACGGCACCGTCCTCTTCGTCTACACGGACTGCAACGACCGCTCCCCCCTCCCCATGGAGCAGCAAGACCCGATCTACGCCAAGTCCGGCGTCGCCCTGCACAGCCTGACCGTCCGCGCTCTGCACGACTCCTGGATCAAGAACTTCTGCCACTTCGAGAAGAACATCCCCTGGTTCGACCCCGCGACCGGCAAGACGGACAAGTACAAGACGCTCTACCTGCTCGGCACCGGCTTCTCCGACAACCAGATCGGCGGCGAGGACGGCAAGGGCCTCATCGAGAAGATCACCGCCTGCGCCAAGGGTGATATCAAGGAGGTCGCCTTCGGCTGGATCGACTTCGGCCACCCCGACGACGACAACGAGCTCCGCGGCGCCTACTGGTCCCTCCGCGCCCGCATGCCCAAGACCATGGACGGCGGATGCGTCGGCGACGTCCTCATGGACATTGACGGCACCACTGTCGACCGCTGCGGTGACGGCAGCTAGACGTCTCGCCTTGGATGTCTACTCACGCCTTCCTTTGGGAACGCAATCAAAATTGGTGGTATGGAATGGATGAATCATGGATCATGGAAGCACTCTCCTCGGAGGTCTTTTGGAGTTATGGCAACAATCAGGTAGCTAGACAAACTCTGCGATAGACACGAGAGATACGGAATCAGACTAAAAGTTCTACAAATGTTTTCATCGCGCCAGTGCCTTGTGAAGTGTGATATGCGTTCTCCAACCCCTCTCACCGACCAGCCTTTGTCGCTAACCCTGTCCGTCGTGCTTCTGTCGTTGCGGTCACGTTTCCTGCGTGAAGTAAATCGAAGCCCGAATTTATCCGCGCTCCTAGGACACGATTCCACGAGAAGTCCGCGCCGCCTCCTCACGCCTCTGAGGCGCAGCGCGAATTTCCCTCTGCCCAGCCGGGCCAGTCCGCTCCCACGGAATAGACCAAAACTTAATCTAGACGACGCCCAGGATGAGCCGCAGACACCCAGCTCAAAACAAATCGCATGTATCGGGGCATTTCCGAACAAGAGAACGAACACCTCATCGAGCTGCCTCACCCCAGACGAACCGCGTGTTCGGTTGCCTCGGGTTCGCACCTCAACCCCATCACGAACCCGACCGAAAAGCTTCTCCTCATCCCTTGGTTACTTTCGGCATGGAACCGCCGCCGGCGAAACCGCAAACCAGCACCCGCGTCGGCACACACAAAGAAGCTTGGGGCCCGAAAACAGCGAGCTGGTAGCTTTCTGGCTTGTGATCAGGCACCGAAGCTATGGCTCCCCCTCCCTGCCTGCGCGTAAGGCAGGCACACGGACGGGGTTCGGCGGGCGCTGTTTGCCGATGAAGCAAATCATCTGGAGGCGTAGGACATCAGAGTTCGGGCCAGGGCCAACTTTGGACGTCGCATCTGTGTCTGTGATTGGTGCGTACGGCGTAGAGATGTGATCTACCAGATTGGGAGGTCGTACTCCGCAGGGTGGGTTAACCTCGTCTCATCTCTTTTGCGCAAAGTTAAGATAGATTGCGAGTCCCTGTCGTGGATGCGAAACCGAGATGGGGACTGGATAAATAAGCTACGATCCCACGAGCGAATTATACGATTACCCAAATCAAGTTGCCTTGTCTGTAGCTTCAATTACCAGAAGGACTCAAAGCTGACCAGACCAAACACCATGGCCCTCGACACCCTCCCGGTTCTCGTGGTAATCGGCGGCGGCGGCATCGGCCTCGCAACCGCCCTCCGCCTCGGCCAAGGCCACCACATCCTCCTCGCCTCGCGCTCCGCCTCCACTCTCGCCAGCGCCTCCGAGGCCCTCAAACAGGCCGGCCACAAGTTCACCACGCATCAGGTCGACGTGACCTCCTACGCGTCCGTCCGCGCCGTCGCCAAGGCCGCGGCGTCCCTCGGTGGCGCCATCGCCGCCGTCGTGCTGACCTCCGCCATCTCGCCCTCCATGGGTGATGCAGCCAAGATCTACGAGGTCGACGTGCTCGGCACGGCGAACGTGATCGTTGCCTTTGGCGCGGAGGTCGAGATGCCAAGGGGCAGTAGCTTGGTCTGCGTGGGAAGTATGGCGCAGTACATGGGCCCGCCGATGTCCGACGCGCTGGAGCGGCATCTCGCGCTGGCGCCGCTGGGGGAGCTGTTGAATAATGAGGAGATGTGGGAGATGGGACGGGCGCATGAGGGGGCTGCGTATTGCATCGCGAAGAAGGCGAACGTGTTAAGGGTGGCGGCGGCGGCGGCGAGTAAGGAGTACGCGGGGAGGGGGGTGCGGGTGAATTGTGTGAGCCCCGGGTGTACTGAGACGAAGATGTTGAGGGAGGAGATGGCGAGCGGGAGCGGGGAGGGGATTCGGGCGATGATTGAGGGGTTGCCGGTGCCGAGGGCGGGGACGGCGGAGGAGATGGCGGAGGCGGTTACGTTTGTTGTCGGTTGTGGGTATATCAATGGTGTTGATATCCTCATTGATGGCGGGTGTATGGCGGCGCAGAGATGGGGGTCGTTAGTTGTTGGTGGTGTGAGGGAGACTTAGACTGGATTGATGCTACACGAGACAGATCTTAAGAGACACAAAGGGCTTGTAGAAATGGTCAGGTTTGCTTGGTTTAATGCACGAAGCGGTTGAAGTGTCTGTCAAAGAGAGATTCTTTGGCCTTGCTAGAACTGAGAACAGCCAACTGGCCGTTTCTGTCCACATACGTATAACTGCTAAGACAAAGAAACCCTACTTCTCTGTCTCCAGGCTCACGGTCTTGACCCCTGCATTCGCGTCGTCTGGCTCGCCAGCCAGCTCCTCCTTCACAGCCTCTTTCTGCTGCTTCTTCTCTTCCCACCTGAATCCGAAATGGATCCCGATGAAGATCACCACAGACACGAGTGCAAATGCGAGATACAGCTTTGATCCGATGCGCCAGTTGGGAGCCTCCGAAGCAGGGAACGCGGCAATGGGTATGAAGGCGCTCATGATGTAGGCCAGGACGGTGCCGCTGGCGAACAGGACGGTGCGGACCTCAGGCTCGTGCTGGAGATGTGCTGAGCCCCAAGAGCAGAGGAGCATGGTGGAAACACTATGCAACATGTCAGGTTATGGATATGACTGAAAATAGGGGTGGTCTTGACGTACGCTCCGATGTAGTTCATGTACCAGCCGGCCATGTAAGCGCCTTCGTTCTTTGGCCGGACGATGAGGATCACCTGAGAGGCAATGTTGATGGCCTACACTGCGTCAGCTTTCAAGTCTTCTCATCTCACAAGGAAGGGATGAGTTACGGAGTGAAGTAGCAGGAACGGCAGATGAACGCCAAAGTACCCGCTGAAGCCGCTGAACAGGAGTTCTGAGATGAGCTGCAGACCTTGGCCTGCTATCGGCAGGTAGTTGAGCATAGCCACGGAGCTTCGGATTTGATTAGCTTGGGCTGAAGGGTGAATGGAACAAATCTGAACGCACTATTTGACAGTTCCATCCGAGTTCTTTAGAGACTTGAGCCATAGGTTGAAGTAGCTGGCTGGCGTGAAGTTGCCACCGACAGGCCATGCAACTAAGATGAATGTCAGATCTGCAGTCGAGAACGTGGATCTATTCATGGGAAAGACCATGAGTCGGCACAGTACGTACTCGCAATAGCCCACAGCTGCCAGAATGTGAAGCATCGGAGGAATGACTTGACGGTGATGCCAATCTGCGGCTTACGTCCCACTCGACGGCCTCGCGCGACTGCTATCTCGATATGACGGTCCGTCATGTAGAACTTTGAAAGCGGATTGGGACGTTCGGGCTGTGATCGAGTTAGCCATGGTGGTGAGAAGATCGCATCGGGGAGAACCGACATAGCCAGGAAGGATGAAGAAGGCTGCGAGCGCCACGACGATGGTGCAAGCACCCCGTAATATTAATCAGCCTCTCAATTTAGCAATCATAGCACGGAATAGCTCTCACATTGATGATGAAGGCCCACCGCCAGCCTGACCTCCCGGCAACGCCTTCAAAGTTGGTAGACAGCGCGCCCTGCATCGCACCGGACAGCATGGCGCCCGCGGGCTGGGCGATGTTGTAGAGGCTCATGCGTAGAGCTACTTCGTGGGGCATGTACCACTGGCTGATGAGTGTGAAGTATCCCGGCCATGCGGTGCCTTCAAATAGGCCGATGAGGAATCGGAGGCCATAAACCTGGCATGCGTCAGTGGCCTGCCCGGCTGGGTGATTTGGGAGGCGGCGTTACCTGTTTGGAGCTCGTGACGACCGACAAGCAGCATGTTAGAACGCCCCAAATGAGCTACGTTTCGTTAGTACTTGCCCTTGAGAGAGAGAGAACAGCAATTCAAACCTCGCAAGCTGGAAGCCACTTTGATGGGCCAAAGTGGGAGATGATGATGCATGAAGGGTATAGCATGATCATGTATCCGATGCTGGAGCACATGGTCAGTTCTCAGGGCTCCGATACATGGCCTCGGAGGCAAACTCACTTGAAGAACGTGGTAAAATAATTCAACTCGTTGCCAAACAGGCTGAGATCCTCTTTCATGCCAGACACGTAGGCATTGCTCTAAGTTGCGGGTTAGTTGTCTAGCATCATGGCACATCGGTTTCCGGCTCACAATGTTTGTTTGGTCGATGTACTTGAACATATAGCCCAGGAACCCTATGGTGAGAAAGAACAAGTCGAGGCGCCCTGTTGATGTCAGTCAACCCGTGCGTGGGCCAATGTGCACAAAAGACCTGTCTTACAGACAAAAGCCCGTTCCTCCTTGGGATCGATGTAATCCTTTGGCTCGCTCTCCACGGGCGTAATGCCGCCATCAGACCCTGAAGATTGACCGATGGTCGTCGCATCCCGGGCGCCAGCATCGTTAGCGGCGACTTGGATGTTCAAATTATCTGCAACGCCCATCTTCACTGTTGGTGAATCAGGATGTTTGACGAACTGCAAGACATGCACTTTCCCACGTGGCACAGATGGAAAATGAGAAGGGTGATGATCTTTATCATATACAACATCTCTCGCGGCCGTCTTTGAACTGCTTGCCTGGCGGCGGACGTCGCCCGAAAATCCTCCAAGATGATATCAAAATGCAAGACGAAGACGTGCTTGGCGATAAGTTCCGCGTCGGTGGACCCATTCCTTCGCCCGCCGGCCCGCGGTTTATGTTGGCTCCTGTACGCTACGAACGTGGAAGCTCCCGTGCCGGACTTCCGTTCGTCGGGAACCGTCCGCGGTTGGTTGCTGAACTGGGCTAGACATCGCGGGTTGTACGCCGCGGTTTTTGGCGATGGTCATTGCGACATTGACTGGGGAGAAGATGCAATCCACCCGACATGAACCAGCAGCCCCCACACTACGCGCCAGCAGCTGGAATATTGCGCAACTCCATGACTCTGCGTTTGTCGGGTCTGGTCCGACGGCTTACCCTTTCTTAAAGAGGCTGGCTGGCCGACGTTCATTCCAGAGCTCGTCCACATGTTATGGTGTTTGCATCAACCAGAATCACTACCAGAATCACTTTCAATTATTTCCTCAACTAGCACAGTGCAAAATGATAGTCCATTGGCCGATGGTTTTGAACATTCTATTATTTTGCATCTACAAGCTATCACTTCGTTGACTTGCTGTTCGAACGCCTACTACACGAGGCTTACAGACGACTTAAAAGCTGACTCCGGTTGGTTACTTTTAATGTCCGATCCCTAGAAATTGTGCTTGTGGACATGCTCAATAAATAGGTCCCTTCGGCAGCCACAACAAGCTACATCGACCGCGAAGCAGCTTTGTCGCCATCTGCAACAACAAATGCTCGTGAAGTTGCGGTCCGCTTATAAACGAGTAGAAGATTTTCCTGGCGATTTTTGAATCAAGAGGTCATTCGCGTGGTAAGTTGAAGGTAAATATGTGACAGATTCAGTCATTTGATGTTTCGTTATGAGTGAACAGCAGAAGCATCAGAAGTCTTTGATAATGGAAGGTAGAGTGCCTGGTCGTTTTGACTACACATCGAGGTAAAAGATGACATATTCGCCATCTATGGATCTATATTCTTTTGTTGAGTGCAAGTTCGAAAACCAGCTAGCCTTCTGAAGCTGCTTCGGTTTAGGTTTCATCTTACACTAAGTGGGAGGAAAAGACCTTGAAAGAATTACGAAGAAGTTTCATGCTGCATTGTCTTTGTTCTTTTCTCGCTCATTACAAAACCTGGTCCTCGAACACGCTTTACCGCTGTTGTCCAGTCTCGCCCAAACTCACAATGTGTCCATGGTACCCATTGTCGTCTCAAAGAAATGACTGCACTGCTTAACAAAGTCTCCTGTTGCTAGCCTCCCAAGCAAGTACTATTTGAATTATGTGACGCATCTCAACTCATTATCGTACAATATGCATATGCGACCTGATTTTCCTGTACCGCCGAGCTGTCCAGAACAGGGCGGCAAGAGCCATGAACTCGAGAAGAGGTATGAGAGGGAATCCAACCCACCGCAACTGAGAAAACGATCCGTTCCAAGAATTTCCTATCTTTACTCCAAGATTTGCAGGTGGCTGGCTGCTTTGGGATGGCTGGAGGTACATAAAGTGGTCATGATCACCTATGCAGTCTCCAACTGTAGTTGGCTTGAAGCCTTTGCTGACAAAGCTGTGCACCAGGCTACCCACGTTGAGAGCAGTCTGCTCACTATCGTGCATCCTAATCAGGAAAGAGTCTTTTTCTGGATCCGCAGACTCCAAGTCATTGAGGAGAGATGTAGAGTTCATATCTCGCCCGTGGTCGTCGTATGGATCTTCTGAGTTGATGCCAGGGAATACAAGTCGTTGGCCGTCGAGAGTCAACTTTTCCACGCAGCCGTTTTGCATAGTACATTCTGGAGGCGCCCTCACGTACATAGGATGGCGTCCGCTTGAGGAAGTTGATGAAATGAAGATTCTGCCTATCCTCTCGCGGGCGTCGGCCAGGGCATGTTTGGTCTCGTCGTAATTTGGAGAGCCACCATCACATGACTCGGTTGTAAGTCCTATGAGATGCCCGTCCTCAACCATTCTTCTTACTAGTGACTCCCAGTAGCCGGAATGGTTTTCTTCTGTGAGCCATGACGAGGTATCAAGAAAGAACGTTGCAGTTGCATTGAACTGGGCTAACTCATGCAAGATGTAGTCTGTGTAGAAAGACGGCCCATCATCGAATGTGAAAGCAACAGTTCCTGGGATCTAGGAAGAGGTCAGAGTGAAATCCACGCCTGGAACAACTGTTCAACTGACTCTGCATTTTCGAATGACCTGCCCGTGTTTTGACACAAATGGGCGCTGTGTATTTCGCTTCGTTATGGGCATTTTAGTTTCTGTGACGGCGTAGCAAACAATAGCTTCCAATTCGGATCCGAAATGTTTTCAGACAGACAAGGATGGTACAGTTAATGTACTGAAGGATGGAACAGATCCAACATACACGTGTAAACTCTAACAGTTTTAAACGAGAAAGCAGTGCGGTACAATAGTCTCCGCGGGAGTACGAGCAATTCGGCATCCCATCGCTTAAAACAAGATTCTTGCTTGGCAGTTCGTCCGGAAGTTTAATAGATAGCGCGTCTATCACGCTGTTTGTCAAGAGTCTCATTGGCTCAAATCAATCAAGCTTACTGGATCCCGTCCCGGGGTGTCGATGTAACCCCCTCACTTCGGTGGCTGGACCTGGTCTTATTGAAGTCCAGAACTTGCCATGTTCAGCTGGAGTCGTCACCGATAATTGCTTGGCTGTAACGAAAACGAGAATCCATGAGGGTTGTGTTTACAACAGATTTACAAATCATGTGTTCATGATTATCGCGATAACAGAGATGTGATAAATGCAAGTGCTCCTTTATTTAGCACAGGCGTGCGCGTTAACCCAGCCATTCACATGGCAGCAACGTGCTTCTTACAGCGGTGGCAAGGGACACGATTCAGTTGCGGCAGGGTTCATTGCAGAATACGGAAACTTTCTGTGGCGAATATTGCTGGCGTGATCGGCTCAGAGAATAAAAAAAAAACGCGGGAGGGGCTGACGAGGATGGTGATAGTAGCAGCTGTAACCGCCGCAACCCTAACAAGGATGGGTCCGGCAACGATGCACGGGATAAATCTACTACATTCATTCTGACTACCGAGGGTGACTCCTGAAACAATGGTACAAGCCTGGTTCTCATATCACTGTAGACTTTTACGAGGTCTAAATCATATTGGATGAACCAAGCTGTCTGTCGTCTTCCAGTTCTAAGCTCCCTCTATCTAAATATCATCTTGTCAACCAACTTTGGCTTCTGAGTGTAAACAGTCCAAACACCGATGCCCAGCTCACAAAGAAGAAATTCGCAACCGTAGAAAAGTAAAAGTACTGCATCTTCTTCCTCAACCGCGGATATGAACTCTCTGACTGATCCGATGTCGGTTGTTGAAGTCCACTTTGAGGTATCGAGTCATCTTCGTTTCTGCTGAGTGCATCGGCCAATAAGAGAGGGCTAGACCAAGTCGCAAAGACGACGAGACAACAGACATTCATGGTCGTGACCCACGGAGAGCGGAAGGCCCCCCACACCCAAGAAAATGCCGCTTCCACGCAAGACAGGGTCGCGCAAGTTGCGCAGATGATCGTCAGCATCGGTGCAAAGTCCGGTTGTCGTGCATTTGCCACCCGCTTGCCGCGTTGCTTCTCCAAGTCGAGCGATGCGCCGGACTGACTCAGAGAAAGGAGGCCCAGCCGATTCAGAACCAGCCTCTTGGCGTCGGTGAAGGCGAGTTTGACAAGGCCAAGGATCCAGTAGGTGTAGTTGCTTCTTTCCCACCGGACGTACATCAGAAATGCCTTGCGCAAGGTCTCGGGCGCGACTGTGTAGACAACCGCATTGCTCTGATACCTGAGTCGCCAGCCGTCACTCAAAAGATTCATCGTGAGCTGTACATCCTCTCCGTGCCGCAAAGGCTTGCCGAGGAATTTAGCATCCACCAGATCTTGAGCATGCGGCTGAGAAGCTTCTCTTCGAACAGCGGAAATGGCACCTGGTAGAATGGTGACAAAACCGTATTTTGACTGTGCCGCCCGCGGGATGTTGCCGTTCTGCTCAAAAAGACAGTCCAGCGTCCGTGGAATGAAGCTCTTCCAGCCTTCAGAGTGAATGTTGAAGACGGAGAGATGGCCTGCGACTCCTCCAATATCGCTGTCGAGTACAAGAGGGCTGACCAGATTTCGAAGTGCTTGCTTCTCGAGGATGGTGTCAGAGTCGAGAGTCACGATGACTTCGTTAGTCGCAGCAGTGAAGGCTGTGGTCATAGCCTGTCGCTTCCCACGGTTGATCTCATGCTGTATGGCGGTGCATCTCAGCAGTGGCTCCGAACGAAGAGCTTCTTGCGCGGCGTGTTGAATGTGAGACCAAGTATCGTCTGATGAGCCGTCATCGACAACGATGATGTGAATCTTTTCCTTCGGGTAGTCCGAAGAAACAACAGAGGAGATCGAGTTTCTGACGAACTCAGACTCGTTGTATGCCGGAATGATGACATTGATCATAGGGAGACGGTGGTTATCTTTGATGCCCGGTATCGGCTCGTACTCAGTCCACCGGGTGATGATGAGAAGGAAGTTGAACACGATTATGCATGAGCTGAATTGAAAGAAGGCCTCATAAAAGCCGAATGAAGTTCTTGTTTGACTAGCAATGTACTGGAAAGTCAAGAAGGTGAGGACTGTCCCGAGAGCCACGAGACGACCGACGGCTGTCCGAAAGCTGTGGCCTGACATCGTGATCTTGGGTTTCTGGTAGAGGAGTCGCTTGCTTCGTGATCATCCCAAGTACTGCAACACCATCTTTATCTCCATTGGCTCCCCCTTCCCTTGCCTCTCCTATCACGCAGCGCACAGCAGAAGGCTGTTAGAGTTCCAGACCCAGCCATTCGTGTATGCATCTGGAATTGATATTCTCGTGATGTGCCTCGGGTAATACCCAAACGAAACGCCACATCATGCGCTGGCGACTTACACCCCCAGAGCGGATGGAACGACATGAATCGCGACACTCTTCACCGCTGTTCTTCTTTCCTAAACTGGCGACCGGTCTGGCTAGGGTCTTGCGTTGTTTTCTCTTGGAATTTAGGGGACCTCGATATTCAAATGCGGGCAGGCCCGAATGTAACCTGCACACGTTAACTCTAAACTGGGGAACCCTGTCAGATACGCGATCTGCTGCCCGCCTCCTCTTTGCTCACATTTTCCGACCGGGCCTATTAAGAACGAGGGGTCTCGCGAGCCGACAGAATAGTTCCGAGGGGGCAGAGTGGTTGTCAGTCAGTTTCTTTCTCCCAACTTCAGTGAATCCAAAATGCACCCAGCCCTTTCCGGCGTGATCACCGGGCTCGTCCTGCTCTCGGCAGGAGCAGAGGGGCACACCCTCATGCAACATCCTGTTCCGTTTCCAAGCCAGCTTCAAGACAATGGTCCTGTTGCTAAGGACGGGTCTGACTGGCCATGCAAAGGAGAGGTCGACTATGATGGCTTTGGCGTTTCCAACATTTGGAAGCGAGGATCAACTGAGTATTTACAGTACGTCAATGAAGGGGACTGTCCAGAGCTTGAGAATATTCGACTAACCAGCGAATCAACAAATTAGGGCCATGGGAGGCGCGTCACACGGAGGTGGCTCGTGCCAAATATCCGTCACAAGAGACCTCAAGCCGACGAGGAAAAGCGAGTGGAGGGTTATTCACTCTATCCACGGGGGCTGTCCTATTCGCAACTTGACGGACGTCAACTACGGAGACTCTCCCACCGTCGTTCTTCCCAGCGTCTACAACTTCACGGTTCCAAACTGGCTACCAGTCGGTCCTGCCGTGATGGCATGGACATGGTACGGCAGATGGAGCGTCCCGGAGATGTTCATGAATTGCGCGCCGATCGTCGTTCTCGGGCACGATCAGGATGCAGACGTGCCGGAGGAGGATTTAGCGGCCAAGTTTGAACAGGCACCTCTCATCTTCGAGGCAAACAACGGAAACGGCTGCTTGACGCAAAACAAGGGCAGTTGCGTTAAGTTTCCGGAGCCGGGAGACTCGCTCGTTGTTAACGAGGAGTGCTCCTTGGATGAGTCTACTATGTTCACGGGAGAATGTGGCCCGGGTATCACTCTGGCTAACATGCGTACCTGGCCGAGGTGGCCGTCTCCTTTGGAGATATTGCTTGGCTCCCTGTTCGTCGTTGCGGCGGTGGCCACCGTTCGTTTTGTGAGGCCGTGGATCAGCCAAAAGCCCGCTGTCTGGAGTAAATTAGGGGGAAGATTTCGACGTCACAGACATGGCTACGACAAGTGTACACAAGTTTAGTTACGGTCTTTCTTTCATAATGCCATCTCTTGAACAACGCATTTGCTTCGATTCGTCTGTCAAAGAAAGTTGAAAGCACAAAATAAACATTCCAGTCAACAACACCACAAACGGATGAAATGACGTGAATCAATATCAAGTTGATTCGCGCAAACGTTCGAATCCTCTTCAAGGCATGTTGAAGATGAAGACGAAACTAAAGGTTTGCTTTCACATCCCCCTCGACGACAGGCTTGTCCTCTCTGAACCAGAGCCTCTCCATCTCAGAGCCCGAAGGCGGCGGCACAATGCCGTTGATTTTCCACAAGTCTCTGTCCGACTCCTGAATGAAATACTCCCAATCCATGCCCTTTCCCCCAAGTCTCGGGTTCAAAATCGAGTCCACTTTCTTGAGGAAGCGCTGCTGGTTGAGCTCATTCTCAAAGCGCCTCGCGACGTGGTAGATTGAGATTGTGGTGAACTTGGAGCGTCGGGCACCTCCTAGGTACAGGTCGTGAGCGGGCATTTCGAAGAATTGCACGTTCACATAAAATGCGGGGAGGCCGATTCTGGTGTATATTTTGGTGATCTCTTGAGCCAGCGCCTCCTTTTCATCAGGAGAGAAGGCGTCTTTGCTGTGTGAGAAGACCCAGAGAGGCATTTTGAGAGCTTGCAATATGTGATTATGCTGGCTGTTTGGTTGTTCGCTGACGGACGGTTCTTCTCACTTTCTAGTTGGAAGTGCTCGTGTACTTATAGTTCGTCACAGTGTCGACGCCGATGGACTATTCTGCCTGAGGAAGACTAAGTGTGTTGAGGGGGCCAAAGCTGCGATGTGAAAACGCGATCACTAATCGTGATCGTGTTCGAGTGGAATCCCACTCCACGGTCACACGGCTGATGTGGGATCGGCCTGCATTGCGTTTTGAATACTAATCAATTCAGTCCATCAAAAGAGAGATCTACACGAAGTTGAATAATCGCCCCGCGCCGCTCCTCTTTGACAAGTCCGGGGCGCAAATGGATTCTCAAGTTTTGGTCCTTGGGCAACCAAGAAGCCGAGGCCTTGGTTGACGGATACAATCACCAGGTTGGCTATGCCTCAAGATTACTCGTCTCTGTCATGCGCACTTCCGAGCATCGGGCCTCTCTCTCATCCGTGCTGCCCTCTGCTTGGCGAGGACATGAGCTTTGAGATGCTTCGTAACGTTCGTTCGGGAAAACCGCCGTTGAGACAGTGGTTGTTTATGTTTTCGATGAAGTATGGTGAATTTGACTTCAGTATCTTTATGTCGGGGGAACGGAATTCGTGGAAGTGGTTTTGGAGGGAGAGCTTGACAAGGCGCCTCGCACACTCTTCACAAACCGTCAGTCGAAAAGTGTGAGCCCAGGCAGCAACGTGCTCAGGAAACTACAAACGAAAAGTTAGTTGTAAAAGGAGAAAAGCAAAGGACGCTCGCTTGGAAATGCCAAGTCAAGCAGATGACGCTCCTCGTCCGTCTCAGTCCCATCCCTCTCCCGATTCATCTGTTGCACCATGAGGAAAAATGCCGGGTGTCCCTTCCACGGTCTAGTGAGGTCCCAGGCCATCCCCACCAAAGAGTCTATCTTCCATGGCCTGTCAAAAAACAACGACCCATGCCAAAAGTACATGTCGATCTCGTCAAAATTCTTAGATGCATCGTCCGGGTTCTGTTTTCGGAGAACAGGCGTCACTTTGATCATCTGGAACTCTTCCCGCTGGAACTCGTTGTCTATTCGACGTCGTTGAGATGGGTTTGCTGGTTGGAGGATGAAGCCGTCCATGGTCTGTTTCTCATTTTTGATTGCGGCGAACCCCTCGAAGCCGTACATGACGCGACAAGTGTATCCGGGCACCCTGGCGGGGCGCAATTGGCCATCTTTCAAATCTCCTCCCGGGTGACGGCCTAGAATATTTGAAAGGGTAGGCTTGAAGCAGAGAGGTCCGTAGATGACAATTGGTTCCGGGGGTTCCGGGGATTCCGGAGGTTTCGCGTGCGATGACAAGAAAATGGGCAGGCAGCGCATTTCGCCCGCTTGCGGTGTCGAGCTTCGTTTTTGTTGTCGTTGTTGTTCTACTTTGCGACGTCAGACCTAGGCTGGCTCACAGGGGCATGCGTCATGTAGAGCAGCACCTACATGTCGAATCGTGAAGGCCTTTCGGCAACTTTGGCGACGAACGTACTCATGGAGCGAGTGACGTGAGACTTTCCTGGTTTGTGTCGTTGGAATTAAGGTCGCGTACAGCCTTGAATATTTCAATAAGGCATTGCCAGCTCCAGTCTATCAAGGGACACGCCTGGCGCCTCTGTCGTCAGACCCACAAAGATGCTTCAATATTTCCCAGCAAATATTGCCTTTCAATGGGGAGCAATAGAGCAGCACCTCATCTTTTAGGAATAATACGAGTCTTGAGTATCGGGCGGAGACTCCGAGGAATTTTTCTTGCCTTCCTCAATCCAGCACTCGAAGAAGAGCGGTCCAGCTTCAACGGACCGAAGTGGCGTGGTGGCAGCCCCACCAATGTTGGCGCCCGGCACTGGGTTTGTCTTGGACGCTGGTTGAAGAGACGGCTCAGAGGGAATCCAGGGTTGGGGATGCTAGAAGAGTGTTAGCTGCCGGGTTTCCCGAATGCGGACAGTCTGCAACATACACCTATGGGCGCGGGTGCTTCATCTCGTAATTCGACGGCCAGTGTGAAAGTACATCCCTCGGGCAAAGGATCCTTTATCTCTCCCGCATACGAAATGCGTCTCAAAGCGCCTCTGTACGCCTCATTCACGTCCACCCAGTTCACGGATCCATCGTCGTCCTCCTCTTCCCGTCGCTGGAATCTCGGGCCTGCGCCCAGCTTCTCCTTGCCCTTGCCGGTAGCCCAGACAGGGAAGTTTGTAACGTCAAACACCCATCGTTCAACTACGGCCATGGAGTCTGGCGCATGAATAACGATGCAGACTTTGGTGACGGCGCCGAGCGCAAGTTGGTCCTGGATGGCGGCCAGGGCCGAGTTGATCCACTCGCAAAGAGCTGGATGCCGGGATTGTGGGACAGGTAGGTTGTGCGCTTTGGTCATAAGAAACGTCCTTTGCGGGTATAGCCGGCGGTAGTAGAGGATCGTGTGGATGGTGATGGTCAAGAATGCGGTGAACGAAGTGAGTAGGGTGTTTGCCTGCGGGCGCGGGATGGGGACCGGGGCCCCGGTGGCTGAGTCTTGAGGCCTAGAGCTGGACGACATATTGCCTGAGCGAAGGTCGACCGAGAAATGGAAAATCGCATCCGAATGTCGTATTTGTCGTCTTAGCCACGATAGAACAATAGTCTCGACTACGGTGGGGCTGAACAGGAGATGCGATCGCGAAGCTTGGTGCCTGCTGACGTCGAGACCAGGGAAGCGCGACGGGGACGTGATGCGAATCCGACGCCTTTTCACGTGCAGGTCTGCCACCTCTTTTAATGCATACTTACATATCCGAGCCGACCGTCGAATTAGGTAGGGTAGACAAACAATCGAGTTCTCATGACATGTGTACGGATATTGAGTTACAGCGACAAGAACTTTCCCTGAGATTTTCTTCTGATCTTCTCATTTGCACTGTATTGTGCAAACTGTGATAAGATAGCTATGCCTCAAAAGAGTTCTTCAATATGCTCTAAATGAGGTGGATGCCGATAGGATGTAGGATGAGGGGTTACTCCACATATAGGGCTGAAGGCACCAGTCTGTGACGCCACCTGCCATCACCCGCATCCAGAGCTAAGCTCCCCCATCTCTGCAGGGTCGACACCAAAGTCCCGTCATCCAGGTACCCAATGACACCGAGAGGCCTCTTGAAGCCCAAACCCGCTCAGCCTCAATCACAGTGTACATAACCTCAACGGGCTCCCGTTCGAACCGCAACAAATCTTTTCTCTCAACAACTACAAATCGAGAGTCTCAATCACACAAGCACGCACGATGACGAACCCCCTCACACCGCAGTCGCTGCTGCAGTTGATGGCAGACGCCCTGCCAACGCACCCCCAAAATGACACAACCTCGGACTTGAGCAGCAGCTACGAGCTGCCCTCCCTTCTCGCCCACGCTTGCATGGCCGCCCTCAAGTTCCGCCTGCTCGGCTTTGACGAGGAGAAGAGGATAGGTATGTGTCCTGCCACCGTCCCTGTCTGCTCAAAGCTAATCCCTGTCGCAGAGGAGGAGATTCAGTCCCTTGCGCCCCGACTACCTCCCTCATGGAATGCCGGCTTCGGCGCCATCCGCTTCGTGTACGCGCACAAGCAGTCTTCAATGACATCCATCATCCGCATCAGCCGCGTCGGCGGCAAAGTCGAGATCAGCGGGATGGCGCAGGGCCACGACGTCATACACAGATTCGAGGTCACGACAAAGGATGTGGTCAACTCGTCGAAGCTTCCCCTGCGCATCACGCTGAACGAAGACGGGTCTGAGGATAGAAGCGACCTGGTGCAGAAGTTCAGAGATGCGTTCGTCTCTGAAGCAGCGATTGCCGACTTCATCGAGCAGTTCAAGACGAAGATTGTGCAGAAGCTCATCCCAAAGATGCAAGTGGAGGGGTATGAGGAGTCGCCCGACGACCGCGACGCAGCCGAGAATGTACAGCGCGAAGGCCGCGCGCAGTCTGGTCGGGAACCGGGAAGACCATTCCCTGGAGAGAGGCCGCAGCCAGGCCACCCGTTCCCCATTCACGATCCCCTGGCTGAGCCCCCTAGACGGCCCATCCCGGCGGGTGACTTCCCGCCGCCTGGGTTCGAAGATGAGCATGAGATCAACACACCTCTGCGACCTTTGGGTGTTCCTGGTCGATCACCCTACAATATTGGGCACGACGACCTGAACCCGCCCGGTCTTGGGCCACATGACCCCCTGAGACCATCTTTCATCGGCAGAGGTCTCCCTCGTCCAGGAGGCGGTGGCGGCATGCACCCGACCTTCGATGATCCTCTGTTCAGAGGTCAGGGTGGTCAGGGGGCCGGCTTCGACCCGCAAGCGCCGCCGGGAGCTAGGTGGGATCCTATCGGCCCCGGTGGTCTGCCCAGACAGGGTGGGCGAGGACGAGGCCCCTTTGGAGGCGGAGGCGGCTTCGGAGGAGGTTTCGGCGGAGGATTTGGCGGAGACATCATTTGATCTCCATCCTCGCGAAGTCAAGATTGTCCAAGTATTGTAATAGTTACGTATTAATGAGAAATGACAAGAATGGAATCCCCAAGGAAATGAATGCATCACCCCTTCAGAAATGAAATAGTCCGCCATGTGAATGTCTACAAATCAAGTCTACTCTAGTCATCTATCTACTGCGCCTCTCTACTCAGAAATCCCCAACGAAGACTCCGGCGCCCCAAGATATATCCACCTCAGCTTCTTTGCCTCTATCCCTTGAACACTAATCACCTTCTCGACGCCTGGCACAACATCAAACCCATTGTCGCTCAGCTTCATCCCCCTCTCCTCTTGAATGATGAAGCCCTTCACAGGCTTCTCCGCCGAGATAACCAACCTCCCCTCCCCCGCAACAACCTTCACCTTTCTATCAGAAAACTCCAGGTACTTCAATGGCTGCGGCCACGCAAAGTCCTCCGCAACAACAGCCCCGTCAACCACCAACGTCGCGTAAATCACAAACGGCACATCATTCTCCGGGTCGAACGGCACCCTCTCGTCCCCGAACTCCTCCTTCAAAGCCGCTATCTTCGTCTTCCCCAACACCTCAGTCGTCGCGTTCGCAGCAATCGTAACCGCCCTCTCAACCCGCTCCCTAACTTCCTCGCCGGTCTCAATCGACACAAACCTAACCTCAACAATCCCCTCAACGTCCACCGTCTTCCCACTCGCAACCCACACCTCAAACTCCGTCCCCCGCGCCCCCAATGTCGGGTCCGCATGGCACTTCGTCCACTCGTCCACCCTCCTCCCCACACACACATCCAGCCCCCTCAGCGCCCGCCCGATCGCGTAGAACGCCGGCTTCGGCACGAGCCAGTAGTCCACCACCGCCCAGGAGACGGTCGGCCAGCAGTCGTTGAGCTGCCACACCAGCACGCCGCCGCAGCCGCGCTGCCCGGGCCGGCCCCAGTCGCGCCGCCACGCCTTGTACGCGAAGGACATGGTCTCCGCCTGCATCAGCTGCGTGAGGTACGTGAACCACGCGAGGTCGTACTTGACGGAGAAGTTCTCGGCGATGTACGTCATCATCCGCCGCTCGTGGTCGTACGCCTTGTTGCGGAAGTCCATCGCCATGCTGCCCGGCCGCCGCTGGCTGGCGGAGGTGATCATCGCGGTGGTGGTGGAGAGGTGCGGGTAGCCTTCCTGGCCAAACTCGCTGATGAAGCGCCCCGTCATCTGGGCGGCGTCCTGGTACTTGTTCATGGTTCCGTGCCAAACTGGTTCAGGTCAGAAAGATAGCTCTGCATAACCGGTCTGGTCGAGACTTACTATTCCACTGGTGGATATCACCAACGCTCGGGTCCGCGGTCGGCTTCCCGTCGCCCCACGGACTACTCGGATGATACACCGTCCATGGGCTCTCCTCCCGCACCACCCTCGGCAGCAGCTCCTCATAGATATACCGCGCCGGGAAGCTCGACTTCAGCCACGACTGCGGATCTTTGTCCTCCTCGAACTTGTACTCCAGCTGGTACCGCTCCTGCACCTGGTAATCCTCATTATTCCCCGCCCAGATGACAATCGACGGGTGCCCCCGCATCCGCCTCAGATTCTCCCGCGCCTCCGCCTTGACGGACGCCAGGAAGGACGGGTACGTCGGGTAGCTCCCGCACGCGAAGCAGAAGTCGTGCCAGACCAGCACGCCCAGCTCGTCGCAGGCCTCGAGGAAGGCGGACGCCTCGTACACGCCGCCGCCCCAGATGCGCAGCATGACCTGGTTCGAGGCGACGAGCAAGCTCGCCCAGGCGCGGTAGCGATCCGCTGAAATGGTCGAGAGGAAGCTGTCGCCGGGGATCCAGCAGGAGCCGCCGGCGAAGACGTCCGTGTTGTTTATGCGGAAGTAGAAGGACTTGCCGCGGGAGTCGGGCTGCTGGACCAGCTCGACGCGGCGGAAGCCCGTTTTCTGCGTGTGCGTCGCGAGGATAGTGCTGCCGTCGGCGTGGATGAGGGTCGAGGTGATTGTGTAGAGGGGCTGTGGGCCGTGGGTGAAGGGGTACCAGAGCTGGGGGCTCTCGAGGCGGAACTCCGTCTCCGCGGCGCCGGTATCATCAGGCACGAGGTCTTTCTGGAGCACGACTTTGTCGTCGAGGGCGAATGTTACGGAGAGCTTCGTCGCGCCGCCGGAGGAGCCTTGCGTGCTGGCGATGATTCGCCCCGAGACGGAGCCGAGGTCCGGGCTGACTTCGCTCTTGACCCAGACGTCGTTGATGCGGGCGGCATACTGCTCCAGGTACACGGGCTTCCACACGCCAGCCGTGACGAGGATGGGGCCCCAGTCCCAGCCCCAGTGGTACTGCGCCTTGCGGACGGGGATGCGGCCCTGTTCCGTCTGGCGCGCGATGAAGCGGTGCTCGTGCGAGTGCTGCTCGGCGAGTTGCCTGCCTTTGAGAAGAGCAGAGGCGAAAACGATTTCGAGTGTGTTGGTGCCACTGGGGTTGAGGTGCTGCGAGACGTTCACACGGTGGCTGAGAAACATGTTGTCAGACGTGAGGATCTCTTTGCCGTTGAGGGTCACGGTGGCAAAGGTGTCGAGGCCCTCGAAGACGAGATCCGTGACAACATTGGAGGAGGATGATGAGGGTGGGGTTGGGAATGTGGTGCGGTAGACCCAGTCCTTTTCGGCGACCCATTGGACTGCGAGCTCGTTCATGTCCAGGAAGGGGTCTGAGACTCTGCAATGTTGTGTTAGAATGGGGGTTTCTGAGGGGCAACGAGTTTGGACTTACTGCTTGTTGGCGAGGAGGTCGACGTGGACTTCGCTGGGCACCTTGGCCACCGGGAGCCACGAAGTTTCTGAGGAATCATCTTTTTGCTTAAAGGACCAGCCAGTGCTGAGATCATGCCGGAGGACCGTCATCTTGAAGGTGAGAGTGATAAGCGGTTGAGGAGATGTTGTCTCAACTCTTGATGCCCAGACGAACCAAGACGGATGCGTGAGAGCTCTCGGTAGCTCTTCGCCTAAGATTTATAAAGAAATGAACAAATACAAGTCACGATGCCTCCGTTCAATGTCCAAGGTCACCGGGCCAAGACCGAGACTCGGGCGCACCCCACATTTTGAGGAGTCGCGACGGCCGGTTGGGTCGGGAGTCGTACGGCTCGGGGTAAGACTGTCCGCAATGTCACCACGATGTCGAATCAGCGACGGCAGAATCCAGAAATCTGCCAAGTAGGGTAGTTGACGGACGGAAGTTTGAAGCTCCTTACCGCTGAAGGCTTCTACCCATCCACTTGCACGGCAATTTAAACTCCCGACCCACTGATGATCGATTTGGTGCCGGAGGCTTATTATGCCGGGTCGTGTAAGTCGACGATGGCTTGTCTGCCATTGTTCTTGTTCTAAATGCATTTTTAAATTGCAAGAAAACGAGAGAATCCGTCTTGTATTTTTTTTTTTTTTTTTTTTAAGAGGCTTCTGTGTTGTTTCCTGTTGTCGCGCCGCTCTAGAAGTTTCTCGCCTCCTTGCCACCGATATGCTTCTCCACCCACTCAAAGACAGTCTGGTGCCAGATCATCGAGTTCTCGGGGTTGAGAACCCAATGACACTCGTCGCTGAATGTCAAAAAACGACTCTTTACACCCTGAGCCTGCAAGGTGTTGAACGCTGCCAGGCCCTCGGTGATGGGACATCGGTAGTCCTTCTCGCTGTGGATGATCAACGTCGGGGGCGCATGCTTCCAATTCCGCAACAGCTCCGGACGCGCCGGGTTCCACTTCTCCATCTCCTCGCCGTTGCTCCATAAGAACGGCGCACCCCCGAATTCCGGCCCGCCGCCGGTGGCGTCACTCTGCAGCATGAACACCGGCAGGTTGAAGATGCCGTCATGCCAAATTGCGCACGCAAACTTCTTGATCATGTCTTGTCCGAACATCCAGGACACCATGTAACCGCCGTATGATGCTCCCGCGACGATAGCGCGGCTGTGGTCGAGGTACGGCAGCGGCTTGAGGTACTCCATCAAGTTGACGAGATCTTGATAGGGTGCACCACCCCATTGGCGATAGATTCGTGCTGTAAAGTCAACGCCGTAGCCTGTACTGCCGGCGATGTTGGGTGCGACGAGAACGTAACCCTGCTGTGCCCAGAGAGCCATGTTCCACTGTGGTGTCGTTAGTTTCGTAACCGCGGTAGGGCTGTTAGTCACGTACCCTTGTTGACCAAGAGTCTAGCCAAGAAGAAACCGGTCCCCCATGGGGTAAGAGGATCCAGGGGTACTTCTTCGTCTCGTCAAAGTTGGACGGCTTAATGATAAAGGAATGCACGACAGCATCATTGACACCCTCGTACCAGAATTCAGAAACCATGCCATGCGACAACCCATACTTGGCGCCATGCTTGGTTGCCGACGAGATGACTCTTGCTTGGGTGGTCATCGAGACGTCAACAATTTGCCACAGACTGCTGTCAACTATGTTGTTGCTGGTGACAAGAAGCCTCTCGTAGTTACCCTCTTGTAGGGGATAGAAGGCGGTCACGACACCACTTTCCACGAGTGACGTAGCTTCGGCGTCGTGGCGAAGCTCGAGATGTGACAGTTTCACTCGCCCGCAGTCCTCAGTCGTGATCAGCAGAGAATCAGAATCGCCCGCGAACTCAAAAGCTTTTGGGGGCAGGCGAGGCCTCTTTCCAAAGATCATTCTGTGCACATCGTATGCGCCGAAAGAGCTTGTATGGCCCATGTACAGCCTCACATCTGACGGGCTATCATAGGACGAGTGCAAAAAGGCAATCTTGGAGCCGTCAGGCGAGAATCTAACGTTGGCATAGAAGGCCTTGGTCTCGGAGATGCCCATGACAATGGCTCTCGGGCGGACAGTGGGCGCCGCGGTGAATGAGGTAAGGGGAACATAGTAGACATGGGAGATGCCAGAGTACTCTGGTGACGAAGGCGCGGTGTCCTCAGCGATGAAGGTGATGCCCTTCTCGCTGATGTCGAAGCTGTCTCCCGGGTCGGCGACATCGTACATGCCGTAGGGCGCTTCGAGAGTGGTGCCTCTGATGGCGTTTTGCAACTCTCCGGCAACTCCCCACTTACCGTGTGCATTGATGAGAGTCGAGTACCAGAGAGCGTACTTTTGCGCCTTGTACAGCTCGTTCCACTGACATACGTGTTAGTCACAGCAAGACACGTCTTGGCAAGGCCGAGTCAACCTACAACTCTGACATGGTAATCGTCAAAGATGCGACCGGTCGACTTCTTCTCGTCTGTCTTGTCATTGAACAGACCTCCGTCGGGGCCGACCAATCCGGCAACGACGAAGGCGACGCTCCCATCTGCGAGGGCCTTCACTTTGAGAGCACTGATGGGCGCATCATACTCGGCAGCAACGTAGTGGTCCTTGGCAGGGTCGGCGCCATCAGCAATCCATATCTGAGTGGTCCCCTTATCACCCGACTTCAAGTAGATGATGTCGGTGCGAGTCCCTGGGATCCATTGGGCATCATGGACCTTGTCGTCGTCGGCGAGCTGCTCCGAAGCCCCACTCTCGACGGCCATGAGCCGGACCTCCTTGAGGGTCTTGTTGTCGTCGAAGCTGTGGGCCGACTGGGTATAGAGAATCAAGGAGCCGTCTGGACTGGGAACGGCAGGGCCGCGGCGGGGAGCACTCAGCAGCACCTCGGGGGTGAATTGCTTGGCCACGCGCATTTTGAGCTGGGGTTGAGGGTGATGCCGGGTGGTGAGAATATGAGAAGTGAATGAGCGCGTGACGGCGATGCAACGCAAGGGAACAAGCACTTGCTGCTGCTGTGTAATGCGAATGACGGACGCGGGCAGGACCAGAAACAGCAAGAAGAATATTCACACGAGAAGCAAAAGTTGAAGTAGAAGTCGTCTTGGCTTTGAATTGGCGCGATGTTCTGCTCTGTCAGACGTACGAATGTTGCTGACGCACTCTGCTTCGTGGGACGCGACAGCACTCAGAGTTGGCTTGGGTTCCTGAGGTTGCTGCTGCCTTTGCGGCCTCTGAGCTTCCTTCCACCTTCCCCGTTGGGATGGGGACTTGTGAGGCAGCAGCCATTGGGAGAAAGGGCAGGTACGCAGTCAGGTACGTGCCTCCCTTACCTTCCTTTGCTATCGCACAGGCGCCGGGCAAGAACTTTGCCGTGTGCCGTTGGAGAGCTCTGGATTGGATCCAATTGGGTTCATTCGGCTGAAGTGTGGTGTTAATTGTTAGTGCATCCATCAACCACTGATCAGGCGTACTTCTCCAGCGAAGGATTGGGTCATGTTCAGAAAGTTACGGTGTGTTTCCAGTTGTCTCTTTTTTCCGACCTGTCAACTCCGTCAATGTGCGTCTTATTAATGGTATTTAATGCTTTCAACCTTTTTTTACGAATAAACCCTGCCAAGCCCTGCGGGTTGGAAACATTTTGCTGCATTTTTGGCACCTACCGCACGCCACGCGGCCCCCTGGTTGGGTCTGTCTGGTAGGGTAGGTACCCAAGGAATGGCACCGAGGACTGAGGTGGTGGGTTGTCACAGGCATTCGTCCTGAGCTGTCTCAAGCCCGGAAGAGAACCGGACGGGCAACGGCATGCACGCCGAATGGCAGGGCCCACCCTCAGTTAAGCAGAATTGCCCGTTTTGTCCTTTTAAGCACTTGTCCGAAGGGAATCATGCGATATCACGAGTATGACCCCCACTGATGGGCACGAAACTCCAGTCTCCAGGTCCCGACTGACTCCCATCGTCTCCACGCTCTTTTGTCGACAACCCCAGAAACCCAGTTTTTATAGTGTACTCCTACACTACCTGCCCAGGAGGACGGGTGTACTGCCGTAGTACTTTTGCTGCTGCATTGCGCTACACAGCCCATCGGCCGTCGCTCCGACTCAGGCCCTTCAGGAATGCGCTCCGATGCCGTGACTGACAGAAAGGCGCCCAAGTGGCTGCTGCTGCTTGTGCTGTTTCCCTCCACCGGGGCCATTATCACACCGGAACTTCGGGCTAACATGGCCCAAAGTCTCGCAAAGTCTCTTTAATAATACCTTGGTAGCAAAAGGTAATAATAATACCTCGACTCGAGACCACCAGACCAGCACAAGACACAGAGACACAGACCTGTCCCGCCCGCAATCCCACGCTGTCACCCATTCCTTCGGGGTCCTCGTACCGATTATCTCCGACTTCGGTCCCCAGTAAGCTGAAATTTTCGACCGTCGATTCGTCAAACACCCGACCAGGGGATCCGAAATGCCCACTCTGCTTCACTAAACTCCTACCCGTCATTTGCTGAATGCTGCTTTTTCCGGGGTCTCAAGACACAAAAAAATAAATCGGGCGCCTCCCGGTCAAGCTCCGTTTTAGCACCAGGACCTAGGACCTAGGACCCAACCTGAGCAGCACCAAAGCAGAGTAGCAGCAGCGCCAGTCACGAAACCGATCCCCCCGTTCGTTTCGTTCGTCTGTTTCCCTTCTCACAATGGAATCATAGCTTTCCCCATAAGCTGGTCCTCTTCCCCAGCTTGCCTTCCTTCTTTGGGTTCCTGTCCCTCTGAACTCTTCTTCTACTACTTCTCACCCATCTCCCCTCCTCCGCCTCGCCTTCCTTGACTCTCCTTCCCCAACAGGAAAATCGAGACTACCTTAGTTCCGTCCTTTGCATTCGTCCAAGTGAGGTTGTGTGTGCTTTGTTTAGCTCCGGCCGGTTCCCTCCACGACGTCACCCATCCTACAGACGTCACACCTTCTCCAAATTCTGGGCGTATTATTTATTGCTCAGGAAAGCCGTCGCAAAGCGCGAAAGCGACGTCGGGAATACCGCAGCCAACTCCAAGTCGCCGGGGATCTGCTCGTCGCCAGCAGCAGCAGCAGCAGCAGCATATAACGATCTCGAGGCGTCTGGCTCCGAGAGCCAACACCCAAACACACACCCTCACAACAAGGCCCGTATGGCTGAGAGGGACACCAGACCAGAGGGGCTCGCTCCCGCAACAACCGTCGCGCCGCCAGACCTCAAGATCAAACCGCCAAACCCGCTGGCGCTCGCCCAAAAAGTTGACATTGAGGCCAAGATGCGCGAGGGCACCAAATGGAACACAAAGAACCTGGGCCCGCGCCTCGGCGTCGACTTCTTCAGCGCCGCATGCGCCGGCACCCTCGTGGCTCCTCTTGTGTCCATCATTGATCGGTAAGGCACCCTCACAAACACAATCTCCTCCCAAACAAACAGAACCAAAGAAAAAGCTGACCGCAAACCCAACAGCTCTATCATGGAAAACGCCTCCGGCCGCCGCAGCCTCGGCGACTGCGTAAAGTCCTGCCTCCGCGAGCTCCTCCTCCGCCCCCACCACGTCGTCTTCAGCAAGCCCTTCGCCCTCATCTTCGCTCTCTACGGCGGCACCTACCTCACCGCAAACACCCTCGACACCGCCGTCGCGACCGCCCAGAACAAGCCCGCCTCGCACGTCACCGCCGGCACCGCAAAGTTCGCCGCCTCGAGCACCGCCAACATCGGCATCTGCATGTACAAGGACCAGGTCTTCGTCCGCATGTTCGGCCCGCCAGGCGCCACGCCCCGCCCCGTGCCCATGCTCTCCTACGCCCTCTTCGGCCTGCGCGACTGCCTCACCATCTTCGCGAGCTTCAACGTCCCGCCCCGCATGGGCCCCTGGCTGAACGAGCGAATGGGCGAGGAGGTCGCGAAGAAGGTCAGCGGGTTGACTGTCATGCAGTTCGCCGCCCCGGCCATGGTGCAGTTCGTCAGCACGCCGCTGCACCTGCTGGGTCTGGACATCTACAACCGCCCCAGCGCGCCGGCGGCCCTCGTGACGTGGAAGGACCGCTGGCAGGTGGTGGCCAAGAACTGGGGTATCAGCACCATGGCGAGAATCTGCCGTATCATCCCGGCCTACGGTGTTGGTGGTGTTGTCAACCGCAAAGTAAGAGGGAGCCTCATGGAGAAACTTTCATGAGCTGGGCGGGGTGTGCGTGTGCGTGCGTGCGTGTTTTGAACCTTTGAACGTCTTGATCTGATCTGGAATGCGGCCAACGAATTGGTTTTCTCTTTGGTTGTCAGTATTACCCTTGGGCATAGGTTCATATGGGCGGCGTTCAGGAACTTCAACTTTTATTTTATGCGTCTGGGATAGAGAATAGATTGGGGCGGTAAAGACCCTGTCGGTGGAAGCAAGACCGGGGGTACACTTAGACGGCAGACCGCGCGGGAAACCCAGGACTCATGTAGAATATAATGCGCTTTAATGTCTGCAGACGCGCCGACGCGGCGCATGATAGATATCCAAGTCAACAATACATTTCCCTCACATCAGCCCACTCTCCTTCAGCGCTTTCAACACCTCGTCCTCTTCCCAGCGGTGCTTCTTACGCCTGCGCCTCGTATCTCCCGTGTCAATGTAGTTCTTCCAGAACTTGAGGCCCTCGATACCCTCTTCGCGGCACAGGACCCCGCGCTCTTCAGCCATTTCCAATTCTTCCTCTGCCACGCCGATACTCCAGCCAAATCTCTCGGCGGCATCGCGAGCAGTGACTCCGCGACCGAACTGCCGCCAGTCCCAGGGCAGCTCTTTTTCAGGCGGGAATTCGTGTAAGTCGTCCAGCCAGGACACCAGACCCTTGATCGTGGTCTCGTCCGTGCGGTCACTGCTCTGAACAACAAGCACACCGCTCTTGAACTTGCGAAGCCGGACAGGCAGCTTGAGCGACTCCCACATCTGCGCAGCTTTCTCAAAGTCCATCGGACTGACGAGTTCGACACCGCCGCGGGCGCGGTTGAACATGGCCCACAGGTCAACCAAGTTAATGATTCCTCCGGCCTTCTTCAAAACGCCGCGAGCGTCGTCTGTCAAGAACTCTGCGAGATTGCGCGCGAGTTCCGACAGGTACAGAGTTTCGGAGCTGCTGCCGCCCACGATGTCCTTTGTGGTGACCAGACCAAGCTGGCTTGCGGATTCGGCCAGAAGCGCGTTGGCTTCAGATGCCGCAGCGCCACTCCCGCCATTCGCTTGTCTTGCAAATCGTTCGGCCAGTGCCACAATCTCCTTAGCAGACGCCATCAAGGCGTCGAGGTCTTCAAAAGCGCTACCTATCATCACCTCGTTGTTCTTGCGCATGTCGAGACCGCGCTGTTCGAGACCTGCAATGCCAACACCTTTGGGGCGCTCAGGGGCAGCAGCGGGGGCTCTCACGACAGCGCCATTATCATCGATTGTCCGGTTGCTCTGAGGAATAGGTGGAGCACCTTGGAGAAGCCATTTCCGTTGCGTCATCGAGCCTTTCAGCCTTTCGTAAAAGATCTTTTCACCGCCGCCTCTGAAGGAGATCTTGACGCTCTCTGCTGTATCCGGCACAGCAGCACTCGAGTTGAGGGTGGGCCCCGGAGACTCTGTCCGCTGCGTTTGCTCCTGTGCAACTGCTTGTGGTATATCCTGCGATATGAGCGGTGCCCCGCAAATCTCGCACGAGAGAAGAGACGGGTGGTTGAGGAAGGTACATCGAGGGCACTGGAATGTCGCGCTCGGGTCGGAGGACTTTTGCGGGGAGCCTGAAATGTTGGAGGCGGCAGGCCAGGGAGGTAATGATCCCCCATCTTCTGGCCTGGTGGATGTAGGTCGCGGTCGCACTGCGAGAGGCGAGCCGACAGTAGGGCTCGCTGGGGCAGGTGTCCGGCTCGTAGCATTAGATATGGATGCTTTCAACACATGCGCCAAGCTGGGTTTGATGCCACAGGCGAGACATGGCGGCAGAGGAGTATGGATGTTTGCTGTCGTCGGATCGAAGTTGGACGGCACCGGATTGGAGAAACTGCAGATGGTGCACACCCAAGTCGCAGAGGCAGCTGCAGGGTCTGGCGGGGGCCGATATGGACTGTCCGCTCGGGCAGGGGAGCCAGCGCCAGGTCGAGGAGACGAAATGGCAGATGCTCTCGTCTGAAGAGAGGATCGCTTGAGAGGTTTTGGTATCAACGTAATCTTTGCCGATGACTTGAGGAAGCCCGCATAGAATTCGTACCGATCAACATCCTTCAGATCGAGGGCAACGGAGTGTTTGCGCGGCTCTTCCTTGTCGACGTAGCAGATTCGATGGGAGGTCAGGTAGACTTGTCCATTTTGCTGGTGAGGAAGCTTGAACTTGCTAGAGAACAACAACCTTTGTTAGCCATTCGCCCAGCTTTGATGTCAACTTGAGTGCGGTGGCGTACCCCTCATAGAGCCCGACGTTGTCTTGGACGAACAACAAGACTTCATCCGGAAGATAGGAGGGCCGGAGAGCGGTCGTGAGGTCGATGTGTTTTAGAAACATCCGTCATATCTGTTCGGAGGGAATCCGGGGATAGGACAACATGCGCAAGCACTGCGTCGATCTGAGGATCTGGTGGGGGGACAACGGGCCGCGAGGTCAGGTACGGTCTCGGGCTGTGGGGAGGGTCGGCGTCCTGCTTGTGGATTGTTCAAGAATCGAACATTATTCTGGCTGAAGAAAAGGCGACTGCTAATGTCAGGTCTGTAAGCTGGAGAAGCAGCACAGGTGCCTAGGTTGATTCAAAGTCGGGATTTGTAACTGATGGCGTAGCTAACTTCAAGGCGTCAGTTTATCTCGCAGAACTACCCCACGGTTGCTGCGAACGCTAACCCGACGGAACGTGGGCGCCTCTTATCGCCGATAAGCCACATCAGCGATAAGGTATGCCTTATGTAAGTCGCATTGTCGTCGCGAGCTCAGGCGGCTATTTTGGCCTTGGACACACACATTCTTGGTCCCCACTCCACGCGGTCCCATGCCTGAAATCCCTCGCCCACAGACCACCGTCATTTCCACCGCCTTTCACTGAACCTCCCCAGCCTCACTTCGTCCATCTCTTTCTCACATCCGCAACACCAACGACCGCCGCCGACCACACGTCGACCCAAAAAGCTCTTGCTTGTCGAAATTCGTCCAACAAACTAATCCACGCCAGAAACAGCCATTTTCACCGCCGACACGATGATGCCCACCAGCTGGCCGGCGCCGCCACCAGGCGTCCCCTACGCGGCACCTCCTGCCAACTACGCCTATCCTCCCAGTGAGTTCCCCCGAGATGGCCTCATCGTTGCTCTTCGCAAGTCCGTTTACTGACTGCACTTTCCAGATCCAGCATACACCGCAGTCCAGGCTCGCCAGAGCTTCGGCCAGTATCCTCCTCCCCCTGCCGCAGCCCCCGTCTACAGCTCGCCATCCCAGACCACGGTAGCCTACGAACAAAACGCTCAAGTCCCGCCACCTCAACCTCAGCGCAAGGTTGAGTGGCCGCCCTCTGTCCGCGACTATGTCCAAAAGTCCTTTTTGCCTGCCAACATGGATCCCTCTGTGTCTCGCCCCGAGATTGAAGCCAAGCTGAAGGAGACCATCTCCCATCACATGGAAAATGGCACTCTCGAGTCCACCGACTGGACAAACGTGCCGTTTCCTGCCGCTTTGATTAAGAACGAGCGACAAGTCCAGCTGAACTCCACTCCGAGTGCTGCCTTTTCCTATGATGCACGATATGACACTTCGACGCCCAACCCGAAGAAGCGCAAGTCCAATGAATTTACTGCGGATGACAAGACTGTTCCTTGGCGCTCTACTAACAGCAACCGATCCAACGCCCTGGAAGACCGCATCTCTTTCGCGTCCCCCGACAAACGAGCCAGCTTCGACGAACCTCTGCCCAAGTCAAGTAAGTTTCAGAAGCAGTTGGAGAAGCGACAACGCCGTTTCGATGGTGGATATAAGTCATCCTATCGATCGCCCAGTCCTCCGCCTTCAGATGGTCCCGTTGTCGGCACCAGTGAGACCTTGGAGAAGAGGTACCTTCGCTTGACAGCTCCTCCCGTGCCCTCCCAGGTTCGTCCGGAGCGTGTCTTACACAAGACGATGGATCTCCTCAAGAAGAAGTGGAAGAAAGAGGGCAACTACTCTTACATCTGCGATCAGCTCAAGTCCATGCGTCAAGACCTGACAGTGCAACGGATCAAGAACGACTTCACAGTTTCCGTCTACGAACTCCACGCTCGCATCGCCTTGGAGAAGGGGGACCTTGGTGAGTATAATCAGTGCCAGACCCAGTTGCGTACCCTGTACGCCAAAGGCCTGAAAGGGAACCCCATCGAATTCAAGGCATACCGCATTTTGTATTTTATTCACACCGCCAACCGCACCGGTCTTAATGATACGTTGGCAGATCTAACCACAGCAGAGAAGGAGGAGCGGCCCATCAAGCACGCAATGCAGGTGCGGTCCGCTCTCGCCTTGGGAAACTACCACAAATTCTTCCAGCTTTACCTGGATACTCCCAATATGGGAGCGTACCTCATGGACATGTTCGTCGTTCGTGAGCGTCTCGCTGCTCTGTGCAACATTTGCAAGGCGTAAGTTTCGTCCGCCCGTCTTTCGCTCGCACATATGCTAATTATCGAGCAGATACAAGCCAGACGTAAAGTTACGGTTCATTACTGAGGAGCTCGGCTTCGAGTCCGACGTTGATGCGGCTCAATTCATTGTCGACTACAATGGTCAGCATCTTCTCGAAGAACGATCAGAGTACATCGCTCTGTTGACCGGCAAAGCCGGACCACTGTTCGAATCTGCGAGGACCGAAGCTTTCCGCAAGGTTGACATCAAAGGCCAGATCTGAGCTGCTCGCCCATCTTTCTCTTCTCATCACAACTTGCTCTACACCTCCTAACTCTCATCGTACCACCGACCTCAGGCCTTGCGCATGGCCATCCTTTCCAAACCTTTCCAACCCGTTCACATCTCACAAAAAGGACCTCTCGGGTACCCGAATTTCCTCGTAGACCTCATTTTTATTGTTTTCTCCCCCTCTCTCGATTGTCACTTCACCGCGCTTGTTCACCATGCATTTCCTGCGACTCATCGAAGTACCAAACCTCGTTGTTGGTTACGAACTCACGATTTTACCGATCTGCCTTTCTGCCCCTTTGCACGGCATTGACGCTTACGCATAGCTTCAAATAGCGGGATACCTCTCGGGGGCTCGTGGGAGGCAAAAGACGAACGAAACAAATAATCGACGACACTAGGCGGAGCTGCCGCTGGTGTTCGAACGATGTTGGCCGGCCCTGGGTGGCCGGCAGTTGGCTCTGGGGGCTTTCGGGCTTGACCCCGGCTTGCCGCGTTGCAGCGCAGGCGAGCTGGAAGGCGTTTGGGGTGGGAAAAAGATGGACATAGCTGGGTTGAAGGATAGAAGGCGCCAGGTGTTACATCGGTTTTGGGTCTTGGGGCAAAAGGCGTTTGCATATACGTCGCTATATCACAAGATATCTGCTGAAGTTGAGCTTGGGCAGCGGAGCGGTCCATAGTCTTTTCGACTTAATGCTCAAAGCATTTACTGTTACAATGGCCTCGAGGGTCTACATGGCCTGGCACCTCGTCCCCTGATCAAAGACCCCCCGTGATCATAATTCCTGGGTTCCAAGCCACACTGGAGCTGCTGCTACGTGGTCGCAGTATTTATCAACCTGGTCATGCTTGCAATTCACGCTATTTAGAAAATCGTTCTTGCAGAGAAGAGTTGCTTAAGAGTCAAGCAACACCTGAACGGTTCACTTTAATCCGTTGGGAAGAATAAGCTATCTTGCCTGATGGGTCCCGCGCTCTTCTACTTTGGTCCAATTTACCTCAGTAAAGAGGAAATGGAGACAGCGTACACAGAAGAAAGTGGACGATCCCATGTTCGGTGCGAGAGTCTTCTCATGGCACCTTGGCCGAGCCAGTCCAACGTGGAGGCATAACAGACAGAGAGCTTGGTGATACCAGCTATCCACAGCCCCGACCTCAACTATTTGGCGATTAAAATATGAACGGTGCACTGAACACAAACGCCCTTCCTCAGTACGCGAGAAGAAAACCAATCTTTGCAAGATGCGGGAGACAGCTTTTAGGAAGTGCCTCCCTGCTCCCAGCGATGAGTAGGTTGCCCGAAACGGAAGAAAGATCTGATTCCGCACGAGGACTTTCTTAGCAGCAGCAGCAGCGCGTTCTAACTCTCGGACCGTCTGGACTGCCGCTGCTCACGGCCACAGCTGTCACTTTCTTGACAGACGAGCAGACACCCCCCAAGACGAACTCAGCATGAGCGCGCATGGTGTCCTTGGAGTGGCATCATCTTTCAGACTTTGCGTGTTCGCACTTGGGCAGGATTTCGGGAGCGCGGGCAGACGGATCTGCCCGACGTGGGCCGAGAAGAAGGAGGGGGGAGAGGGCGCATCTGCCACCTCCAACTGCACTCATCCGAGAGGTGAGGAGCGTTTGCTTCTCCCACTCTCGCATGGCACATTGCAGTTTTTACCAAGGCGTACAGTTTGTTTAGGGGTGCGTACGGATGACAAGTTCCGGCTGAAGAAAGCTCCGTCATGACAAGTGAACTGACTGGACAGAAGGAAGAGGGAGAGAAAATCTTCCTAGTGTATGAAAGGCTCGGTTCACCCATTTCCCCCGCGGTCCAGAGCGGTCCTTCCGAAAGATGAGCCAAATCTTACAGGCGCTCACTCTCCCAATCTTTGCTCGTTTTCCCCCTCACCACAGCCCCTCGACGGCACGCCTTAACGGCCCTGGTGATCTGCCGTGCGTGAGATATGCCCGTGCCCGCGACCCTTGCCCATGCCGGCGCTGGGGCGTTTTTGGAGAAGGAAGCTTCTGTTTGCGATGTGAATGGAAGCTCGCCTGTCAACTGATTCTTATTTATTTCTTGTGCTGTTTGATAGCCGGAGCGTTGTCAATAGGAGGGTGCGCTTTGATTGGCGATTGGCAGCCCGGGACTTGAGGTCCCTCAAACCCGGATTGAATGGGTTGACAGGGTGCCGAGCTGCCGCTGCAAGAACGCGATGCTTCCGGGCTATTTACGGTTGACCTACGATAGTTCCGGTGACCGGAGGGGGGGCCAGGAATAGACGGCCTGCCGGGCACGTCAGCATTTGCAATAATTGGCGTGGTACAGAAAAAGGCATAATTACAGATATTCCTAGCTTCTTGTCGTCTCTCAGTGTAACCATCCAGTATCATGGGCCATACCGCCGAACCCGGATGAAGACCGAGCTGAGCCTTGATATTGGCAGGCCTGCCAATATGTTTATGCCCTCTTCAGGTCGTGGACTCCGCGGAGCTTGTGGCCTTTGGACATAGTGTACAAGTGTGAATGGGAATTATAGTCAAGATTCCGCCGTAGTTGAAGTCCCCGATATCCCATCGCAAGCAGCTATTTTCGAACATCGCATCACAGATATCCCCGCCGGTCGCCGACCCGGAGCGAGCGTCTCCAT